CTGTACTTATCCAGTAGGTCAACACAAAAACTCAGACCCAGAGTCGAGGAGTGGGCTTATAGGACAATAGCATACCCCTTGGTTACTCCAATAAACAGCAGTAGATATCGGCGGGCGTGATGGGCAGATGAAATAGCTGATCTAGTTTGTTTAAAGATTTTTCTCAGATCTAATACCATGAATGTCAGATACATCAATTAATTGTATCATTTTTACCTTTGTATTATAAGTGATGTTATCTAATGTAATATATCAATGTGCTTCTCTTAAGATTTATAGCTATCCCTGTATGATAATGTGATAAAGAATTATCTTCCTAAAGGAGCTTTTTGTGTATAAACAAGCATGTGTGAGTACCTGTTTATAAACATCAGTACCTCGTTCTGTTTTCTTAAATGTGTAATCTTTCAAACATTTCTCTAGCCAAAATAATTTTTGTAAGCTTGTAATGATTGTTGAAGTATTTGCTACGCTGAATTAAATATAGGGTAAGTTAAATGGGATTAATATGATGGTTGTCAACACACATATTTCAATGTTTATGAAGCATTCCTTTGTCAAAATATGCTATCATTTACTAAATCTAATCCTTGAAGAGGATCATACTGATACATGTGACGGACAGTGACGAAATGAGCATTAGCATTGAACAGAAAATGCACATTTTATGTCTAAACACTGTCATTATATAAAAAAATGAAATTTGAACATTTGGTCACTCCTTCACAAACTTGCAGTCATAGATTTAAAGGATGGAAAAGATATACATATGCTTGTACTTAACACAGTTAAAATATTCAATAAATATCTGAATGACTGTTGATTTTGTGCGAGATAAGGCGGCTCTATTTTTTCTTCGTTTTGTATTTTATTTTGCTAACTAATGCCAGTTTTAATAGCCTCACAGGTAGTTTCTGCCAGTTTCAACAACCTCATGGGTAATTTCTTCCACCTAAACTGTGAATTGCCACCATCAGTTATTTGTTTAAGTGTTTGTAAACTACATTAACTTGTCATGCTTAAGCCTGTTGGCAGGATTAAAATCTTCAAAGTTTTGGTTGAATTGTCCATAGCAAATATCTTATAATTTAAAAACGTATCTTTGGACCTCGATTGTTGTATTAATGTACACTTCTGAGAAATAAAAACATTCCAATATTAATTTTTTTTCTGATGATTTTTTGAAAGATTTCATTTCAGAAAGTTGATTAAAAGCAAAAAATCAATCTGTTGCTGCACTATATTTTATCAGTACATGTGTCAGAATAAGTATGACAGGAAATTCATTTTCACATACTGTTCTAATCTTTTTCTTGAATAAATGACACTGTTATTTTTGCGGCAACCCTTTTTAAAATGAATTTTTGTCTTTTAATACAAGATACAGGAATGATACTTGGATATTAAGAAAAAGTAATGCGAAAAATGGCCAGTTTTCATTACCTAACGAGCTTTAAACTGCATAGCGACCAAAAAATTAAAATGTCACAAAATGACTCAAATCCTTCAAGTATTAAATTTTTTAATACTTAATATTTGGAGCATGAAATTTGTGATGATACTCTTCATGACTAAAAATGAGCAGATCACTGTGCTTTTTTTCTTTTTTTTTTTTTTAAATTTTCACCTCAAAAGACAGTTTTTCCATGATCAAGGGACAAGCTGAATGATTTGTTTTCAGGTCCTTAAGTTCTAGGAAAGTGATCCACCAAGTCGGAATACAGGAATTTGAAATCTGTGATTTATAATGATAATTACCGCAAAATTAAGTTGAAATGTACCTAAGATTTCTAGATATACTCAAGAGAACTTAGCAACCATAAAACGTTGAAATTGCTGACACTATCAACAAAATCACACTATCAAGTATGCTGTCAATAAAAGTAGTTTTTAAGTACAATTCTAGATAAAGTGCTTAAGACTACCGAGGTCCAATATATTATGTTGGAATTAATTTTATATTGAATTATGTCTTATTTCCATTCAAACTAACACAGAAGTACATCCTTAATAACTTTCATTACTTTACAAATGAAACAGGTCTTCTGTTTAGTTTTATAACTTGAACAGATTCAACAGCAAAACAGTTTTTGTTTAGTGATATCAACAATCAAAAGGTCCAGTTCAGTTACCTGTTGTCAAAACATAAAATATATGGTTTTGACAGGGGAGCTTTTTTGACTCAGTATTTCCTAACCAGTTTTTGTATAAATAAAGCCATAAATACAAGTTTTACACCTTTCAACTTAATCCCTTTTTCACAAAGATTTCAGATAACTAATTCTTGAAATGAAAATAATCACCCAACTATAATTAACACATAAAAAATTTAACAACTACAGTGGTACTTCCCCAAACTGACCGTGCATTGGACAGGAACTTTTGGTTGCTTTAAGGAGTTTGGTTTGCAGAAGTAAATTAACTGGTCCAGACAAAGATATACAATAAATGTCCATGTAACTGATCCAATGTTATTTTGTACTTTTAATATACCTAGTAATATGTTTCCATGTCTAACATGTATTTCATGTGTGCAATGGTTAAATTGTATACTGAATGGCCGATCTGTCTGTAGGTGTTCACAATACATGATAAGAAATTTGAACATTCCTTTGCAAAATTAGAAATAATAATTTTTACCTGCCAAATCCAAGACGGTCATCTGAAAGCCGTTTTGTTTTTACTGATCAGTAATAAAATCAAATGGGCACAAGAGACCAAAGGGTACATACGTATGAAATTTAAGAGAGGTCCATTCAGTAGTTCTTAAGAAATAGGGATAACAATCTTTACTAGGCAAAAAATCCAAGATAGCTGCCTGCTGGCCATTTTGTTTTTCTGATCAGTTCCAAAATCAAATGACCACAAATAGGGACCAAGGGGAACCTACATATGAAAGTTAAGAAAGATCCTTCCTGTAGTGATAACAAACTTTCCAAGTCAAAATCCAAGATGTCTACAAATTGGCAATTTTGTTTTTCTGATCAGATCCAACATCATATGGGCACAAGCAGAGGCTAAGAGGGACATGCACAGGAAATTTTTGAGAGATCCATTAAGTACTTTTCAAGAAATAGGAATAACAAACTTCACTGAAAAAATCCAAGATGGTCACCAGTCAGCCCTTTTGTTTTTTCTGATCAGCCCCAAAATCAAATGAATTTCAAATTAATGAAAAGCCGTTTTGTTTTTTCTGATCAGGAAAAAATCAAATGATTAGAGAAACTACAATGAAATTTAAGAGAGGTCCTGAATTATTAGAGAAACTGAATTATACTAGAGAAATAGCTCCTGCTGGCCATTTTGTAGAGAAACTGAATTACCACAAATAGAGAAACTGAATTAAAGTTAAGAAAAACTCCATGATAAGAAACTTTCCAATTAAAATCCAGATGAAAATGGCAATTTTGTTTTTCTGATCAGAAACATCATATGATTAGAGAAACTGAATTATTAGAGAAACTGAATTATTAGAGAAACTCCATGATTAGAGAAACTGAATTATTAGAGAAACTGAATTATTAGAGAAACTCAATGATTAGAGAAACTCAATGATTAGAGAAACTGAATTATTAGAGAAACTCAATGATAAGAGAAATTCAATGATTAGAGAAACTCAATGATTAGAGAAACTCAGTGATGAGGTAAACAAGATAATTTTTTTGTCTGTGATTGTTATATCTATGTATTGTATACTGATGGGCAAATAATCTAAAGCTTAAATAAAACTTGACACTTGAGATATTGAACCACAACAGATTCATTTGGTAAAGTTTCATTTTGTCTAATATTTATACATGATATAGAAAGTATAATCTTCCCTATCACAATAGCTAACAACACCAGAGAATGGCTGATCTTATTAGTGGACATGTCTAAAATATTCATCCGAATCCATTTCCATCTTAGAAAACAGATCTATAGAGGCTATCGTCAGTTTAGTTAAACAGTTAACTGTGGGAGACCATAAGTTTTTGGTCTCTGGAAGTCAGTTACATTTCCTAAACAAGAGGCCCAATGGGCATGTATCGCTCACCTTGATATTTAAATCAATTATGCAAAACTTTACATTTCTTTAGAAGGAAAATATTTCACTGGTTGAGCCTGACACCACAGATACAGCGGCGCCAGATGCACTACTAACACAAAATTGGTTCCCCTTTTATTCGTTGATGTATAGTTGCAATATATACTAAACGTTGACAGATGATGGAAGGACACTGGACGCTGCAGTATTCTCTATAGCTCACTTGGCCCTAACGGCCCTAAGTCGCAAACTGTGGGAGATTAGTGACACTATGGGTTTGATTCAATTTTAGCACAGAAATAGCTGTTAACAAACATGACGGTAAGAGGATTTTTATAAGTATAAATCTAAAGAGTAGATATAAGGTACATGTAATATTATGCAAAATTGATCAATATTGCCTATTCCAATCTAGTTTTCACTTTGTAGCAGAATCCATCATAGTTTTCATCTGTACAGTCATGATTCTTCTCCATCATGTTCTTTTTATCATTACATGTGCTATGCCTATTAGAGCTGCCTACTTTACCTTATATCGAGTCAGTCTGACAAGTTTGAAGAATTTCATTCAGGAGATATATAAGTAGCAATTTTTGGAAAGCAGTAGAATATAGTATTCAATTAGGGATAAAGACAGACTTAAATTCATACTTTGTTCAATTCTATTGGAATGTTTGCATTTTTTAAAGCTTTGACAACCTTTCAGTGTATAATATAGGTTGGTGCTAAATAAAAATTGTTTCCAAATGAAAGTTTCAAGACATCAAACTATAAAGCTTCCAGACAATAAAATGTTGTGCAAACTGAAAATAAGGATGTGTCAGATAAATAGCACACTATGCTAAGATGGGAAGGAATCTTATTTTGAAATGGTGAATGGATCTCAAACCTACCAAATCCATGAAAAGATTATTTTATAATTCCACAATACATGAAGCAACAATTATGATAGTATAAGAAGGAATGTGCCTACTTTGACTGGAGAGAAATCACTCTTGCCAAAGTCATACAGCAACTTGAGGAATGTCTCATAGGTATCATCGTCTCCCTTGAGCACCTCCCGAGCCCGGCACAAGTATGCCTGGGCAAAAGCCGTGTCCCGGTCATCTTTCTAAAAATAAGTAAAACATAAAAGGGTTTTAATTCAGAGACCTTATATGGCATACAGACATAATTTGACTTCCAACACATCAGTGATCCTACTTTTTCTTGTTGTTTACCAGATATTTATCACATATTTATTTGCAACTGAAAGGAAAATACATGTAACAATTTATCACCAAAACATAACGCAGGAGCAATGACCTCCAAAAAACTTATTTTGAATAGTAAAATGTAACGATGTGAATAATTCACACTCGTCTTCACTTAATAAGGTTTAAAATGTGCATATAGGTATATAATGAACAAAATATATATCTATTTGAGGAAGACGAGTCTATGGGTACAGTGTCTCAAAATATATAATCTGCTGTTTGATAAAGAAATGAATAAAACTACTGTAAAATCATAAATTTATGTGGAGCTCAGTTTTTGTGGTTTCAAAATGTTTGCTATTTTGTGGACATTGATTTCATGGATAATTATCGACCAATAAATCTACTTACATTTATTTTAACAGTCCATGGATATATGAATTTGTGAATTAGGGTATGCTCACATTCAATGGGAATTAAATACCAACAAAAATGAGTGATTTTATTGTACCAAGTAACCTAATTTAGCATGTGAAATAGTAAAGTATCTGTATGTGTAGACCTATTGTATTAATATATTTTGGTTTGGTAGTAAAGGTGAATGAAAAATTAAATTTTGTAATGGACAATATAATTACTGAAATGATTTTTATATGCCATGATAACACAAGTTACACAAATTAAATCTTAGATGTATTCCATCATAACATGTCTACATATCATGTATGTTTATCATTTCTTTACAATCAATTAAAAACCCTGACAAACACATACATTTCCACTTGTGGGATAAGAAGTAATATCATCCAGGATACCGTCAATTCTCAAAATTAAATCTGATTAACAGGTCCAAGTAAAATGTATTTGGTGTATACCTGGGGATCTGTGCTCAAGAGATCAGGAGCCAACATAGCTAAGGCAGAGTCTTTTCTCTTCTGGGCTTTACTTCTGTTCTTATCCTTCATTTCCCCTTTCTTCTGGGCAAATCTGTTCAACAAGAGCTGATCAATCAAACACAATCCATTTGGTACACAACATTTGTGTCACAAAACCCATTTGTAAACATTTTTTTCCAATTACACTTTTTAACAAAAAACTTTAACTTGCAATGACAAATTGTGATATTTGTAATGAAATCAATCATAAAAAAAGTTTTCTTTTTTAATCTTTAAAAAGTTTGAATCAGAGAGCTTTTTGTTACTTTTTTGTCTATTACAAATCTGACAGGAATTAGTCAGCAAATTTAATTTTCACTATACCTACCCTATTCTGGAGCTGGCAGCCATTAATTCTGCCATGTGATCTTCGTCATCTAAATCTTCTTCATCATCATTCTGACTATCATATAAATCATTACCATCTTCATTCTCACTCTGAGTATCATCGCTCTCTGGACGCGTCACTGATGTTGTTTTCTGTCTCGCCTTCTGATTATTCTTAGTTCCATTCCTCCTAATCTTCCCGGCCATCTTTTCAGCATCATCATTATCATCTGACAGATACTCTGATTCCAGCATATCATATTCACCTTTTGACATGATCTCCTCATCAGATAACTGGTTGGATTTCTTTTTAGAGGACTCAGGAGATCTAATTTTGATTTGCAGTTCATTTCTTGGGGAATTTCTTGGTAAAATTTTTGGCACATTTCTCTTTAAAACTCTATGGACAATATTATTTGCTGCTTTTTTCGATGGTGACACGTAAGTTTTTAACACAAATCCTTTTGGACAAATAGCCTGAGCTTTCTTTGCCAACTGTTTTCTACGAGGACTCTTGTCCTTCCCTAGAAATGGTGACACAGTTTTAGTAGGGGATGAGAAAAATGGATTTGGGGCCACAGGGCGGTACCTGGGGACAAAGGCAGAGGATTTGGTAGGAGTTCTCTCTTGTGATTGCTGGTTAAGTTCTGAGAACTTCTCTGGGGATAATGTGTCAGACCTGAGGGGTGAATAAATAAAAGGAGCATATGATGCCATAATTTCCAGAGCTGATTTGGCTGGTGATTTTTCAGAGTGATGGGTATTCTCTGGAGTTATTTTTCCACGTATTTTTGTTAGTGATCTTTGTGTGCTTTGAACATTTTCAGGTGTACTTTCCTTAACTGGTACTGATGGTGACAATATTGCAGGGGGGTCCTGTCTGGAGTTACTTTTTGAAGGAGTTGTGAAAAGAGTCCCGTCACTACCAGATGAAAGTCCTGCATTATTGGACACTGTTGTCACTTGAGGTGTTCCTGTAGCCTCTACTATATTGGCATTTGTCCCTAGAACACTTGGAATCACTTGATCACGACAACTGACCACTTTGACAGGAGTAACTCTTTGACCTGCAACTGATACACTCCCTATACTGTTGACGACCAAGAATGTGGGTGTGGCACAGGTAACCGGAGACTTCCCCTGCACAATCACAATAGGTGACACAGGCAAAGTTTTCACAGAGTCAGACTTTTGTGGAGTTATTTGCTCCTGGGGCGTGCCAGGGTTTGGTGTCATTGGGTGTGCAGGACTTGATACCCTGTGTGTTCCCACAGGACTGGAGACATTGTCAATAATTCTGATGTTGATAGGACTAGCTGGCGGTCCTTCACTCTCTATACTGGAGCACTGGTCAAGGGAGATAAATCCAGGTGAAGGAGTTTTCCTGGAATTCTGTTTTAGCGATTTTTTCCAGCGTGGTTGGGGACTTTGAACAAAAATATGGTAAAAAATATATTGACATGTAAGACCAAATGTGATATTGTTTGTACAAAGGTTAGAATTGGGAATTTGGTCAGACCAAAAGTCTTGGAAATACAAAATGAAATAATTTGAAAACCAATGGTCTGTAGACCTCATTTGTAGCTACATAATTTCAGTAAGACATCAATGCCTCTGCTCTCATGCAAGCAAGTATAATCGATAGTACAAGTTTTCAAATGTGACCTCAAACCTTTTTAACCTTGATTGAGGACCACCTAAACTTGATGTTATGATAATATTGAGTCAACATGAATCAAGAGTTTATGACACTGGTTCTGAATGTGACAGGGTTACGACAGGAAAATGCTATATGCCTACCTTCCCTCATAAAAACAATCACATAACTAATATGATTTTCCAACAGGCAAAATAAGACATTACCAAGCATGAAATATGAAATATAAAAGATAAATAGGGAACATACTCTGTGTCACATTGTTATACAGGAAGACCAATATTAACTTACCTATTACCCATTAAAACATCTTTGTTCTGTGTTTTGAATTCAGCATCAAGTGACAAGTCTTGCGATTTGGATGAGATAGCATCCATCGACAAGCTATCCACTAAGTCAGGATCTGCCGGCGTGGCAGGGGCAGACCGAGTTTTCTTTGACTGTGGCTGTGAGATGAAAGCAGAACTGTTAAACAACAATCATGCCTATTTCTTAGTAAGAACACAATATCAAACCTAGGCTTTTTTTACAGTAGGGCATGCATAGGTAACCATTAAGTAATACATACTGATTGTCTAGGGATGATATTTAAATTTCAGGGTACACAAAATTATTCTTTGAAGTCTACATGTTAATATACCATACTTGGCACCTATCAGCCATTTTGATTTTATGATCAGTACCAAAATCAAATGGGCACAACTTTGGTCCAAAGGGAACCTACATATGTAATTTGAGAAATGTCTATTATATAATTCTCAAAAATAAGTGATAACAGACTTGCAATGTCAAAATCCAAGATGGCCACCTGTGGGCATTTTATTTTTCTGATCATTCATAAAATCAAAATGAGAACAACTAGGGATAAAGGGGGACCCACAAATGAAACTTGAGAGCGATCCATCCATTACTTTTAAAGAAATTGACATAACAAAAGGGGAACCTAAATTTGAAATTTGAGAACGAACTGTCCAGTACTTCACAGGAAGTAGACATATTAATCTTCACTGTAAAAATCCAAGATGGCCACCTGTCGGCCGTTCTGGTTTTCTGATAAATCCAAAATCAAATCGGGCACAACTTGGAACGATGGGGAACCTACATATGAAATCTAAGAGAAGATTTATCCTGTTCTATTCCAGAAAATGTGGTAACGAAATTGTTTACAGACAGACAAACAATGGATCACAGATGTAGGGGGATTTGAATAACCTTCATTAAATATATGCTAAAAGTCCCATATAAACGGTCTTGGTTACAAATAACATGCCTCTACAATTGTAAGATGGTTATACACAACTTTACATTTATTGTCATACCTTGTTTTTCTTCTCCTTTGTCCTGATGGGCAGGTTGACACTACGAGCACGTCTTTTTCTCCCTACTATCTCTTTGTCAGGAGTAACCTCCCCTCTTGTGCAAATGATTTCCTTAATCCTCATCTCCTGTATAAGAGGCAACATATTAAGTGAATGGTTAAATTTCCATTAATTTTATGACTTAACAATTTTCCACAATCATTCTAAAATCTATTCCTTGTTAAAAGATCTTAAGATCTTAAAAGTCAAAGTAAAAAAAATGTTCAGAACAAAGTTTTGCAATAAAAAAAAAAGGTTCACATCAAGTTTCTTCACACAAATATGTTTGGAACATTGATGTGATTTTTGGATTTAAACCCAACCCAGCTGAATAAAATATTAAAGACCTGCTTTAAATAGAACATAATTTTTTCAAATGCTTGCTTCAAAATCTTGAGAGAAAGAAAGAAAGAAAGGAAAGGAAAGGAAAGAAAGAACAAATCAACTACATAATCTGTTTGCTTTGACAGAGAGATAAGAGAAAGAATAATATTCTATATTTTATGACTACTGCAGACATAATATCAGCTGTTATCAAAATGATCATGTTAGGAAAATCTTTTTATCGTACCAGGACATATTTAAAGTATGAACAAATCAATGAATGATAAACCATTATAAGGCAAAAGAACAACTGCACAAAAAAAAAAAAAAAAAAATGAAAAAAAAACCCCATCTATTCCAGCTTGAAACAAATTATTGGAAACAGGTTATCTTATTTTTCCACAACAAAATAGTTTTGTAAATCAGCTCTACCAAATTCTCCTAGAAATAATACACAGAACAAACCTTACACAAGTAAGGTAAGTAATCCCCACAACTAACCTTACACAAGTAAGGTAAGTAATCCCCACAACTAACCTTACACAAGTAAGGAAAGTAATCCCCACAACTAACCTTACACAAGTAAGGTAAGTATTCCCCACAACTAACCTTACACAAGTAAGGTAAGTATTCCCCACAACTAACCTTACACCAGTAAGGTAAGTAATCCCCACAACTAACCTTACACAAGTAAGGTAAGTAATCCCCACAACTAACCTTACACCAGTAAGGTAAACAATCCTCACAACTAACCTTACACAAGTAAGGTAAGCATTTACACCAGTAAGGTAAGCATTCCCCACAACTAACCTTACACCAGTAAGGTAAACATTCCTCACTACTAACCTTACACCAGTAAGGTAAGCATTCCTCACTACTAACCTTACACCAGTAACGGAAACATTCCCCACAACTAACCCATAAACCAGTAAGGTAAGCATTCCCCACAACTAACCTTACACCAGAAACGTAAGTATTCCCGACAACTAACCTTACACCAGTAAGGTAAACATTCCCCACAACTAACCTTACACCAGTAAGGTAAGCAATCCCCACAACTAACCTTACACCAGTAAGGTAAACATTCCCCACAACTAACCTTACACCAGTAAGGTAAGTAATCCCCACAACTAACCTTACACCAGTAAGGTAAGCAATCCCCACAACTAACCTTACACCAGTAAGGGAAATCTCTGTTGATATGTTGGTCTTTTGGAGCCTTCATTTGACTCTCATCCCAGTCAAGGCCATACTGGGGAAACTCTGGCAACTGCTTGGTTCGCTTCAGTTTCTGAAATAAAGATAAAATAAAACGTTAACCAGCCAAAAAAGGAGGACAATCAATTTTTTTTATTGTGATCTAGTCACGAATTGATCTTCAAACCAAAATCTGAAAGGTGTAGATATGAACCAAATCTAACGGGACATCCACAAGATATGATATGGATTCAGAACAGGACGTTATAAGAGGGAAATGGGTAATCCTATACTCCTCCCTAATGGAATGGGCAGGGTTTTCCATAATTTTGTTAAGTAGTAGGCTGTGTAGTGAAAATAGGAGGCTGGCCTGTCGTGTATATGTAGTCTTGTACGGAACATTATTACGGAACTGGATTGGTGTAGGCGGCCAAATGATCAAAGTAGCCGGTCAAATTGGCTGGCGACCAGCTCTTATGAAAAACCCTGGAATGGGGCACTAGAAATACCCATGATTTAAACACTTACCTTGATAACATTATCAACAATCTTGGTTGCTGACAGATTCTTTATCCTTATTTTGATTTGGTCGGGTGTTTTACATGGTAACAGGAACTTCTGTATCAATTCTCGGTGAAGAGGAAATGAAGAGAACTGATCATAACCAAGGGCCAATAAACTGAAACACAAAAAGCATGTGTGTAGGGTTTTCAAAACAAATTACAAAAAGTAAATTCCCTTGTGAATCCACCTCAACTCATGTGCAATACATAAGTGGCCGAGTGGCATTCAAAGTCGTGGTTAGTGAGAATTCATTTAAAAGTTTCATCAAATTTGACCCCTGTGACCTTTAATATGGTCAAGGTAATTTCTTTTCACAAACTTTTGATTGATTCATATCCTAAACATTTTGGTCAAAAACCATATAGTACAGATGATTTAATAACACAACCAGTTGAAGATTTGAGTATGATGTTTTGATTACTACACAGTCACATTCACTAGACACAAAAAAAAAAAAAAAAAAAAGAAAGGTGAAACATGCTAGCACTGATGTAAAAAATGTCCCACTCTAACTTTCTACTGGTTAAGTTAAAAAACTTCTATTTTGTTGACATTACCAACCTGAAGAAAATGCTCTGAAGTGGTCAAATACCATGATTCTAAGCATTACTTACCCAGGTAATCAGAAAATAGTTGTTTGAAGGTTTTAACAAATTTAACCCCAGTGTGACTTTGAATATGAGTCTAGGTAATTTTTTTTCACAAACATTTTTGGGCGTTATCCAATACCTTCCAGCCAATTATCATGATACTTGGCCTTTTGATTATTGAGACCAAGCTATTTGAAGGTTTTAACAATTTTGACCCCTGTGTCCTTGAATATGGCAAAAGGTGATTTCTTCTCGCAGACTTCCATCAGCTCCAAGCCAGGGTAATTCCAGCAAAATAGCATGATTCTAAGCCCTTTTGTTATTGAGATGATTGGTGACCTTGAACATTGGTCAAATTCATTTCATTTCCAAAACTTTGTTAAGATTCATCACAGGAACCTTCAAACCATACATCATTATTCTTGGCCTTTTGGTTATTCAAAAAAGATTGCCTGAAGCTTTTCACAACTTTAATACCTGTGACCTTGAATATTAGTCAAAAATTTTTTTTCACAAAATTTTTTTGGCCTTCATCCAAAAAATGTCATACAAATATCATGTTGCAAAGTGTTTTGGTTATTAAGAAAAAATATGTTTAAAGGAGACATCAGAGTGACACTTCACCATGTGTTAGCTCTTTTGTCCTTTCAGGATAGGTGAGCTAAAAATAGGGTATCAGTATTAGTGATGTGGCAAAGGGCACTAATCTGAGATTCTGTTTATACCAGACAGCAAAGGGCACTAATCTGAGATTCTGTTTATACCAGACATGATAAAAAATATTCAAGAATCAACTTTTTATATCTAACTATAGAAACATTCCATTTGATCAAAATGTTTCATGTGCTATCACTTCAATGAGTTACTCACTTATCCTCAGCCTCTGTAAAAGTGATTCTTTGTTTGACCTTGGGTACAGAACAGTCAAATCCACCCAATGGGAGAAGACTTGGATAGAGGAAAACATCACCATTCCAGATTGTCTCTCTTTGGGTTTGGGTGAGCTGTGGTAATGTAGACTTTGGACTTGGAAGAGTGGCTGGGTCTTTGAGATCTTGTCCTGTAACATATTGATGCGGTATCTTACAACTTGGGATGATTTACCTCCCCAGTTCCATATTTTGATGGTGAATTCGTCATTGAGACAATGACTGAAGCAGACTGACAAATGGCTGAGAGATTGGACAACATGTACAAATGAATTCTCTCTAAAAGCACAGACAACTTGTGAAATACTTAACCATAATCAGTGCAACAAAACTGTACCTTGATCACCATCAACAACCTCTAATATGCGGTCTTTTTGGTTGCTGTTGAGATTGGTGTAGTGTTTAGCCAGCAGACTAGTGAGAGACTTTTCTGGGGACAAAGTTCGTCCTTCAGGGTTGGGGCATTGCACCCATTCCTTTGTCTCCGACACCAATTTCAATGCTCCATCCAGGTTGTGCGCATAGAATGCAGAACGTCGGACAGGAGTAACAAGGGAACTACTACTTGCAAAACATTTGAGTTCCTTCTGCAATGACCAACAAATCAAAATCTATATTATACTGAAGTAATGTTTGCATTCTTTTGTCATTAATAAAAATAAGATGCTTTGCTTTAGTGTATATTTTTTTTTTTCAGAATCACCACCTGATATATAAGCGAGGAAACCATAATAAATTGTTTCAGTTTTCAATTTAACCTAGATACTCCAGTGATATCTAGTCAAGGCACTGTTTTCAAAATACTGTATGCAGTTTATATTTTGGAGATTTATATGACAGTGATTTTATGCCTGACTGTAACAATAGTTATAAGGTATCATTACATCACATATATCACTGATGGATATTTCAACTTAGGAACAGTTTAAAATGATCTCACATAAGCTGTATAGAATGATTTCTAAAGGTCTTAATTACCAGTAGGAAGGTAGAGTCTGCAGCCACTGAGCCATGTGTCTCCTGAGAGCTCTGTGACATCACGTAAAGCTGGGCTAGAAGTTGTACATGCTGTAAACACAAAAAAGATATACTCAAATATGATATATTGTTTTACTTAAAAAGACAATACACTGTTCTACAATACTCAAACATCTATAAATAGACAGGAGAATGTTGACATAGTGATTTATTCAAATCTGATAGGATGGATTATAGTACCAGGCCTTTCTCACGTGATCTTCCACCTGTAGATAACCTTTCTCATGTGATCCTCCACCTTTAGATAAACTTTCTCATGTGATCCTCCACCTGTAGATTACAAACTTTTCTCTTGTGATCCTTCACCTGTATTTAACAAACCTTTCTCATGTGATCCTCCACCTGTAGATAACAAACCTTTCTCATGTGATCTTCCACCTGTAGATAACAAACCTTTCTCATGTGATCCTCCACCTGTAGATAACAAACCTTTCTCATGTGATCTTCCACCTGTAGATAACAAACCTTTCTCATGTGATCTTCCACCTGTAGATAACAAACCTTTCTCATGTGATCCTCCACCTGTAGATAACAAACCTTTCTCATGTGATTCTTCCCCTGTAGATAACCTTTCTCATGTGATCCTCCACCTGTAGATAACAAACCTTTCTCATTTGATCCTCCACCTGTAGTCGTTCTGACTCTGTCATTGTTAAGGCACCTGGAGCAGATGAGGTTACCACAGTGGTAACGCGTCGCTGCTTTTTGTGTGATCTGGAATATACATCACTTAATATGTATTTGATAGTAAATATGAATTAAAATGAAGATTTATCAGTGTTGAAGTAATCCTACAGACTAAATGCTTTTTATTTTCTTGTAATACAGCTTCTTAAACAAATGAAAAGATTATGGTAATCTTCCCTCCAATTGGTTTTTCACTTACTTGATGAGGTTATTTCGTGCCATTTTCTTCATCTTCTGTTTCTCAGCTTCCTCCATCTCTACATCTTCATACACATCAAAGAGCTCATCCATTAGTTGGTTCATCTCCCGCTCTGTAATATAACCACACCAATTAATATAATAAGGCCCTATTTCAGGAATAATAGAGATTTTTCCACAAAATGATTCAAACTTAACTGGGTATTATTTCAGTTTTAAGAATAACTCTCTAGAAATATCAATAATGATATATCAAATCCACGATTGATGGCCATGTGGCACAGTTGTAGCATAATTGCCATTCACCTAGATGTCTGTGGTTTGATTCTAAAGGGCAGATGTGAAAAGGTATGGGGTTACCAGCCTAACACATGTGTTTCCCCCAGGTACTCCTGTTTCCACTCATAGTAAGACCTCCTAACACCCTTTTATTGTGGCATAAAAAGTGGTTACTATAAGCCTATAGCTTGTTTTAAAATAAAATTTGTATATACATAAAAAAATTAAGAATCTTGTACTTTTCTAGGCAGAATGAGAGCAAGAAAGGTTTACGGAAAGATGGATGACTGACTATGGAAAAAACATGCAACTATGGATGAGAGATCAGAAAGACTTTGAGAAAAAAAATTGTTGTCCATTCCTTAGGATCATCAATATCAACAAAACACACTGAACAAATCGTCTGAGAAAAATGATCATGATATCAGCAAAGATGTAAGCATCCCAGTGAAGCTTTTCAGGGCACATGTGTGATAATATTTTATGTTCAATTATGCCTAATCCAGGTTTCATTTCACAAAACTTTAAGTTAAAATTGGCTTTCTATAAATGTGTTCTTGTAAATTCAAAGATGGCGACATTCATAATGATCGGTGTTTCAAGAAAACGTGATATCAACCAGAAAGTGACATTAACAGACAAGGCATTAAGTGGGTTCCACTGTACATAAATTATCTTGGTTTGAAAGTCAAAGCTTTGGTATTAATAATGGGACTGATGCCATCTTAATGAATTCATTACAAGGATCTTCTGGAAGCTTTTATAGTAAAATCCTTTGTTGTATCTAAAACTTTTGTAAAGACAATTTACAATAATCTTCAATCGATAAAACAACAAAAGGTAAATGCATACTTGAGACCTGGACAGCACGATCTGAACGTAAGTCTTCCCTATCCACCTCAGACTTGGCAGCATCTTCCAGATAGTCATACTCTGGATCTTCCTCATCACCACCATCATTGGTATCTTCAGTTTCTGAAACAGATAATGTAAGACATTTTAACAGCAAAGTCAAAATCATTATTTAAAATTTTGTTTCCTGAATGGGTGCTAACAAAGTTATCGACCCACACGACAATTGACCAGTGCACTGCTGATATTCACTAAAAGGTTTCATCAGTAAAGTAAGAATGATTACCACCACATGTTCTGACTAACAGTATCGACTACTGACCACATGATCCTAACACTGAAAAGAAATACTGACCACAAGGTTTTACCAGTGAAGTGAGGAAAGTCTGCCACTCATTGTCATCACATTGTGTGTCATACATGTCTGCTGTGATGTCAGGGGCCACAAAGGTAGATTCCAGCTCTGTCAGAGTGGTTTCCGTTAAAGATAACTTTGATCTTGTCCTCAATGCAATAGTTTCTTCCTGTAAAATCAATTGTTGTAAATTAAAAAAAGAAGAAAAAAGAAATACTTGATGTCCTAAGGAAAGAGAAGTTGATATTACTTGAAGATGGAGCTTTATGATGATGCCTCTGCACCCAAGATATGTGTTTCTATCGACACCACCTTCCCATATGTACCTTCACACAGTGAAAGCACTAGTAGAAAATAATAAACTCACATCTCCTCAACTTCAACATTATAGATATATATATATAGAGATATAATTGAAAATATAGAATCAACACAACAAATGTGTTTCAGTAACATTTTCAGGCATAACAGTTATCTTCAGGTAACAAAAGATTTTCTATGTAAGAGATGTAAAACATGTAATAATAATGATAACGATCACACTCTGAGGGGCCAATGCCTTGAAGTTGTAGCTCAGAAAAAGCCTTCTTTTGAGATTTTTAACTATATTTTTGCAAAAACTGAAAAAATATAATAAAAAAATAAAATGTTGTTAATAGCAAAAGGTTCAACTATGGCACTAAGTTAATATGTGCAGAAAGTTTTGTGAAGTTGAGTGGAACAATTTGGAAGATATAGCCTGGAAAAGCCTCTTTTCGTGTTATTTGACTATGTTTCCATGGAAACAGAAAAAAAATATAAAAAGTGAAATGACGGCAATAGCAAAAAGCACAAATAGGGCACCCATTTAATATGTGCAGAAAGTTTTGTGAAGTTGAATTGAACGGTTTGGATGTTATAGCCCGGAAAAGCCCTCTTTTGGTGTTTTCTGATTATGTTTCCATGGTAACAAAAAAGATATAATAAGTGAAATGTCGGCAATAGCAAAAGGTACAACTAGGGCAATGACTTAATATATACAGAAAGTTTTGTGAAGTTGAGTTGAACGGTTTGGAAGTTATAGCTTGGAAAAGCCCTCTTTAGGTGTTTTCTGACTATGTTTCCATGGTAACAGAAAAAATATAAAGAGTGAAATGTCGCCATTAGCAAAAGGCACAACTAGGGCATCAACTTAATATATATAGGAAGTTTTGTGAAGTTGAGTTGAATGGTTTCGAAGTTATAGCCCGGAAAAGCACTTGGACGGACCCCAATTTAATAACCCCCGCACACATGTTTCGTGGGGGATAAAAAGTAGCTCAGATATGCTCTGGAAAGCGTTGAAGTGTTGCAGTTTAACAGCTTGATGTCAATACATGAAACACTGAGTAGGCATTGCTTCAAAGACTTGACTGTATCATACCAGTGTTTCCAATCAGTCAAAAGTGTAATGATCCTCCTTTTAGTATGTAACAACACATTCACAACTTTTACCAATTTGCTAAGTTTGATGTCTGTACACAAAACAGTAGCAGGGATATGCTCTGGAAACCTCATCTTCAGGCATTGGATGCATGGATACACCTATGCATGTACAAGGTTTATACTGAATATACCCAATTTCAGTTGAAACAACACTTTTAAAAACCAGCCGTATTGATATGGAACAGAAGGTATACAATTTTTTTACCAACATGGCCAGAGATATATTATGACTTTATCCTCCTTGCCAAACCATTATTAACAAAGACTCAGACCAAGATGACAAATTGGTGGAATTTTATATCTCTGATAGGAATCTGACTTTCTCAAGATTTACACAATTTTCCATTCATAAACCCTGCCTTCAATAAATCAATGTTTTAACAAGGACTGATTGATAAGTTGTGAGCAGGGATGTCTTTTTTCTGTGAACCTTGTATTGAAGAAGTTGAGCAGGGATGTCCTTTTTCAACTCTACTATTCCCTGACTATATAAAGCTGTGTACCCAAAGACTGATGGGCAAAATTGCTGAAAGAGCAGTGATTCAATATTAGCATAAGAAAGGTCTAACACCAAAGGATATCTATACTATATACCAGCAACACTAGGGAATGATGCCCCTTCACATGCCTAGTGAAAAGGTGGATGGCAGAATTTAGGCATAGCAGGCAGAGCCTTGGGATGATGTCCATCCTGGATGGTCAGTCACTGTTGCAACCCTAGAAATGGTCAATTAAGTCCACAATATTGTTATGGCTGACATGCAAGTTAAAGAGATATATAGCCAGTACAATTGGGATTTCATAGGAAAGGGTAACCTGAACTTTAAGAGGCAGATCCTGCTAACTTTCTGCAAAGGTTTGTGACTATGGATGAAATGTGAGTCAATCATTTAACCCCAGAGGCCAAACAACAGTCTAAACCATAGAAGCACCCTGGTTAAACCACCCCAAACAATGCACAGACTATTCCATCACCTGAAAAGGCTATTGGTCTTGGTTTTCTAGAATGCTGAAGGTATTCTGATTGGACATTATCTGCAAAAGGTACAAACGATTATTTATCATGCATCACTTCTTAGGCAGTTAAGAGGAAATATTAAACTCAAGCGTTGCAAGAAGAAAACTCAGGATAATGCCCTTGTTCACAAGTCTATCATCACCATGGCTGCCATTAATGATTATGGCTTTGAATTGATTGAGCATCTGCCTTTATCCCCTGATCTCGCACCATCAGATTTCATCTATTGCCAAAATTGAAAAAGGTCATTTCCAGTACCCACTTTCGAACAAATGATTACATTATACATACAGTGGAGAGGACTTTCTGAACGGTCAAGAAAAGGACTTCTTTAAAAGTGTCATTGAGACCCATAAAAACCACTGGCAAAAACGTTTATAGCTACTGGAGGGAATTCTATTGGAAAATAATGCAATATGTCAGCCAAAAGTCAAACCCTTAAACATGAGGCTCACAACTTATCAATCAGCCCTTGTAGCTTTCCAATATTGGGAAAATCCTTGTGTACCTCTGTTTTGTCTGCAGCAGCCATTGCTTCCTGGTACTTTCTCCCTAACAAGTGTTTCTGGCTTGGTGGTCCCATAGGACTCCATCCCTACAAACAACAAAGATATTCAAATATCTAAATGTTAACAATTATTAAAAATCTTTCTTTTAGACATTTATTTAGATTATGATTGTGTTCATGCTTTTCAATTAAGCAAAAAAAGAAAAAAAGAAAAATAAATACATAAACAAACAACAAAGAAAAAAAAAGAGAAAAAATATTGATGAGGCTTCATAATTTGTTTAAGATTTGTCTAATATATCTGTAATTCAAGTTACACCAACACTTACATCTCTAGTGGAAGGTGTGATGTTAAAGTCAGACAGCCGATCACATGATCTTGGGGTTTGAGGAGTAGAGGGTGCCGGGGAGCCTGTGTCACTGACTTGGGATGATGTCATGCTCTCAGTGTCCTCATCACTAACAGAATCAGGCTATAAAATAAGAAATAAGTAATTTAAACTCAGGCTTTATAATAATAACATAGGTTATGGAAATATTCATGCAAAATGCACTAAAATGTATGACCCCACCACAACCCCCAAATACCAAATTTCAAGTTAGTTTTTATAAATAGGTTGCATGAATTCTTTAAAATGCACTCAATTTTGACAATTTTAGCTCCAAAAGATACCACTTTTTCCATTGAGAGAGGGGAAAATTTGTCTTCTATTTCACAGCACTTGTTTCATATGGCTATAAATAGATCTGAATTGAACAGAACAGGCCATAAAACTCTGCATTCAATCCTATAAATCTTGTTCCCTCATCCCCAAACTAAGATTTCTGTAATCTATCTGGTGAGTTCACATGTCCATACTGAATTGTAAGTACATTGCAGGTTTGATTAGAATAGCACTAGACGATATTTTGTCAAAGCAGTAAGTGTTGTGGTGTCTACCATGTGATCTTGTTATATCCCAAGTTTTGTTACAGTAAGACTTATAGATCAACAGAGTAAAACTTAAAAGAGAACATTGACAGTCACTGCTACAAAAGTAACACATTAGTCTCACTTCAGCATTTTTTCCTTGCAGACGAGACAAAAACTTATAAAATCTAGGTTACAACCTAACGTCTTGGAAACGATATATAAACTAGAACCAGCTCTCCTGAATTTTCAGGGTTTCCAAATAGTTGTAACGAAACCTCAGACTAATAAGTCTGCAATCACCTCTGTAGCTCAACCTCAGCGACTTGGGATGATGGTTACCTATGTGACTAAACTTTGGTAAATAGGGATGATGGATATCTCTGACAAAATCTTCGTAACAATGGAGGATGGTTACTTCTGACTAAACTTCACTGACAAGGGATGATGATTACCTCTATGACATACTAAATCTTGGTGACCAGGGATGATGATACCTCTATGACATACTAAATCTTTGTGACAAGGGATGATGATAAATCTAAGACATACTAAATCTTGGTGACCAGGGCTGATGGTAACCTTTGTGACTTAATCTCAATGAGAGTAGTGGTGATGATTACCTCTTTGGATGGATCATACTCATCATCTTCCTCTTCATCATCTGGAAATTCCACCTCTAAGAAGCTTGCACCAGGTGGTTTAGGATTTTTCAGTGGTGACAGTGGCCAGGGATGCAGAACCTAGTCCAGAAATACATATATACAAAGAAATCAACATGATCAACAGCTTCCTATTCCTGACATGTGTTTTTAATATCAGAACTAGCATCACCAAAAATACCTGGTTATTTGATATTCATTGCAAACTTCATCACTAATTGTATGTTTTGATTGCCTTGGGACAGTTAGAGAAGACAGTGCAAATTATTTGTTCTATTGTAGTTCCATGATTAAGGTTTTCTATGTAAATATTATATACATTAAGCACTATCATTAAGAAGGTATTATGAATCATTACAAAAGGTTACACTTATATATCGATAATATCTGGATAAATTAAAGTTCATATCCCTATTTCTTAGCTATTTATAACATCCCTGGTAACAAGACCTCTTAACAGTTATCTGTAAAGTTTCAAACTTAAAGACAACACAGTGTTAATTAACAATTTCAATATTTAGCAATTCATGAATGGGCTCCAGATTAAAACTTGTATCTAAAAGCATGTCTTGTCAATCAAAACACAATCTTATAATACTCCTCATTTGGAATAATAGTAATTTCAGTCGTAAATCAGAAAGACAATTGAATATATTATTTGCAACAAAACTTTACCCAAAAGGTACCAGACAGACAGGTGAGAGAACATAAAAATTTATCTCAATTCTTAATAAAAACAAACGCTGATATGTTAGAATAACACAGTGGATTTCCATTCATGTATGCAATTTGCATCATGGACAGCTAATTTGTCTAGGGCTAATACAATACACTTAAATTATAATGAGAAATATCCTTCAAGATAGCTGATTATGTCCTGATTTTTTTAATCTCTGAAACAACTACACAATGGTGACATTTATTTTTCCTTACATCTCCTTCTTCTTGAATGATGTGCTTGACCTTTGACCTTGTCATCTTGGGTTCATAGTGGGCTTCAAACTTCTCGTTTTCAGCCCTCAGGGTGTTCTTCACCATGGCAACCACATGTTCATTGGTAATGACTTGCTGATAAAAAATGATGAATAAACATATTTAATATACAGGCTATCATGTTGATCTGTTTTCAATCATTTGGAAATATTTTCAATAAAAAAACAAACTTTCAACATTTAGAACACATAGGCATTTAAAAGTATACAGCAAAAACATGCTTGAATAGAATACATCAGATGAGTCAAATGTTTTGTTCAGTCCCAATTATTTCTCTTCATTATCTAAGTGCATTAAACAATACATTTTGTTCGCTCATCCCTTCTAAATTTTACCAAAATTTTCTTTTTTGTGTCGAACATTCAGATGTCACTTTGTCTAAGGTAAAAATTTCCTGCCTTCTGGTGGAATGATCTAGTGTGATCGGTCCGCTGTATCTATTTATGAACCCTATTATAATTTTTGATCAAACATTCATTCCTGCATTTATATAGGTGCATAGGTGAAAGTTAGAATTTATACAGGATTAGGAAACTTAACTTCAAATAAAATATACTGTAGTCTGCTAACTGTAAATCTTTTGTGTTTTGTTTACTTTTTTAAGGGCGTAGCTGTCAGAAACCAAAATGAAAAGACAAGTGATGTATCAGGTAAACAACCAATGAAAATAATATCATTCTGAAAAAATATTTCATAGAAACAAGTCAAACAATCAGATAAGTCAAATATTTCATTTGGTTCCATCAACTTCGACTTATCCATTTTTACAGTATATACCAAAAACTAAAATATGCATAGAATTATACATTTTGTGGGAATACACTATTTGATGTGGTTGGCTGGATACTGTTGTTATGACAACAATAATCTTAAAGTGCAGAAATAACCAATCAAACAGAACAAGGGACATAAACCGTTCTATACAAGCAGTATGTGGAAAAAATGACCAGAGCTTGGATCATTAAAAGTTTGGATACATGTTGTGGCATTCTCTAGTGCATTGGATATTGTAAGTTCCCTGTGACATTTGAACCCAGTGTTCAAAATTATAGGCAGACAATCATGTCTAGCAGAAATGTTTTGGTCTATACACAAGTCTATGGGCCTCCTGTCTCTTTCTACACAAAATGTTTGTGACATCTACAAAAATGCACTGAATCATTAATGAAAAAGATGGGCATTCAATCTTTAGTCCCTTTACTGAATGATACATGAACCTTCTTGGTTAATGAACCTGTAATATTTCAAACTAAAGCAATTGTATTTATGTTTGGTGACTGAAAAACATTCGTAGATCAGAAGACAGAAAGCAAAGATCAGAAAATTATCCAAACCCAGGATCTATTCTCTGACATAGGCTTTCCAAACTTAGATGCTATGGATCAAACTTATCCAGGTCCACTGCATTTTTATCTCAGTCTATGACAAATGCTTGTTGTTTAAATCTTTGATACAAACATACTGAACACAAAGACTCAAATGCCAACCATTACTGCTGGATAACTATGAAAACTACAAAGTAGAATGCCTACATGCAGAAGTTTTTTGACGTTGGATGCTGTGAGATTACTCCGGAGTACATTTTCCTCAAGGGCCTCATTTATTGGAGCATCTGTATCCGACTCTTCCAAAATCGTCCAGCAATTATCATCATCAGAACTTTCACCTTCATCATTTGAATCATCATCTTCATCACAATCAAGTGTGTCTACTGATGCATTTGGAACATCCAAGCTCTTCCTTGCAACTTTTGGTCGACTTTGTGTTAACTTTCTGAAATCATTTGTTTAAAATGGAATGTGAACAAAGCGACATAGTAACTGAAATATTGAACTGTGTATGATCAACTTATGACATATTTTTCGACTAACACATAAATAAATCTGGAAAATAATATTTCAGTAAAAATTTAATCAGGAAATTACAGTTGTAAAGAAATATGCTGTTTTTCTCAAGATCATTTTGATCAATACACATAATACAAAGTAGAAATATGTAACTACAAATGTACATATATATAAATGATCCAATATATACATTTATGTTCACATAAATGTCAATTTTGAGAAGTAAGTTACATACCCTGGGCTCCTTTTAACTCCTCGTCCTTGAATTTGTGCAAATCGTTTGGCTGGAGATTTGTACAATTCCCTTCTTCTCATACCTGAATCCCGACTTTTTTTGGCGATCTCCTGTCTGACTTGTTTGTTAGACCTGTGAATGGTAGTGGCTAACTCTCCACTTGCTGAATTCAGAAAGCTCAACTGTTCATTAATAAAAGCTAAACTCTCATCCTCATTCCTTTCCACTGGAGAGCTGAACATGTTGCCATCTTCAGGGGTTGTGGATGCTGTATACTGCCCTTGTTGTTCAGGTGTTATTGTTGACTTTACCAATGGAAATTGATTTTTCACATGCTGATCCTGGTCACATTGGTCTACAGTGTTTAATGAACTTTCAGCACTGCTAGATTTACAAGGCTTTGAGTTAGTATCCTGATTTTCGCTCATTTTAGCATTTATACTTCTTGTTATCAAAAGCCTCTGTGATTAACAGATTATCCAATACAAACCTATCCCCCCAAACTGGTATTTCAGTCAATATCACATCCTTTGTAGAATATTTCATCACATAATATTTCTTTGATTCCTCAGTTTAGCCAAAGATTGGCCACTGCTTATAGCTGGCTCATTCATTTTGCATCACATATTTATACTGCAGAACTGTACAAACAAACAAGACCAGATATTATATGAAAACAAAAATCACCAAAATAAAATTTAATTTCAACTTATTTCCATCACATCTATATACTTGGAATTACCTCATATCTAATCATTAATGTAGAATTAAGCAAATAAGTTTTTGAAAATAACAATAGAAAATAACATTTTCATAATTAGGAACCAAGATAATGATTGTTATTCGTCAGAAGAATTACAATATTTGTATGTTTATCAATTTCAAATTTAACAAAATATTTCTTGAGTTTTTGCTGGTGTAGAATATGTTATATCAAAGCCTAATGTTATAATGTATTTAGAGAAGAGAAGATGGTCCAATCCTATACAATACAATCAAACAAATGTCCTGTATTAGAACAGCATTGAATACTGGAATAGACTTATTCAGGCAATTTCGTCTTTGGAAAGGACAGACACATTTTTACCTTCATATTGTATATTTGTTCAAATGGGTCTTTTTAAAGGACAGACACATTTTCACCTTCACATTGTCTATTTGTTTAAATGGGCTTTCAAAGGGCAGACACATTTTTCATTGGTAATTTCATATCGCAAGTTTGTAAAATGATTATTAAAGCACTCTATCAAGTCATCATAATCCAAATGTTCTTTTGAATACGTCCAGAAATACACTTTTTTGATGGACACAGAAACTGATAATAAGAATGAGATTGTTACTCGGGTTGATTATTCATCAAGAGATCGCGGAGACGAAAGTCTTGGGGCATGAACGAGAGTATATTTTTCAGGGACTTAAAATGACGCACATTAAAATAAAAACAAGGATTAGCTCATAAACTGGTTTACCTATTTTGTCAAACTATCACAGAAATTCGCTTACGTTTCTCTGAAACACCTTTTCAGACGACTGCGAACTAGCGCCATTTTCCTTCAAAACACGGTCGAAAATATTTCGGAATGGTGTTTTGATATAAAAACAAACGGAATATTTTCAATATGGTCATCACGTTACAGGCCATCTAGTTGACATCAAATTTATACAGAGTTACTCATGTTGAAGGAGAAACCATATGGGGATTAAATATACTGCATGCCTGTTTTTTTTTATCACATTAGAAAACAAATTTGATTGGTCTCGAATCTGCGTCTTCACATCGAAAGCTAGCTTTCTTACGGGAAGTGGAAATCTCGCATTGCTCATGATGCCGGTTGGAGGCTTCGCTGAAGGCCACATGCAGTAGGGATATTCCTTGTATTTAAATAACTGCAACGAAACATAAATGCAAGATGAATACTAGTGTTAGAGTTGTGATAGCCTCCGTGCTTTCCCGAAGAATTGTTACTCGTAAGTGACTTTTCAAAACATTTAAAGGATCTTTGAAGTTAGGATTTGTTGTTGTAGACTAGATTCACAGTTGCTTAATACTAATAGGATAGGATAATCTCTCGCCAATCCGTTGAAAGAGGACATTTGGAATAGCTTCAATTAAACAAGAGGAGAACATAATGACCAACAGGGAATGTCGAACGTATCGGACCCAACAATCATAATTTGCACCAAGACGTTTCGCAACCACTTGTGATTATTCGTCCCATTAAAATACTACGACTGACATGATAGGAAAATCATAAAAACAACCGAACACTATAGATCTATAGGTCAATTATCCAGTCTTGGCTTTCCTAGAGAATCATTTAACACAAGAGGAAATGTTTAAAAACTAGGCCTGTATAGATAAAAAATATATTCATGGCAAATGCTAGAGGTCACGCATTCACAAATAAAACTGTAAACACTTCTTTACCCAACCAAGCTGTTGATTGCCTTCCCATAATTTAGACTAGATAAACATATATTTTATCAGTCCAACATGTACAATCTTGGTCAAAGCACTAAGTCTGTGGTTCTAGTGAAGAATTATTAAGATATGTCAATAGAAGCAACTATGCTCACAAGGACATTAAGGATGTTATCCATATAACATGAAACAATTTGCCCTTATATTTAAAGTTGAGATAAAGTTAATAATAATAATACAAAAAAAAAAAAATCAAATGTGCTTCATTATTGTATCAATCATCAGATTAATTTGCCTGCCACAAGATACTAGCATAAAGAATCTGATGAAGTGGTGGGCAGTGCTTCCTCTGTTGCCTTTTTTAAAGCTCATTGCTGATTTACTTTGATTTCATACATGGTTTCATATTTTATCTAGTACCTTAGTCAGATTCACAATAAACATTATTATACCATTCTTGTCCTTTTTTATAATATAAACATCTAATGGTATTACAGTATGCTGGTGTTTTGTAAATGTTCCATTATTTTCATTCTTGAAACATTTTTTTGTAATTTCAGGACCGTTTCATGTTCGCAAAATCCAAAAGAGTTTTTTTGCAACATCATCTGAAGATGGTTCTTCAGGTCCACCAGTTGACTCTGCAGGTTCACAAAGAATATCTTTTTCTGAAAGTTTGAGAAAAATGAGAGAAAATTCTTCTTCTCAGAAAGAAAACACAGTCCTGGGGAGTTCATCATCTGACAGTTCAGATTCTAGTGATTCATCTGATGAGGAAATTTTACTGCATGGTAAAACAGGACATGGTGACTTCTCCAGTAGATCCTCTAAACCTGTGGTCAGGAGTGAAGACATGCTCAGAACCACTGAATCGGATCCAGTTAGTTATGTTTTATTTTTTCTTGGTTGTGGTATATTGATCAACTAGTTGTAAGAATTTAAGCCCAAGTGCATATGCCAAGTATACTATGTCTCGAAAGTTAATTAAAAAGAGAGCTGTCTATAACTTATTGTAATCACTCTGTAGAACGCTGAGACTAGATTTAATAACATAATAACATTTATCATGCATATCTAATACAAGCATGAAGGATCTTGAGATTGTCAAGATTAACACTGACCTTTTAATTTCAAACCTTAATAAAAATTCCACATCTTCTTTATCAAAATATAGTAATTCATATGTCAAAGAGGAACAATATCATTATTGGCTGTGATGTAGTGACACTCCATGACATTGTATTCTTGGATGATATGTTAATCATGAAATGATAGAACATGAGAGCTTAATGAAAGATAGAAATAAAATAAGGTATGTTAATAAAGTATAATGTATGTTATATATAATGAGCCAGTATGACTTCAAGAATAATATGAAAATTTGAAAATCATGCTATGTTATATAAGATAAAAAAAGAGTATTTTGAAATGGCTCTAAACTTTTCCGTTTTATATGAGATTTAGGAAAATCATCACAAATTTGTCATTTTATCTTGCTAAAAGCTTGCTGAAATGAAAAATTCTGTGACTCATTTCATATGAAATGGAAACATATGCATTATTCTGTACATATTGTTTCAGTAAGTATTGCAACAATGTTGTAATCTCCATTTTATTGCTTTTAATATGATTTGCATTGAAAATACCAAAAATACACATGCTCTGTTTAGAAGTTTTTGAGGGTATAGAAAAGAAAAAAGGATATTACAGTTGCTTTCAAGAATATCTTCTGTAATAATGATCTGCACAGCATTGTTCACTATTGAAATAGAACAAAACATACAAAATCAGCATGTAAGGGGAAATAATGTCAGATGTTAAGGAATGTTGCCTTATATTAAAAGCAAGTATTATAACGTGCCAGTTTTGCGTTTATATATTATTACTGATGTAAGAATTTTCATCTAGTTATATTTTGTGCTTACAGTCACATCATACCGTGGATCAGGAGGGATTATATTACACAGTCAGCAATGATGATCAGAAGTTGTATTTTCCAAATTTTATTAATCCATTTCTCAGAGAACAGGTAAGCATAAATCATAAATGATATTGTTAGTTGTATATTCACACCTTCAACAAAGTTAGTGGTTAGGATGAAGTAAATTAGCACCTTAACATGTACCTGTGTTTCTCATCAAATGTTGATTGTTGTTCTAAAATACGCTTTGTGACATTCTCGATTACAAATTTCATTCCTGGTACAAGTTTGCATATTGTTCCTAATGTATAAGTAAGAACAAGCACACAGTTGAGAAAACAAGACTATCATAATGTTACTTTCCTAATAACAATTAACTTTAATTATTTTGTGTTTAGATCCCTTTCTGAATAAATTACGAGTCCAACTTGAACCAAACTTTATTTTTATAGTTTGAACACATAGTGGACACCTCAATACATCCATCTCTTACAGATTATCATTAAGATTTTATGATCTACAGACTCCAAAAAATTGAAATTGTCGAGAAATTGGACATTTTAGTTTTGTATTTAGCTCAGTTTCTCATTAAGTACAAGTGCTATTCCAATCAAACCTAAAATATAGTTATATTGTGATGACTGAACTCATAGTACAGATTAAATGAATTTTATATATTGTGTATGTATTTTGGTGTAAATTATCACATGATCTTTATCTGTATGCAGGCTTGTTCATTTCACTTCTGTGATATTGAAACAAGTAAAGTAAAATATCATACAAGTTTTTTAATAAACTTTTCAGGAAGAGTGGTAATGTTTAGATAAAATTTTACTTGCACATAAAGTTAGTGATCACTTTTTAATTGTAAATATATTTGTTTCAAAAGGTAAAAACTTTGTGAATTTGAAATGCAAGAGTGAAGTCAAAGAATAAGAAAACAATTTTGACCCACTTTAAATCAATTTCATTCAAGAGTGTTGTGCATGATTACTTAAAAATTTCAAAACCCTATTAAGTTACCGAAAATTTAAAATGCTTCAGTGGATTCAGTAACAGTTATCGATAATGAGTATGTCCTCCATTGGCCCCAATAATGGCACAACATTAGCTTGGCATGCTGGGAATCGAGCTCCATAAAGCCAATTGTGGAATTAGAGGCCATTCTTAATGAAGAGTATCAGCAGGCTCTTGTCCATTGAGAGAAAGCCATGGATGGTTGGAAATGCATTGCTGTAATATGTCCCACGCATGCTCAGTCAGGTTAAGGTCGGGTGAAAGACTATGCCTGTCCTTACACTCAATATGATTTATGCTTGAAGGTAGTCATTCACAAGTCTAGCTCTATGTGAGCATTGTCGTCCATCAGGACAAATTTAGGGCTGACAGCACCTGCAAAGTGTCTTACTATTAGATAAGAGATTTCATCCCAGTACTGTAAACCTGTGAGGGCACTACCTTCAATTATGTACAAGTCAGTGAGATCATCAAAATTGATCTTTGCCCAAACCATTACCAAACCCCCAATGAAAAGGTCATGCTCAGTGACGCATCAGTCCACATACCTTTCACCCACCCCATGCCAAAAATGCCTCCTGCCATCATGAAAGGCCACACAAAACCCTGACTCATCTGACAGTTGCCAGTTCACATGGTCAGCTGCCCAGTGCTGCTGAGCTATATTGCAAAGGCATTGAGGGTGTACAGTGGGTCAGTGAGTGCATAATCCAGAGCTGTGGAGTCAATTCCTCACTGTGCAGAAATTCTTCCAGTTGCTGGATGGAAGTCATTATTCAACTTAATGGAACTGTTTTTGCCTTATAAGAGAGCTTAAATAAATCCTGCAGACTGGCCTATAGAGCCATTTGTATCTAATTGTCACCCTTATAAGATAATTGTTTGCTGTAATGTTGATTTTTAGGTCATCGGACCCGAAGGGTCCGATGACCTATAGTCATCATGCTTCGTCCGTCGTCGTCCGCCGTGCGCCGTGCGCCGTCCGTAAACTTTTCATTCAAACGACTTCTTCTCAAATACTAGAAGGTCTAGGGGGCTAATACTTGGCACAGAGGATACTGGCATGGAGCTCTACCAAGTTTGTTCAAATGAATGACCTTGACCCACTTTAAAGGTCACAGGGGTCAAATATGTTAAAATCTTTAAACAACTTCTTCTCATTAACCAAAAGGCTCAGAGTGTAGATATTGGGCCTGTGACATGCTGGGATGAAGGACTACCAAGTTTGTTCAAATGAATGACCTTGACCCACTTTAAAGGTCACAGGGGTCAAATATGTTAAAATCTTTAAACAACTTCTTCTCAATAACCAAAAGGCTCAGATTGCTGATATTGTGCCTGTGGCATGCTGGGATGAAGGGCTATCAAGTTTGTTTAAATGAATGACCTTGAACAACTTTCAAGGTCACAGGGGTCAAATATGTCAAAATCTTTAAATAACTTCTTCTCAAATACTAGAAGGCCTAGGGGGCTAATACTTGGCCCATAGCATGCTGGCATGGAGCCCTACAAAGTTTGTTCAAATGAATGACCTTGGCCCACTTTCAAGGTCACAGGGGTCAAATATGTTAAAATATACAAAGGACTTCATCTCAATAAGCAAAAGTCTATGAGTGCCGATATTGGGTCTGTAGCATGCTGGGAGGAAAGGCTACCAAGTTTATTTAAATGAATGACCTTGAACAACTTTCAAGGTCGCAGGGGTCAAATATGTCAAAATCTTTAAATAACTTCTTCTCAAATACTAGAAGGCCTAGGGGGCTAATACTTGGCCCATAGCATGCTGGCATGGAGCCCTACAAAGTTTGTTCAAATGAATGACCTTGGCCCACTTTCTAGGTCACAGGGGTCAAATATGTTAAAATATACAAAGGACTTCATCTCAATAAGCAAAAGTCTATGAGTGCCGATATTGGGTCTGTAGCATGCTGGGAGGAAAGGCTACCAAGTTTATTCAAATGAATGACCTCAACCCACTTTCAAGGTCACAGGGGTCAAATATGTTAAAATATACAAACGACTTCTTCTCAACAAGCAAAAGTCCATGAGTGCTGATATTGGGCCTGTAAGATGCTTGGAGGAGAGGCTACCAAGTTTGTTCAAATGAATGACCTCAACCCACTTTCTAGGTTTGGCTTGCTTTTTGTCAGATGACCGTTAAGGCCCATGGGCCTCTTGTTGAAATTTGATACTATCTATTATCAATTAGATATATATTTTTTTATGTCTTTCTACAGACAGATGCATTCGGAGAACTGTCATTGATGATTCGCAAACCAGCATTGGAAATAATTGACATTATTAAAAACAGCAGCTACAACTGTCCTTTGCCAAAATTTATTATTTGTATCCTTTTTATTTATTTCAAGAATTTGAATTGCATCAAAGATATTGACCATTTCAGCGAACTGTAACATGTCATAAGGAGAACAAACTTTGCTAAATGTCATCTTAAGATGTATTTTAAGTATCTGATTTTTCAGAATTTCAATTGTAGAAAAAATGCCTTTAAATGGCTTTGATCAACTTTGGAAGTCAGTCATCATCAGGTAGATTTTCTTGAGTTTTGAATGAAATAAGGAGATGTTCCTTTTGCTTTCTTCTGTGCTATTGGAAAACTTTCCATCAGATAAGTGAAGAATTTGCCTACTGTCCTTGACCGTCAAAAATAGATGGACCAAGAGGAGTTGGAAAGACATGCACACTAAATCATGTGATGCATTATTGTGGCAAACAAAAGCATATGCTGCTTCATATACCATGGGGTAAGACAACTATCATATGTAAGATGAAATAAACCTGATAAAAATAACATGTTTTGTCACACTGTAGTGTAACATTTCCTAAAATCTTGATTCTGAATGTTTTGCTTTGTGTACACAATGTACTTACTACCGATGAAGGGAAGGTGTGAACGTTTCAAGTACTGTAGTATTGAACAAAGTATTGATAGTATTGTACTGAAGTACTTCACCAATCGAATTCCTTAAATTTATGCAACAAGCTCTCTGATTGGCAGAGCCAAGTCTAGATCGATTGTGGGTGGAGCCAGGTGAAAAAATACTGTGCAGACATCGGCATTTTACAAACACTCGACTGTCGCGAGAGGTTAATTGGAAGAGTCCAAGTCACAGGTGGCTTCAGATCAGACCTAATTGAGTTGTCCCATTTGTTTCGTTCTACACCCAATGAAACCTTGCTTTTCCATCGATGGTACAACGAGAAAACGAAAGTTACTCAGTACTAAACTAATTTACGTACAAAATATATATCAACAGGTTAGAGCACTGGGACCGGAGAATTCATAACATCTTAACAGTGAATATAGTCATATTGTCATTCTGTACTAGTTTTATTTATTTTTTTTTAAAGTGGGGGTGGGGGGGGGAATTCTGTGGTCCCATATATTTTTTATTTTATTTTTTATCTTTCCATCGAAAATTATACATATCCGCAACATGTGAAAAAAACTTTGAAGTTGGTTGGACGGAATATCTAGAGCATTTACTACTGCAAGTTCCAGAAATTCTGACACAAGTCGGGTATTTGCCCGAAGCCTCTGTCTCATGACATTGAATACATATTCAGTTACGTTGTATTCCGGGGAATAAGGCGGCTGAAAAACCAGGTACACGCCATATTCTTTCAGCATATTTCTTAAAATGCGCTCTCCCTGTCTATGGTGATGGAATCCACAATTATCCATCACAACCACATCGCCTTGTACAAAAACAGGATTCCCCATATCGTTCGTATCGGACATAATTTCGTCGAAGAAAATTTTGCGTACTGTTGCCGTCGTTGGACATTTTTCCAGCGATTACTTAGTAATTGTTATGTAACTGATAGTGTACATTAACTCCGCCTACCGGAACAAATTGGGTGTCAGATCAACTATTCAGGTTGTCTAAACTCCGCCCCCGACCAATCACAGAGGTCGTTGTATACTTGACTCGATTATTTGAATACTTCAATACAATAGTATCACTACTTTGTTCAATACTATAGTAAGTGTGTCGTTCACACCTTCCCTTCATCGGTAGTAATACATGATTTGTGTTTAAGAAATAAAAGGACTTATCTATGGCTTATCAATGGCTTCATATTTAAATGTTATTGAAATTTCATTATTTAAAACTTGCATTGATTGTCTTTTAAAGATTTATACAAAGGTGTTTTATGAAAGTAAGGTAACTTTATGTTTATTGGTGTACTAAAAATAACATTGGTCTCTGCAGTGAAAGATTGGACAAAGTTTCACACATCATCCACTCCATCACTGACTAAACCCGGCTTCACCAATCTGCCTGAACAAGCTAATAGCTGGATCTCCTATTTTGCGGCCATGAATGCTCCACTGATAAAGGAGTTGAAGGTACAGCTTGGTGTATTCATACTGGAATAAACACTTTGGTAATAAACCAATCCATATTGATTGCTTTTCTGCAGAAAAGCTGCCTTTCGAGTTAGATCCCAAACCAAAATTGGTCACCCCAGTCACATGAATTTAAAAAAAAATTGTTAGCCCTAGGCATTTCTGGTCTGTGGAATAAATAGTATGAAGTGATGGAATTTAAAGTGTTGATGAATTATTCTACTGTACATTAATGCTGTAACAATGATTTGGTTTAAAACTCTGTGGCATGCATTCAGTTTATACCAGTCATTACTGCAATATAGAATAAACTAAAACAATTTTCCTGGTGTCATGTTACAACTATAATCATAAATATTTACATTTCTGGTGTGCATTCTTAATGTGACCTCATCAATAAAATTGATGTTTACACTTCGGTAAAGGTTGATAGGTCTCGCAAGCTTTCTTGCCAAAATAGAATCAACTGCTGTTCTATCAGTTGTCAGGCTTTCCCTGCAGTGTGGATAACAATGAATGACAATCATTAATATGCTCCCATAAATTGTTTTGGCAATATAGTTGCTGCTTTGTCCAGCATCCGCTCATCTTTTTCTTAATCCCTTCGTGTCTAGATCATAATTTTCCCCACAATGAAGCAAGGATCTTGAAACTTGCTGTATACATAGATCATACTAAGGCGAGCAAAACTTTAGATTGCTTGGATTGCTTGTATACATTGATCATACTAAGGCAATGTGCAGTGCACCAAATTCAGTGCTCTCAACCCCTCAATTACAGAGTTATTGCCCATTGTTAAAATTTTAGTGTACGTAGCATAACTTTGCTTGCATTGAAACTAGGATAATGAGACTTGGTGTATATATTGGTCATACTAAGACCATGTTCAATGTACCAAATTCAGGGCCTAAAACCCTACATTACAGAGGTATTGCCCCTGTTTTAAGGAAGCATTCATCAGTTATATTGATGCTGTTTATTTTCTAAAGAGGAGCAAATAAAACAAAATAAATGTCATAATGTATTATAAATAATTTTCCTTTGCTTACTGGTGTTTACTTGTTTACAGCTGTTTCAACATAATGTGGATCATTTCAAGTATATATCAATAAATAACAAATGAAGAATTATTTCTTAAGAAGTAATTAAGTTTTATTAATTTACACAAGTGAAGTTTTATTGAAGAGTGTAAGTAACTGGGACTAACAAAATTCTTGGAGGTAAAAATTAACCATGAAACCTGCTCCAGATATGGCAACTATTACCAAGAAATATTTTATGCTGCAGTAAGCCTCTCCAGACTTAAACAGAATCAAATGTCATTTTTTAGGTAACAAAGAATATTGAATGGACAAAAAAAGAAGTTACAGAAGAAGGAAGTCCTCTCAAATCTTTGTTAGACTTTGTAAGTGTTTAAACTTTAGAATTTGTAAGTATTTTAACTATGCTCAGAGCGACGAAGAATGGAAAAATCACTTTGATGTCACTATTAAGTTCTACTGGTCATATAATGTACTGGACAATAAGTTAAAAGGTCTATGAACATGTTGAAGAAAAATAAGTATACATACATTTTAAATGCTTTCCAGGTGCCTTGGGAGCCTGTTGTTCGGTTTACCTCTTGAAAACAATCTCTTGTGCTTTCATGAAAAGCTAGTCTGAAGGGTTCCAATTATCTATCTGTGATTTTATTTTTGTCTTGGCCACAGCGGATATTGACCAAGACAAAAATGAAATTGCAATTATATAATCAAACCCACTGGACTACTCAATAGCACAGTTACTTAATTATAATTTGCCTATTACAGGGTGTGTTGCGACAGAAATACTCTGATGATGTGGTGGATGTGTTACTTGATGAAGTGATGATTCATGCTTCAAACAACAAGTGAGTTATTTATCAAAGAAGTGAATAATTGCTTAAACTCAATATAAGATTAATATTCCTTTCTTTGTCATTTTGGTATGTCTGATAGCGTTTCTTTTGAAGTACAATTATATTAACATGAATACATAGATATAAGAATATTTAAAATGGTACAAACATTTATCCCTGCAGGGGTAATATTTGACAATGAAGACCATTGGAATCTATGGTCCATGATATGACAAATATTATGGTTTTATTTCACTATTCACAAATAATGCCTTTTGTTGTAAAAACTGAAATGTGAGCCAGGTTATATTTTTGCCATTGAAGGGCAGATAATAAGAATATCTAATGCAACTCTTTCCTGAACTAATATTGGCCAGTTCAATATTGGCTTATCAGTGATATGGCAGAAATAGCAGGCATTTGCTGACTTGTTGTATAATATAGGTATTCAGAATTACTGAAACAAGAAACAAGAGGTATTACAGTGGGAAAAAAGCACAGATACAGTATTTATCATGCTTCCCAAAGGGAGAGCATATAGTCCCTGCTATGTCTGTCCGTACCCCTGTTTATCTGTCCATCATAATTTTATTCAAGGCATACCAAAACACTAAAGGAGGTATGAACATGAAACTTAATAAGTAGATAGATCTTGATCAGGAGAAGTACAGTGTATAAGATCCTTAACTTTGTTTCTTTTTTATTTTCAAATTCTAGCTTTCTGAAGAGCATTTATGTACTATTGTAATGGTTTTTTGTTTCAGATTCAAAGTTCTTGTTGCTATTGATGGCTTAAATGGATTCTACAAACCTAGTACAGTCAGAGAGCCATTAGAAAAGCATATATTTGTGAGCAATTACACTTGATCTGACACAGAATCTATTGATATTAAATGCAAATTTTAAGTCTTTCATTCTGCATATTATTGGTTAAGTGTAATTTCAGTTATCACGGATCGATAATCCTTGAATCAGTTATAAAGAAATAGTCAAATGGTCATTCTTTAATTCAGAGCTTTTTCTTTGATTTCTTATGGTCATATATCTTGCTTTGACTATCCATCACAGACATTATCATTGTTTACTATTACAAACACGGTTGCATATATGCCATATAACTTGTACTTTGACACATATTTTATCAATTTTTTTTCCCTACCAGATCCATGCTGAAAAATTACGCCTGGTGGACAGTTTCAAACGTCTCCTTAATTCTGGCAATGTAAGATCTTGCATTACATTTTACTTGAACATTAACTTCTAACATTGTCCTTTAATTTAATTACTTGATTGGGCCACTGCAGGTTAGTTAGTGCAGTTTTGACATTACAACTGCAGGTGAAGGTCTGAGGTTTAGGGTTCAATAAATCTGGTCTGTGTTTCTTAGGAGGCAAAGATCACAGGCTGACTTGTTTTTGCTTTCATACAAGGCTGAATCCATTGAAGAGTTTATGAAAACAGGTCACAAAGACCTTGCCATGTCATTTAATTTCACCTTCAGATATAATGATGACATCTTGTCTTTAAATAACAAGAAATTTATTGACTAAGTCCATCATATATATCCACTAAAATTGGAAATCAAAGATATGACAGACCCTTCTACATCAGCTACATATCTTGATCTTTTCTTAAGAGGAAACCAACATAGACAGCTTTCCATCAAGCTGTATGATAAACATGATGATTTCAAGTTCCCTATTGTGAATTTTCCTTTCCTGGATAGCAATATCCCTGCATTTCCAACCTATGATATTTACATGTCACAGTTGATTTTGATAATCAAGGGCCTGTTCCTATTATCATGATTTTTTTGCAAGAAGTCGTCAACTGACAGACAAACTCGTAACACAAGGGTTCAAAAGATGCAGGTCGATGAAAATGATGGGGAAGTTTTATGGTGATCTCATGGAGAAATATTCTATTTCTTTGTGTGACATGAAGCTAGGCGTGTTAGATGCTCATAAGTTTGCCTGTTGGTTCAGTTGTTGTATACCTTGTTCTCATTTGAGAACATGACATTACTTACTTGGATTGAGCAAGGTTTACATGGCGGGTATCGTCGATGAAGCAGATGAGGCTTTTTCTTCCAGAACACCTGGTCTTAATCACCTTGTATTTTTTCAGGAGTATCAGTGTAAATCTTTCTTTTGCCATTTTCTTGATGTTTATTGTCCGGTGCTGTTGTGTTTGTATCTTTGAGAATATTGTGCAGCTATCACATAGAAACTCCCTCGTATTCTTGTAATGATAAACTCAGCCTTGTTTTATGTTCTGGCAAGTACATCTTTGTTTCTTGAAATTGTTTTAATGTCTAAATGGTTTAGATTATATTGCATAACATCCTATCAACAGCTGTTAAGAGCATGTGCTTGTTAAAGGCTGCAATATGTTTGTGTAAGCCTTCTTGTGATAATGTGAAACTGATGCCAACTTTATAGTGCTACTACACTGAAGTATACTGTCAAAGTTAAGCATTAAGTAGGGAGTAGTAACTACCAATTTAATGACTTGTATATTTTGGCCAGAGGACATAATCCAAAATGAGGCATTGTCAAGTGAGACATTAGGAAAATAAATGGTTGTTTCGGAAGAAGAGAAAAAATTAGTTAACTCTGATGATATGCCCTAATTAAATGTCTAGGACTGGTTCATTTTTTTATATTAAGTGTGCATCAGATGGTCATTAAGATAAAACAAATTTTATTATGATATTTGTGGTTAAATAAATTTTTGTTAAGAAAATATATGTCCCAGACTGCCTGACTATTTCTATTTGTGTGTTGTTATCACAAGACCAGGTAAAAACAAATGTCCAAATATATATACATGTGTGTGTATGGATATACGTATTTATTTACTAAATACATGTATCCAGAGGGTCATGTAACAATAAGTTTAAAAATTCAAAACTATTACAACAGACACTAGTATAAAGGTTTTGAACTTTGAAAACTATCACAATTGTAACATGGAAGTAACCTTTTAACCCCCACCCACCCAAAAAAAAAAATTAAAAAAATGCCTGAACATCAACAGCAGATTTAAGCTGATTGGTTATGAGATAACAAATTCTTAATTCTTAAACGCATATTGATTATGTTGCGTAGACATTAGCCTGTCCACACAACTCACTATTAAGAGGGTAGTATATAATTACCAAAAACAATAATTACTTGTGATACACATTGTATCTAAGTACTGTTATGCTAACGTTTGTGATTCCTGCAAAGAATGGTGGTGTTGTAGTTACTTTGATGTAATTATCTGTCTCTGTCTTTATTATGTATATTATATGATTTCAGAAAAACATTGTGGCTGTTTGTACTGTATCAGAAGAGATCAACCAACAGAATGAGAGAGAAAAGTTTACACCACTTTATTTACTTGGAAAAGAAGTAAGTGAACAAAGTTGACAAATCATATGTACATGTAGCAATGAGAGATTATAAAAAAATTACTACTGATGCATATAATACTGAAAGTCAAGGTAAATCAAACATAGAACTCTCTGTTGAGTTGCTGTATAAAACATTTGGCAAAAGGGCGATGTCTGGTATTTTATTAACCTACCCACGAAAATTGTTGCTAAAAAGGTAACATATTTATTCTCAAATAAGCTGCCATCCCTAGTGTAAAAGTATAGTATTAAAGTTGAGGGAGGGCTCATTTGTAAAACACCTCTTAGCTTACTTTTTTGAAATTGATTATTTTTGCAAAAATGAAGAAGGGGCTTATTTGTGGAAAAATACAGTAGAGTTACCACCAGTTAGTCATTGTTTTACGTGTTAGATCCTTTGGACTCTATTAGGACAAATACAGTATTTACGAACAGATGTTGGAATAACATATAGCAGTTACTGGGATATGAAATAATCTGAAATGGATTAAAATAGATGTGTATGATATTAAAGCACAAACTGTTGTGTTACAATTTTCACATTTTTCAGGCTTTTCAAGAACTGGAACCCATCATCCCAATTCATGTTGGGAATTACACAGAGAAAGAAGTAAATAACTGTCTAGATCATTACGAGGAAAAAAAGTGGCTTCAGAACCCAGCAGGTAAATGTTTAATCGTTTCTTATCATCATCCCAATTCATGTTGGGAATTACACAGAGAAAGAAGTAAATAACTAACGTCTAGATCATTACATGTTTAATCGTTTCTTATCATATTCTAAACCAATAACGAAAAAAAGGTAAATGTTTAATCGTTTCTTATCATATTCTAAACCAATAACGAATATCAGAACCCGGCAGGTACATGTTTAATCAGAATATCAGTACATGTTTAATGTTTAATCATATTCTAAACCAATAACGTTTACATGTTTAATTGTTTATTATCAGAACCCAGCAGGTATTATCATATTCTAAACCAATAACGAATTTACATGTTTAATCGTTTCTTATCATATTCTAAACCAATAACGAATATCAGAACCCGGCAGGTACATGTTTAATTGTTTATTATCATATTCTAAACCAATAACGAATATCAGAACCCGGCAGGTACATGTTTAATCGTTTCTTATCATATTCTAAACCAATAACGAATATCAGAACCCGGCAGGTACATGTTTTATAATATGGTTTGTTTACCACTGATCCAATAGGTAAAAGAACCCTGTCATCAGTAATGAACTATTGGATATGAATCAATGAATGTATCTTGATTTGATGGGGAATATTAATGTACCCTTTTAGAAGTCAAAGGTTTAAGGAATGTAATTTTTTTTCATGTACATATGATGGAAAGGATTGTGAAAAAGTACTGAGAAACTTCATTGATAATTTTTCCATGTAATATTGCAAAGATAGGCTTTAGCTAATACAGTATACACTTCCTGTTCTAATACAGTATATACTTCGTGTTGATTACCCCAATAATGATATGCATTTGTCTTTGTAGCAAAAACAGATTTAGGGCACCAACAGATCAAATTCCTGACCAACAACAACCCATTTGCTATTTCCAGAATATGTGGAGCAAATTGATGTATGGAACTTTGAATAAAGAATTGATAGATAAACTGTTAGTGCTGAATGGTATATTGTGTGTTCATATATGGAGAAAGAGGAATCATGATGGATGAAACAATATTGTTTGAATTTATTTTATATGTGTTTTTAATTTTGAGGAAAAAGTAATAAACCAGACATAAGAACATCTTTTGACGTCATTGTTATTAATTACGATGGTAATTTTTACAAAAGTTGTATTACCTATTTCAATAGTCAACCTTGTCAATTTCAGAAACTATTTGCACACCTTCAGCCATTAAATACTCTGAAGAGATGTTGAAATAACACAGTATATGTCAATAAATTGGATCATAGCAATTTAAAGAAAGACATTTAAGGAAAGACATTCAGGTAAAGCTTATGTTTACTATTTATTTGCAAATTCAAAATTTTCCACATTTATTTATGAACACTTACAGAAATGTAAATACGAAGTAAGAGTATTAATAGAAGGTCACTTTGAGAAATGAAATATGGATGGAAGTTTGGCCATATACAATATATAGTGTAATGGAACTTCATTTCTAAAAATAGATAAGTTCTCTCAAGATACTCCTGTATTAAAAGGCTATGATAAAAACAGTACAAGAGGTTCTCATTCTTCTTCAACATGCCAGTTTAAATAATGGCCTGAGAGTGATTCCCATCATACAAGGATCCAGGACTCGACGGTATCCTGTATTAACACTGTGTTTTGTAGGCTATAGGATATTATAAGGCCACAATCAGTACAAGATGTCCTCATTCTTCTTGAACATGCTGGTTTAAAGGTTGGCCTGAGTGTGATTTCCATCGCCCATGGATCCAGGACTCGATGGTCTCCCAGTCTGATATGCTGGCAGTAATGCTAGACTTCTGCTTCATTGTGTGAGATGTCTACAAAGGTTTAATATAGGCAGTCATAAATCTACTTACCTTGAAATTATTTTTACTGAAATTTAATGTATAAAAATATAGACTTTATTTATTTTACAGCAATTGCAAAACAAGCTATTAGCTTATATTAATCACTCCTGTTGGCCCAGATGGAAGCAAATGATAGAGGTTGGGGGGGGGGGGGGGGGTTGAGTGGTGGGAGGGGGGTGGTGGCTTACTGTAGGAGGAAACCGGAGTCCCCAGGGAAAATCAAAGTGATTGAGCAAGTGACACCATACCTTATCACATCCGTTCCAGGAATCAAACCCTGGGTGACATGGTGAAAGGAGCGTGAGTTACCAGTGCACCACCGGAACACAGTAATTAATAGATCTGCATGTTAATTACAGGTAGTCATAGGTAAGCTAACATTAATTACAGGTAGCCATAGATGTACTTACATTAATAACAGGTAGCCATAGATCTGCTTACAATAATTACAGGAAGTCTGCTTACATTCAGTACACATGCAGGGAAATATAGATTAATTTGATGATTTCGACAGTGTATGATTTTGGGTTGTTTTTAACTGATACATACCATAGCTGATGTACTGGCTTTGCTTGTACTCTGAGATGGATAAGTTTGATCAGTTAAATTAGTTTGCTCAGATTCTCTGAAAGACAAAAGTTCAGGGTAATTAAGTTCTGTAATATGAATAAGTAATATGAAAAAATGTGATCCAGCCATCTTTGTTAGTCAAAGAATTATTGGTTGAGCATAAACTACTGTCAAATAGTTAACTTTTTTTTTGGGTTGGGGTGGGATGTTCATTTATTTTAATGGTATTCTAAATTCACATGTCCTCAAAATGATCAATAGATACAAGTTGACATGGATTATAGTACTAGTGAATATTGCAAATCAAGATTTATCCATAAAATCAGTTGCCAACAAAAAACATATTTTTGGGTAACCACAAAATTTGAACTCCACGAAAATAAATGATTTCACAGTAGTTTGCAGAATTTCTTCACAAAGCAAAGTTATTGCTCACACATCTATGGTAAGTGAAATGTATCAAATGTACATGTTGTACCTACACAGAAGATAGGAACGGGCCTGCATTGCTCTTGTGGTATACAATGCACATCTCAAATATACCAGCATTTCACACCACTGTTTTTCAATCGAAAAACCATAAAAAGATTTCTCCTTCACCTTTTAGCCATATTTCATGAGTTTAGGCCTTTGAAGTTTAGAATGCTAGCTCTTTCAGTCCTTGAGACTTTCTGATACAGAACTGTAATGTCTAGGACGAGTTTAGTTTCAAGGCCATAAGGTTAAAGTTGAGGTCACACCACTATTTTTAGAGAATCTTTGTAAGCATTCTGGTGGTTTCATTACAGGAGTGATTTTGATCAAACTTCATATTTACATAATGTCTGCAGCAAGTTTAAGATGCTGGGTTATAGGTTCAAGGTCACTATTATCATTTTTAGAAAATCCTTTACAGCACTTTAGTGGCTTGCTTTTCTTGATTGAGTTTGATCAGCCTTGTTGTATCTCAAAACAATTTCTTTAGTTTGTAAATATATACTGAATTGATTTTTCATGCATAATTTATGATGACTACACTGTTACTTACATCAGACAAGTGAATGTGAAGCTTATTTTATGATAAACAATTATGGACCATACACCTACTGTAATATAGTTTTTAATTTTATAATACAAAATGTATGTATATTTCAGTGATCAACAAATTTGTGAAGTCCAAGCTTTGAATTTCTACAATCAAATATTTCTTTCCAAATCACATTCTTATTCATGTATCGTAATCTAGTGGCCATCTTACTTGTTAGCATCAATTCTTGACTGTTTTAGTCGAAGCTGTTTTAGATGAATAGCAACACTTTGGTTGTCCTTGTCGTGTTGCTGGACTCGGAGACTTCGTTTTGATTTATTTGTCATTTGATGACCATATATCTTCTTTTGTCTAATTAAAGGAAATAAAAAAAAAAACAAAGTGAAGAGTTAGTTGAAAGTACAATGTATTATTGTGCTGTTAATCAAATTCAAAGGACAAGACACTTGGCAAAATGGCAAGTGAGAAAGACAGGCGGCATTCTATTTTCCTGAACTTGAGGTAGCAAGACCTAACATGACACAAGCCCAATATCAGTAACCTGGAGTTTTCAAATGTTGAGAAGAATTTATTTGAAGTGGAAAGATGACACCAGACAGGCGACACACCATGGCATAAGCTTACATGGCCCGGGAGCTGAAAATTAAATAGTTCTTATCAAGTTTGGTTATTCAAATAAGTGTGTCAGAGCATTCAATGTTTACCTTCTGAATAGTTTTGCTGGATGTGGTAGTGCCTCAAAAGCATTACTCTGGATTACTGAAGAGATGTCTGACTGTCCTCTGCACACCTTCACTCCCTGATAACCTGATATCAGTGTCTGTTGGTCGAAAGTACCCCGGGGCTGTAATCAAGTGCTATAATATCAGCAATTAAATTGTAATTTTCAGTAAAGAATTATGATGGAGTTTGACAACATTCAAATCACAATTTTAGATTCAATGTCAACTAAAGTAATATATATCGTGTAAAGAGTTTGTTTCACTTCAAATAAATTTCGCCTTCAAGTATTCAATCTAGAATATCTCATTTGTACATGCCATATTTGGGCTTCAGAGCAGGAAACAAAAACTTATGATGTGCCTCTTTTTCAACTAAAATTCACTAGCACTGACATTTACAATGGCAATCAAACCTGTTATACAATATGCCATGACCAAATGTGCTCCCTCAAAATACATACTTAGAATGCAAAATTTACAATATGGATTTTAAAATACTACTTGCCAACTCTACAATATGTGCTGTAGCATCTTTCTTGGTCTTAATGTCAAGAATTGTTGATGGTGAGTATCTGCAAAATCTGAAAATTGGAATACAGGTATAAAGCAGATAAAATTGAGTGTTTCACTTCAGTGAAGGTAAATGTCATGTCACTTTTTTCAGATTTTGCTTTAAAATTAAAAATTGTTTTATTCTAAATATACAGTATCTGTTCAATACAATATTAATGACATATTTAGTCATCTGCGTTAAGTCCTAAATGCCCTGGCTACCTAGTACACACCTACCCTTCATCAGAAAACTGCCAGTGTCATATCACTGGTATTAACAGAAAAAATAGCATACTTGTTATACATATACATTTTCAAAGACAGCTTAATATAAATGCTACCAATGAGCTGGGATGGGCGTATATATTGTACATTCCTGAAATAAGTACAGCTAAACATGTATTATCCTCTTTAAATAAAGTCTATGTGGTTGAACAGTACATTGCATTTTCAAATACATCATTTGCATTCATAATTTGATGCTCTAAAGCTATCTGTTAAACTATAGATATTATACTACCTTTCCATTGTATCTGGCACCATTGAATATGAGTCATCAGTCTGAGAGTGAAACAGATCCTGTGAAAAGTAGTTTTCATCATCTTCACAGATTTGGCTGCATTTCTGAGATTCAAGTTCATCAAATCTTCTAGCTCTTTTGGATATCCTGTGTGAAACAGATGTGATTCTAAAATTGTATGGGTTCTCCCAAAACATTTACTAAATAACTCAAATTAGATGTATATGGGTGGGCCCCAAAAAGCAATGGAAAGAACAATGTAGTCAGCATACTGATTTATAAAAATAGACCTGAAAGGAACATATCATTCCCTGTGAAAGTTGAAACTGCTGTTAAATGTTCAATTTTGTAGGGGTTTATATTCATTATAAAGAATTAGAGTACAGGTCACCTTCCTAGCCTTGGTTAGTTGGAGCTTCCATTTAGTTGAGTAGTAGAGTTTGGGGCTAGATACCTAATGGTCTCTAGTTCGAATCCTTGCAGTGGCAGGGTGGTTTTTTTTCATTAACTCCCTCCTGTTACAAATTTGGTACTGTTTTTACCATTCCAAGGGTAGAAGATATAGATATTGAGATTCTTTCTTGGAGATATTGAAGTGTGAATTTCCTTCTGACATGTTATAGCCAAGCTGCGAATCTATGACGCATAAATATAGATACATATGAATAATCTGGTGGAAAGAAAAAAGGTGGTTTTGTCACTCTTTCATCCTTGTTCCCCGATCCTGGGACGTATATGACAAACGTCCCTGCCCGATCGCATATATGGTGTATTTCTCTTTTTGTATGCAATGGCAGCATGTGAGTTTTTCTCTTTATATGTCATGACAATTTAATTCTTACTTGCCAAAAGGAAGTAAATATCCATCATCGTTCTCATCTTCGTGAGTTAGATCACATAAGCTCATGTCTTTTTTGCGTGTATGTATTTATTTTCTAATCGTCTGCTAGAAGACATTATTTCTTCTGCTTTCATATAAGGTAAGAATAAATCCAGAGTACTTCCGAACAAAAGTTGACAGCACTGAAAGTGATGACGTCACATCTCCGTCGGTTGTCAATAAAAACTTTCAAGATGGCGGATTAATAGGGGCACCTGCTGCACTGTCGGATTTTAAAAAGTTCAGGTAAACGCCCGTAGAAAAAATAACCAAAATACACAGTATTAATATAATTATTTAGCCGACAACTTAATTAGCGTTTTGACATGGTTGAAAGATGTCTGTCTTACTCGAACTTGCGAAAAAAAATGGTGCTGACATGGCGGTAACGAATGTAAACACTAAACAGAAAGGCAATTGGGTGCCTCGGTAGATGTGATCTCTCACGCGTTAGCAAGAAGAGCTTAATGCAGTTAATAATCGTAATCTGAAGACACCTTGTTTTAGTAAGGGCGTCGATTCCTACTTGGGGCGATATTACTCCTATACGTAAAAGATGTCATAGTGAAATATAGCAGCAGTGCGAGCTGATTTCCGGTTATAGACGAAAAAATTTGGTATCAGATAGGGTCATTTTACTGTGTACACAATAGGCGTGGGTAGCCCGTGTTTTAATTGGAAAACAACTTTCAGTGTCATTGTATTTTCAGAACAAAATGTGACGTAAAATATGCGTAAAAGATGTAGGAGTTAGGTGTCTTTGAGTGAGAAAAATACTGAAATTTCAAAGAATAAGCGAGCACTGACCATTTTTGTAAGTAGACAACTGACCAAAATCTTTTAGTTTTTGATTATGGTACATTGGTTTAGCAGACTAATTATATGTCTACTTAAGCTTATTAAATTTCTCAACCTCCAAGTTGAGAAAATTCATCTGCCTTAACATATTTTGAATATTAAAAATACTTGTTTTTCTAGATCTAAGTCCTGCTGGTCGGGAACTTAGTTTTGCAATCAACATGGCTACGAAAGAAAAAGTAAAGAAGAAGGCAAAGCATTTTGGAGAACAAAAGGATGGTATGTCAATTAATTTTTTTAATAAATCCTCTATATATGTATCTAATGTAAAACTACTAATCTACAGTCATAAGTAAATTTGATAAGTTATGAAGAAGCAAAGAATCACAGATATGAAAAATCAGAATTTCACTGGAATTTCAGTTCACTTGATTGGTTTATTTCCAGATGAAAGGCCAGGTAGTGCCCATAGTCAGATCAGTGTGAAGGAAGCAGAAACAACAAAAGACAACACTGGGGACAGTGGTGCACAAGAGAAGGTAGGTTTTCATGCTCTGGATACAGTATTGCCATGTCACCTATTTTTCCCCAGCTGGTCAGTCTGATATTTTCCCCTTGTCAGCTTGATACTTAGACTGCCATAAGTAATGCATTCATTTGACCCATTGGGTTATAATATAGCCTGCATTTGTGCTTCAAAACAACTTGCTTTGGAACATTTCAAGATTTACCACTGTTAAATTCTATTTGCTCAGATGTCAGTAGTCTTGCTCAAACCAAACTTTTGTGGTCTGTACACCAACACATGTAGTGATCAAGTGTCTGATTGGGTGAGACAAGGATATTATATATTGTTATGAAGATTTAAACTTTTTGTGTAAATATATTTCTGGATTTAGTCTAAAGTGTAGGAGTCTTTGTTATACTAGGCTAAGGTATATGTATATCACACTGTGGGTCACTGCAGGAAAGTTTATGAATTTTTTTTGCTCCCCATGTTCTTGTGAGAAAACGACAGTCCATGTAACATTAGCAGGTCATCACCTAATGGGAACAATTTTCACAAAACATAATTTAAACATTTCCTACAAGAAGTTTCATAGCTTTTTGACAAGACCTCCAAAGATTTTTTTTTACAAATGTGATTAAAATCAGGTGACAAAGTACTATTTCGATAAGTTTCTTACATGCTGTAACTGTCTCAGATTTGTTTTTCTTCTTAAGAAAAAGAAAGATGCACAACACTGCTATTTGTTACAATAAGAGAATGATACATATAAAAAAAAATTTAGTAAGATATGCTATGAGGTGTCTGTGTTTGTCCTTCCTGGGATGATAAACCTCAGTGTTACTACCAGCCAATGCTGTCAGTTACAGCTTCAACAATTAAGAAGATGAAGTATAATATTGATGTAAGGAATGAAGTACTGTATATAAAATTAGCGATATAAAGTAGTTTATTAATTGTGTACATGTTTTATACTCCATGTTTTAGTGAGAAAAAAAATCTGGAAATTGATGTGAAAGAGATTGTTATGAACACAACCCTTATTTTGACCCTTTCACCCTTGTTTTAGCCAGTCATAATCTGATATTTCACATTGAGAGTTTGGCAATACTGTGGATGTCTCATAGGAAGAGCTGTAATCCTAGAAATTAAAACACATAAACGTTACTTTGTTGAGATGAGTTCATAATAAATTCAATGCATTACGTACATTGTCAATACAAAACTATGATAAGATATGGATGTCTAAATGATAAGTGATTGTGATTATCTTTTAAACCAGTTTATTGAAGATGAGAACAAGCAGGAGAAAGATGAGACAACAAAACAGAGAGATAAAAATAAGCCAAGTCCTTCTGGTACACCACAAAAACAAAAAGCTAGCCCTATGGGTACTCCACAGAAAAGCAAGAATCGTGATAGTACCCCAAGTAAAAAGAACAAAGTTGAGGGAACTCCGAAGAAAGGTGGGAAAAAGAGCCCAGGTGTACCAGAAAGATCACCAAGCCCTGCTCTCTCGCTGGTGCCTTCAGAAGATACAAGAAGATCTCCATCACCATACCGCAAAAATAAAGTAGATCCAAGAACCAGAGCTATAGAAATGGGGAGTGCTGTATCTATCAAAACTACATCAACTGTCAAAGGTAAATAGCTTAAAGTACACGGTTACACAAAAAAGATGATTTTTGATATAGCTTCATGAAAGAAATAGTAAAAAAATTCTGATTACAAATTGGATTCCATATCTGAAAACCAAATATTTCTATTTCAGAGGCCTGGACTGACAGAAGTGAAACAACATCTTTGGATGGTATGTATGTGTGCAACAATATTTCTGGACACACTGCTTTACAAACTATGGACAAATGAGTATTTTATGATGTGATTGTAAATCTGTCCATATTTCAACTGGATATTTATCTGAATGTGTAGTTGAATAGAAAGTTGCACTTATCAAATTTCAGGTCTCAATAGATTGAAGGAGGAATTTCAGGCTTTTTCTGTGCATGTTCCTTTCATATAAAGAGGGAAGAAATATTTTAATTCAGATCTGGGATTTCTTTGGTAAATCAACTGAACATTCAAGTCAGGCAATCATTTTATTTTTTTTTTGTGTTAAGCAAATATAATTTGAGTTAATTTTTTAACTTCTGATTGTGAATACTGAATCTGACTTTCCCATGAATTTAATTAGAGTCTATTATCTTAACAGTGTTTCCTGTTTACAGCTGCATTGTGGCATTATCTGTTGTGACCAAGTGCTGCCTTTGTTTATGTATAGACTTATATAGACATTATAGAATACTCACCATGACTGATTGTGTGCTTAATCATACTAACTATAATAATTCATTATTAACCATTTAATCATAATAAATAGATTTTGTTAGTTATGAATTTATTTCGTCATAGACTTTGATGTCTAACAAAACTGACTTTCTTGCTAAGAGACATAACTGTGACGTCATAAGAACGGGTTAAGATTATTTATGGTGATTTTGTTATTCTATCCATTGATCATAATCTTTTTACCAAGGTATCATACCCGATCAAAATTCTCGACTGTGCATTTAGCATTGTTAGCTTATCTATCTTTTATTTAATTATTTTCCAGTATAGTAACTCTTAATATGTAAAGTCATCATACCATTAAGGGAACCCAAATTATGCCTTTTTCAATTTGTTTGCTTAAGTTTGTTAAATATATTTTACTCCAGTAATACTTCATTCACTGTTGCTAATATCTGCTGTCATTTCTCTGCTGTTTATGCTTCAATTGGATACATATCACCAGACAACTGTTGTCATTACCAGACAACTGTTATCATTACCAGACAGCTGTTATCATTACCAGACAACTGTTATCATTACCAGACCAGACAGCTGTTGTCATTACCAGACAACTGTAGTCATTACCAGACAACTGTAATCATTACCAGACAACTGTTATCATTACCAGACAACTGTTATCATTAAGCCAGCTGTTGTCATTACCAGACAGCTGTAGTCATTCCCAGACAGCTGTTATCATTACCAGACAGCTGTTGTCATTCCCAGACAGCTGTAGTCATTCCCAGACAGCTGTTGTCATTACCAGACAACTGTTATCATTACCAGACAACTGTTGTCATTACCAGACAGCTGTTGTCATTACCAGACAGCTGTTGTCATTACCAGACAACTGTTATCATTACCAGACAGCTGTTGTCATTACCAGACAACTGTTGTCATTACCAGACAACTGTTATCATACCAGACAACTGTTATCATTACCAGACAGCTGTTGTCATTACCAGACAGCTTTAGTCATTACCAGACAGCTGTAGTCATTACCAGACAACTGTTGTCATTACCAGACAACTGTTGTCATTACCAGACAACTGTTATCATTACCAGACAACTGTTATCATTACCAGACAACTGTTGTCATTACCAGACAGTTGTTGTCATTACCAGACAGCTGTTGTCATTACCAGACAGCTGTTGTCATTACCAGACAGCTGTTGTCATTACCAGACAACTGTAATCATTACCAGACAGCTGTTGTCATTACCAGACAACTGTTATCATTACCAGACAACTGTTATCATTACCAGACAACTGTAATCATTACCAGACAGCTGTTATCATTACCAGACAGCTGTTATCATTACCAGACAACTGTTATCATTACCAGACAACTGTTATCATTACCAGACAACTGTAATCATTACCAGACAACTGTTATTACCAGACAACTGTTATCATTACCAGACAACTGTTATCATTACCAGACAACTGTAATCATTACCAGACAACTGTTGTCATTACCAGACAACTGTTATCATTACCAGACAGCTGTAATCATTACCAGACAGCTGTTATCATTACCAGACAACTGTTATCATTACCAGACAGCTGTTGTCATTACCAGACAACTGTTATCATTACCAAACAGCTGTTATCATTACCATACAGCTGTTGTCATTACCAGACAACTGTTATTACCAGACAACTGTTATCATTACCAGACAGCTGTTGTCATTACCAGACAACTGTTATCATTACCAGACAACTGTTATCATACCAGACAACTGTTATCATTACCAGACAGCTGTAATCATTACCAGACAACTGTTGTCATTACCAGACAACTGTTATTACCAGACAACTGTTATCATTACCAGACAGCTGTTGTCATTACCAGACAACTGTTATCATTACCAAACAGCTGTTATCATTACCATACAACTATTATCATTACCAGACAACTGTTGTCATTACCAAACAGCTGTTATCATTACCATACAACTATTATCATTACCAGACAACTGTTGTCATTACCAAACAGCTGTTATCATTACCAGACAACTGTTATCATTACCAGACAGCTGTTGTCATTACCAGACAACTGTTATCATTACCAGACAGCTGTTATCATTACCAGACAACTGTTATCATTACCAGACAACTGTTATCATTACCAGACAACTGTTATCATTACCAGACAACTGTTATCATTACCAGACAACTGTTATCATTACCAGACAACTGAAATCTTTATCAAATGACTATAAACGTTACCAGATATTTTGAAACATTACCAAACAACTTTAAATGTCACCAGACCATTATTAACATCATCAGATGACTGTCAATGTTATCCAATGACTGTAAACATTACAAGATGACAGTAAAAATTTACAGATGACTGTAAACTGTATCAGATAATTGTAAATGTTTTATTTTTGACAGGTTTTATTTTTTTCAATGTTTTCAAGGATGGAATAATATCACATAAGTCAGACACCTTGGATTTAAAAATGCGAAAGACAACCATTGTACATTTAATTATGTTAATTAATATTACTTTATTTTCACTGTTTGATTTTGGTAAAAATTTGAACCATCAGACAGAAAATGAATTTTAAGCTAAAATCTACATTGGTACATTTAGGACATGAACAATATCATTTCCTGTATAAGTTATCTTAATCGCTCAACATCCATGTTTTTCTTGAAAGTTCTGAGTTTAGATCTGCTGTTCAAAACTTTGTTAAAACTTTGTATATAGCTAGATCATAAAATAGACACCTCAAAACTTCCATCATGTACTGAATATCTTTCTGATTGTATGGCAACTCAGAAAATCAGGGATGCTAAGTAGCTGGACTTGAAATTTGTTGCATTTAGTTCAGTTTCTCATTAAGTAGTATTCATTCAAACCTGGAATATAGTTACATTGTAACATGGACATCTGACCTACAGAATAGTTTACATAAGTTTATTTCTTTTTTTTTGTGTATTTTTGGGACAAAAACGTCTTATTTGCTTGTTTCGATTATTTCATTTTTGATTGTTTCAGTTTTGGTTCTTTTGGACGATTCACTTCAATCAGATAAAGTTGAATTATATTGAAACTCAGATATAGTTAATAGTCATAATGAAAGAAGTACTGTAATCTATCAGACAAGTTTTCATCCCTCCTTTGGAATAGTGATGGGAAAATGTCATAATTTTGAAAATTAGAAGAATTTACAAAATTTTCATTTCATCTGATTAAATGTATCAATATTTAAAACATGACGCAACTAAAGTTATCGATAGAATTTACTTATAATTGATTGAAGTTAAATGGGAATTTTTGGATGGAGAAAGAGAGAAAGTATCTTGCAATTTTGCTTAAGAATGACCATACTGACATAATCAAAGCAAGACAAATGAGACATCTTTAAGTTACATGTTATTCTTTTACTTGACAAATGTGTGCTTTATAATCTTGCTTGTTACATACTAATACTTGGTGGCATTTTTTCTGACATTCTGTGCTTTGATCAGTTTTCACAATTGGAGACAAGTCGACCAGTGTAGTTAGTATTAAGGACCCTGGGAGGATAAACGGGGCACATAAATCCATGAAGCCTCCAGGTATCGGTTTCAGTCTGCTCGTCTGTAGACACAGCTAGTGTGTCGTGACTCACAACATTGTAATGAATGCCTTATATTGAACCTCCACATGCATGCTCCCATAATATGAAAGCTTAAAGGACAATGGTATTAAATGCTAAATCAAACCACATTTTATCTCATTAAGTACACAAGTTCACTTGATATGGATGTGAATTTCTTTTAAAAGCTCACTTCGTATTGAAACAAATTCAGTTTTACAGGTTATGGTAACTTGGTATTTTTGAAGATTATTTAGTTTGAAAGTGCACTTTTTATTGCATGTCATGTTCTTACCATAAGAAATCATTTTATATGCATGCTCATATGATAAAAGAAACAGAATTGTGACACTTTCCAGAATGAAAATAAAATGATACATACAGAAGACAATAACAAAGCTCAACTGAAATATGTAGCAATGTACTACAACATTGTGGATTTCAATTTCAAAATTGTGTTCCATCATCCATGCATGCTCTAGGAACTTGATACCCAGTATGTACAACTCCAGTTCAGTATTACATTTTACATGTACCAGTCTAGTCCAGTATTACATATTACATGTACCAGTCTAGTCCAGTGTTACATATTACATGTACCAGTCTAGTCCAGTGTTACATATTACATGTACCAGTCTAGTCCAGTGTTACATATTACATGTACCAGTCTAGTCCAGTATTACATATTACATGTACCAGTCTAGTCCAGTGTTACATATTACATGTACCAGTCTAGTCCAGTGTTACATATTACATGTACCAGTCTAGTCCAGTGTTACATATTACATGTACCAGTCTAGTCCAGTGTTACATATTACATGTACCAGTCTAGTCCAGTGTTACATATTACATGTACCAGTCTAGTCCAGTATTACATATTACATGTACCAGCCGAGTCCAGTATTACATATTACATGTACAAGTCTAGTCCAGTATTGCATATTACATGTACCAGTCTAGTCCAGTATTACATGTACCAGTCTAGTCCAGTATTACATATTACATGTACCAGTCTAGTCCAGTATTACATATTACATGTACCAGTCTAGTCCAGTATTACATATTACATGTACCAGTCTAGTCCAGTGTTACATATTACATGTACCAGTCTAGTCCAGTATTACATATTACATGTACCAGTCTAGTCCAGTATTACATATTACATGTACCAGTCTAGTCCAGTATTACATGTACCAGTTACATGTTACCATGTCTAGTCCAGTCTAGTCCAGTATTACATATTACATGTACCAGTCTAGTCCAGTATTACATATTACATGTACCAGTCTAGTCCAGTATTACATATTACATGTACCAGTCTAGTCCAGTATTACATATTACATGTACCAGTCTAGTCCAGTATTACATGTACCAGTCTAGTCCAGTATTACATATTACATGTACCTGTCTAGTCCAATATTACATATTACATGTACCAGTCTAGTCCAGTGTTACATATTACATGTACCAGTCTAGTCCAGTGTTACATATTACATGTACCACTCTAGTCCAGTATTACATATTACATGTACCAGTCTAGTCCAGTATTACATATTACATGTACCAGTCTAGTCCAGTGTTACATATTACATGTACCAGTCTAGTCCAGTGTTACATATTACATGTACCAGTCTAGTCCAGTATTACATATTACATGTACCAGTCTAGTCCAGTATTACATATTACATGTACCACTCTAGTCCAGTATTACATATTACATGTACCAGTCTAGTCCAGTATTACATATTACATGTCAGGAAAGGTCGATTACGAGGTCAGCTTATTGTTATTTACACTACATGTATTGGTGATAAGATAATAATGTAAACATATTGTCATTTAATGGTGTTTACTTATAACATCGAAAAAGATTTTTGAAATCCAGTAGTGTAAGACCTATGTAAAATCTCTTAAACACAACTATTGTCTCTTAAACAATTAAAAATTGATACTTGTAATATAGTTATTTCTTATTTCTACATCTAAACAATCATCATAGTTACATTGAAGATAGCCAGAATGAAATTACTGTTGAACTGTGTAAGCTTAGAAGTGTCTATAGAGCAAAGTGTATCAGCTAGTATATTGAACATGTAACACATTTGCATTATATTTCATCATCAGTCATGTATACTGGCATGCATAGATTTTAACTTTAATTGATATGATAAATCCAGAAGGAATACATGGATCAAATTAGGAAAACATCAAAGATTTGTTGTAATCAGAAACTATTTACTATTTACAAAGAAACTGAAAATATCCCATATTTGAAATATGTTACATACATGTAGATAGAAGTAACAATTTTACTCTGTTGAGGCAGATTTTCATTTAAGAAACTTAATAGTATAATGATAAAAATGAATTCCTTTGTGTCAAATTTAAGAAGAGATTAATTACTAAGAAAATGTGATAATTAAATGATTTGTAACTTTTTACAAAGGTTTGGATAGGACAAGCTTGGGAAGCAAGGATGAGGAAATCTCTCAGAATGCATACATTCCTTACCTCTATGCAAGGCGATGTATAGCTAAGGTTGTTGATGACCTAAAGAACATGAAGCACAACCACATCAGGATTGTAGGTGACATACAGACACAGTACAAGGAGATTGAGGATGAAACACAGGTAAGAAATATTCAACCTGTTGTATGTTACATATAATCACTTCAATGTGATATAGACTTATGGAGTCCTGCAGGGGTTGGACAGACCAATCTTTGAATGTTTGTGTCACATACTTATAAATAAAGTTGTAAGGTGTTGAAAACTGTTGGCATGAACCATATACACCAGGCCATCATCAATGGCCAATGGAATCTGTGTTGAAATGGATGATGTTATAAAATGGTGAGATAGTTATGTTACCTCTGATGATGTGACCATGCTTGAGAAGCTTGTGACAGCTGTTTTTTGCCCGACCTTATTGAGATAGAATTTGTTTCCTAGCAAATCAGGATCACCCTGTGAAGTATTTGAGAAAAGGAAATCTGAGCTCGATACACTTAACACCAACATTGTAGCTGTTTTATATATTAAACATTGATATATATGTATACCCCATGGACTGAAATATATCTGTTTATATCACACAATAGTAATTGATTACTTCCCATTCTGTTATAAAATATTCAAGTTGTAGTGCTGAACATGTCGTTTTCAATGGTTGATAAATTTTGGTAAAGGTGATAGGTTGAGCTTCCTTGTTTTGCTGGGTTTTTTTCTCCCCAAGAGTTGGTGGTTAATCTCACTGAACAACATGTAGGAGGCCATCAACATGCTAACCCAACCAAAACAGAACAGGACAAATTATGATTTCTGCATCCTGAGAAACACCATTCCAAGCAGTGATCATCAAATTGTACACCTCGGATCTTTACCTGAGAAACAACACCTGAAGTAGGGACCATCCCTCACATCTTGTACAAATAAAGAATTACACTATGTGGTTTATCTTCAATAATAACTTGATATTTTCCTATGGTTTACAGTCCCAGTTCAACATCTTCGTCTTTGCCCTGAGAGATCAGTATTCTAACAAGGTGCAGACGTTTAAACAGGTGATTGATGTGCATCGTGTAGACTTACAGAACAAGGAGGCTTACTGGAATGAAATGCTAGCAGTGAGTAATTAAGTTTTATCATTTTGTAAAGATTCTTTTAATTTCTATCAGTAAACCTATTTAAGTGACTGTAACATTGTCAGTTCTAATTTTCAAAATTATACAGTTGTAGATTGAATAAATTTCCAAAGAATTCCAGTTGCAGTTTGCAGTACTTAATTGAGCAATTATTTTGTTGCAATAAAGCTTCCTGAAAACACTGGAAAGTCATGGTATCTAAAAATTCTTGATTCAAGAAAACTGATGACATTAGCTGTAGATTTTGAATTTATGATGGTATGCTTTGTATTTTTTTGACCATGTTAGAGTTTAGCTGAGAGAAACAACAGACTTCTCAAAGACAAGAAAGTACTACTCATCCAGAACAAAGTAGAGATAGAGAGATTAGAGAAAGAAAAGGTAGGTCACCTAGAGAAACAACAGACTTCTGAAAGACAAGAAAGTACTACTCATCCAGAACAAAGTAGAGATAGAGAGATTACAGAAAGAAAAGGTAGGTCACCTAGAGAAACAACAGACTTCTGAAAGACAAGAAAGTACTGCTCATCCAGAATAAAGTGGAGATAGAGAGGTTAGAAAAAGAAAAGGTAGGTCACCTGGCAGAAAAGAGAAAAAGTCACAGGAAATATTTCTGGATATTTTTCAGAAGAAAAATGAAACAAGAGACCATTGTAATGGAGAAATATTCCAGATGTTTCAATTGCTTATACCAAATATCAGGAAAAAAAGTGAATTGAAAAGGAACTTAATCTTAAAACTTGAAAAGAGCTGCAGTGTATGTATGATATAAGACGGATTTCTGAAATACTGGATGTCAAGAAGGACACTTGTATGTATCTTCAACTGATTAAATGTTTGAATGATACAGGTCAGTATTGATGTATATGGTACACACAATTTGATTTGTGACTTTATCAAGGTATGTTAGAAAGTACTGACTCCAGGCTATTTGTCAGTCTTTAAAGTTAACATCCCCATCCCCCATTTTATTTAGTTTTCTCTACCTGTCTGTTTTAAATTGTTAGATGGAGATGCAGACAGAGCTAACACAACAGCTGGATAAATCCAATGCTGCTCTGATCGCAGGTACGTTACTCAACCCAGAATATGGAGACTAACTCTCATGGTGACATATTGTGATATTCTTCTGTCCACTGGCATCTGCTTACCATTCGTTGTCCGTCCTCTTTGGTCTGTCTGTAAACTTTTTTCAATTTTTCAATCTTCTGGGAAACCCCTAACCAATTTCATTGAAACTTGACAGGACCATTATATGGCCAAAGATAAACCAAAAATGTAAATTTTATGGTCTCCAACCCCCAGAGGCTTGACAGGTGGGGACAAAAAGGCTAAAATTGATTGAAATTCTTAAAGTCTTATTTTCATTATCCAAATATGGTAGAATTGAATAATTCCTGGATAGAAGTGTCTTAATGTGCTTTACCAAAATTGTGAATTTCCTGGTCCCAGGGTCTGACATTTCCCTTTGGGGAGGGGGTCAACTTTACTATAAATTATATAGGAGAAATTTAGAAAGACAATTCGATGTTATGCATATATTGATTTTGGCTCATGGCCAAAATTGATCACCTTCATTATAATTTCAAAAATCATCTTCTTAATATCCAAACATGTTAGAATCAAACACTCTTCGCGGATGGTGAGCATTTAGGCCCCTGGCCTCTTGTCTTTTTTCACTTTGAAAACCTTTCCATATAAATATATATAAGATTGTAAGAAAAAAACAAGTTTTGTAATTTAATATTATTTCAATCAATTGCTATGATAAATATTTCTAACTTTGATCAAACATACCGACAACTGTTGATTAGATAAGCAATCTACTAGAGAACTGATAATTGTGTACTATTGTAAAGTATTCTGGTCCATTACCATTATACAGTTAAACGTCCCTTTGGTACCCTGTTGTGTACTAGGTACTGCGTTACCTTGATTTTAACGCCCCTTGTTAATGTGAAATCTTGATACACTGTCATTTTTTATCTATTTACACTAAACCCTTGATTTTAACCTCTTATACTTCACTGCTGTATTCATCCATCATATCTTTATACCATTTATCTTCTTAACAACATTTATTTGATATTAAATGTGTTGTTCAACTCCTGTATAACACCAAAATCTCATAAATGATTAAAGAAAGTAATCTTGACCTTCAAATACTTTTCTGCAATACTGAAATATCCAGGATTATTGTCAGTATGATGGGGATTTCTTTATTTTATTGCTTTGATTTTCTTTATGTTGTAGTGGAGAAAGACACTAGTACTGCTGATGAATTGAAGGTATGTTATTGTTACAGTTTTTCTACGATAATAAAAAAAGAGAAAGAAACAAAAAAGTAACATTCATTGGATAACAAAAGACAGTCTTTTTCAGTTGCATTTTTTTATCATGTAGATATGCATAAGATGTCTGTAAAAGCTTTGAAAATCAGTTAGTGTTAATTATGCTTTCTCATTATATCACTGTCATCTGGATTATTGTCAATGTCTAATGATATTCTGATGCAAACTATGATTGGTGTGTTGAAGGCTGTGGTTGTCCAGCTTGATGCTCAGAAAGCTGAAGTTGCAAGACTTGAAGCAGAGCTGGCTGCTAGCAAAACTGTAGGTGCAACTGCTGTGACTGCTGCTGCAGTCGTAGCAACCAAAGACACAGAGTCCATCCAAGAGGAACAGAAGGAAGTCGCGAAAACGACCGCTCCTTTGATGGCAGCTGCTGTGATCAGTGATAACGAGAAATCAAAGATTGCTAATGAAAGAGACCAAATGGAAGATGAGAGACAAAAGTACGATGATGAAAGGAGGATGATGGAAGAAGATAGAATGGGGTTTGACAATCAGCGCCAAGAATGGCTTGATGAGATCAAAGCCCTTCAACTTGCCGTAGCCGTCAACACCAAAGTAAACAATCTCTTCTAAGATATGAAAATGAATATATTCATATTTGCAGACTTTCTAAGCATTTGCATTAACAATGTTTTCATAGAATGTTGATTGGTTTGAAAGTGCACTTTTTTAAAAAAAAACTTTAGAGATAATTCCATTTTAAGTAATTTGGTAGGAGATTAAGTAAATAATGCAAGCACTGATGATGATAACAGGGCTTTTTATGCATTCATTTCCACAGAAAAAAATTAGCATTTTATCAAGAACCACCTTCACTTTGAGCCAAATTTGTGATATGATACCCAATTAGTGGCATCTGATAGTACAGATACACCTACTGAAGCTGTAAATTTCCATCTTCATGAAAATACCTCTTCATCATCAATGTTAGAATTTTTTTTTATTTATCTAATATATGGGTGTGCTGATCAGTATAGTATGTAATCAACCAATTTAAGAAACCAGATAGGATTATAACTTTGGTAAGGTTAGGTGTTGACCTTAACAAATGACTTAACTCTCCAAATCATAAATGTTTTGATTAACTGTTTGTTTATTTAGAGTCAATATGTAAGTAACAGTTGAAAACTGTGTTTATTAATATTATTAGACTACAAAGTATCCAGATGCCTAATCTAAATCTAAGTGTCATTATAAAATACTTGTGAATAACACTAATCTAAATCTAAGTGTCATTATAAAATACTTGTGAATAACACTAATCTAAATCTAAGTGTCATTATAAAATACTTGTGAATAACACTAATCTAAATCTAAGTGTCATTATAAAATACTTGTGAATAACACTAATCTAAATCTAAGTGTCATTATAAAATAATTGTGAATAACACTTTCAGGAGAGTGCTGAGTGGAAAGCCAAGTACACAGGAATGAAGACACAGCTAGAAGATAGCGCAACACTACATGCTAAGTACAAAGCCTTGGAGGACCAGTATATGGCTATGGCTGCCATTGTTGCTGCATCAGACTCCTCCAAGAAACATGCTGAGGTATTCAATGGGCTTCAGTAATCTATGTCATATGTTATATCAATAACTTATTTGATGCCTCAGGTGGACTGTGGACTTTCCCTACCTGTGGCAGTTCATGTTTCTTAGAAAGCTTAGAAACAGACTAGTGTGTGCTGTCAGTTCTGCTATACCCAAATTACTCATTTATTGTTCAGTGAGGTCATCATCAGCTACAAAAGGGGTCCCTGCCAAAAAATGAACCAGGCTGTTCACAGATCAGTAAACAAACAAAACATCCTATGCACAATTTTGACAGGTCTTTTTACCCACTATCATCAGATGATGGACTTTTCAAATTGCCCTTTGTCCATAGTCTGTTATTAAACATTTCTGATGTAAATTTCTTTATTTCCCTAGTCGTGCATTGTCACATTTTTGGACTGAAAACAACATGGCTGACTGAAGGCCATTTTGGATATTGACAGTAATAGTTTGTTATTGCTATTTCTTGAGAGCCACTGTATCATTTTCAGATTTCAGATTCGTTGTCTGATCTTGGGTCTTATCTGAAAAAAAAAAATGACTGGCATGTGTCCATCTTAGTTTTTGACTGTCATAATTTCCTTAAGTTCATTTGCAGGTTCTCTTTGTTGTGCCTTTTTGGTTTTTGGTCTGATAAAAATAGCTAAATTTCTGACAAAATCTTGGATTTGACAATTAAAAATTATCATTGCTTATCCTTAAGACGATTTTTTTTTCAAACTTCACATAAATTATAGAAAAAAAAAGGAAAGAATAGAAAAGAACAGAAAAATAAAACTAAAAGAGTAATTGAGGAATAAACAGTGATGAACACCAAGGTTCCTCTTGGATCTCTTTCAAACACAATCTGAATATCAACTTCTTTATAAAAATTGTTATGATCTAAAGAGGTGCATCACCAGCAACAAACACGAAACTGGTTTTCTCATGTTCGTTATTTAACATGAGAAAACTAGTTTCTAGTTTGTTGTGATTGACGTACCTAATTCAGATTTGTCCTTACTGTCCGCTTGCCCTAGCATACCTTCTGGTATTGAAGCGAAGCTTATCAGACTAACCTATCTGCGACAACTCACTCACTGCAGTGTTGTCTCTTCTCTAGAACTCTTTTTGTTATATCAACATCAAGTTAAATGTGGGAACATTTTTGATGTATTTGTTGTATGATAAGACAATAACAGTATTAAAGTTGATGTTCACATGATTTTGTTTTAGGAGAATGCTAAGAAGACTAAAGAGGAGAAGAATATGATGGTAGTGGAGCAGGACAGGACAGACAATGAAATACAACAGTGGGAGGAAGACTTCGTCCAGAAGAATGGCCGGCCTGCCACAGATGATGAAAAGTAAGGCTGATTAAGGACTGACTGAGAAATCATAATGCAGGTAGTGATTGCTGCAAGACAAATTGGTAGAAAATAGAAACGTATCAAATTCAGCAATTCATTTTTTTTTCATTTCAAGAACCATTTCTAAAATTTGAATGTCAAAGTAAGTGAAAATATTAGATAATTAAATGTGTGTTCTTGAGGAAAAGATTGATAGAAATGCATCAATATTTGTTTTTATGTATGTGTGTGAAAAGTCATTTAGAAAATAACTGAGGTTTTCTCTGCATTAGTTTAACATTTGAACTTTAACTAACATTTTTGATAATTTAGGCCAGATTCTGTGAAGGAGTTATATGTTCAGAAGGAAGAATTAGCTACCATGGTGAATACACTTGACAAGAAGTTAGATACATTTTCAAAAGTGGAAAAAGGAAAAATTCCAGATCCTCCTGAAGTACCTCCAGTTCCTATTGTTGTCAAGGATCCGGAAGTACAGATGGTTGAGGTAAGAGGTCTAGGTCATGTTGAAGTAAATCAAACATTTATCGTTACATACAGATTTCATAACAAATTTCTATTACAGTATATCAAATACTTCAGTTACTTGATTCGTAAGCTTGTATCTTCAAAACTAAACGTTCTTTACAAATTTGTAAAATTTACAAATTTTCATGATGCAGGTCACATGCAGTCTTCCGACCCTTAGTTTCATTATGCATACATATTATGAGCTGAAACTATACATAACTTCTGTTCCTTAATGAAACAGAACACATAGATTTACTGATAACATTAACATCTTTTGTTGATATCATTGTTTTACTTAACAACAATAGATAAAAGTGCCAGATCCAGCCTTAGTGACGCAGTTGGAGGCATCCTATGATGAGATCCGTAAGTTGAGAGAACAGATATCAGCTCTGCAGCAGGAAAACCTGACCCAGAGCTCTCAGATTTCTCAGCAGAATGAAGAACTGTCCAAGCAGAGAGATCGCATTAGTGAACTGGAGCTGGAAATAGCTGCATTGAAGGCTGCAGCTGGAGCTGCTGCAGCTGCTGGAGCTAGCAGTGCTGTAAGTTGATAAAACACAAATGATACAGAGACAAATAGTGCTGTAAGTTGATAAAGCACAAACGATACAGAGACAAATAGTGTTGTAAATTGACAATTCAGAGACAAATAGTGCTGTAAATTGACAATTCAGAGACAAATAGTGCTGTAAATTGACAATTCAGAGACAAATAGTGCTGTAAGTTGACAATTCAGAGACAAATAGTGCTGTAAATTGACAATTCAGAGACAAATAGTGCTGTAAGTTGACAATTCAGAGACAAATAATGCTGTAAGTTGACAATTCAGAGACAAATAGTGCTGTAAGTTGACAATTCAGAGACAAATAGTGCTGTAAGTTGACAATACAGAGACAAATAGTGCTGTAAGTTGACAATACAGAGACAAATAGTGCTGTAAATTGACAATACAGAGACTAATATTGCTGTAAATTCACATCAGATTGTTTGCTTATTTTGTTTCATGAATCTTATTTAAAGTATAATTATTATTGTGATTATTAGAACAGTGAAACAAAGTAAGCAAATAATTTGTTATGAATCTAGAACCAGTGGTATGATTTTAAACCTTAATCTATGAGCAGAAAGGAATATAATCTAATTGTTTCTTACTGATAGGAACTGGATGAATTGAAGAAAGAAAACAGGGAAATGAAGAAGGACATGAAGAAGTTGCTTAAAAAGCTAGAGAAGAACAAGACAGAAAGTGGTAAAGGAAAATATATATTGTAGCTATAGGTTATTTGGACTTCAACATTGATATACATGCCATGGCGATTTGAAAGATTTTGCATAAATGATAATGGGTCCTGCACTTGATATTCTACATGTACAGCACATGAATCATATACCTTTTAAATTAGTATTTTTTTTTATTTAAAATATATTGTTTGATACTCTGTTATGATTAATTTATAGGGATGCATGGTTTTGAAGCTAAGCTGAACGTTCCTATCTCATTTTATTCAAAATGCTAAAATGATTCAAATCAAATATAATTTTCACTTTTTCTGCTAGATCCAACAACTGTTGAATCACCAGAACAAAAGATTTCAACCTTGGAGGACAAAATCACTGATCTTGAGTCTGAAAATGAGGGTTTGCTGGAGGACAAGAATAAGCTGATTTCTGAGAGAAATAATCTGCTGGAACAAATGACAGTGAGTGTTGTATGGGTTTGATACAATCCTTCACTTTATACCCTGCTCGAACAAGTCTCAATGAGTTACGATTTATGATACAATGCTGAGTGATGATGGGGATAATTAAGTGATGTTTGATAGGAAAAAAAATCGTAAAAATATTTTATTTCTAAATGATTTTTAATTTTCAAAAAGTTGAGCACATGGAGAGACATTTTAAAATCTAAACATTGTTATTTGTGAAGTGAAAAGAAAATTGATTATCCAAAATGCAAACGAAATTAAAAAATAAAAAAAAAATAAATAAATAAAACCATGAAATTTAGAAAGAAAGAAAAACACACTCAGAGTTAATTAATGAAACAAAACAAAATAAAAACAAATGCCATGAACAAAATCAAACAAAACATATTCAAAATATAATTCTTTGTTAAAAGAGAAGGGCATTAATGATATCAAAATATATCTACAATGTTGTCTGTTTACTTATGATTGTGTTTATTACTAGGCACTACAGCTCCAGGTAGCTACAGCAGAGACAGCAGCCCATGTAGGTACAAGTGAACCAAGTGCACCGATAGTTCCTGTAGCAGCACCAGTCCCTGTACAGTCCAGTCGTGGTGGACAGGTAAGTAACAACAGTCCCTGTACAGTCCAGTTGTGGTGGACAGGTAAGTAACACCAGTCCCTGTACAGTCCAGTCGTGGTGGACAGGTAAGTATCACCAGTCCCTGTACAGTGCAGTCGTGGTGGACAGGTAAGTATCACCAGTCCCTGTACAGTGCAGTCGTGGTGGACAGGTAAGTAACACCAGTACCTGTACAGTCAAGTCGTGTTGGACAGATAAGTAACACCAGTCCTGTACAGTCAAGTCATGGTGGACAGGTAAGTAACACCAGTCCCTGTACAGTGCAGTCGTGGAGGAGAGGTAAGTAACACCAGTCCCTGAACAGTCAAGTCGTGGAGGAGAGGTAAGTAACACCAGTACCTGTACAGTCAAGTCGTGTTGGACAGATAAGTAACACCAGTCCTGTACAGTCAAGTCGTGGAGGAGAGGTAAGTAACACCAGTACCTGTACAGTCAAGTCATGGTGGACAGGTAAGTAACACCAGTCCCTGTACAGTCAAGTCGTGGAGGAGAGGTAAGTAACACCAGTACCTGTACAGTCAAGTCGTGTTGGACAGGTAAGTAACACCAGTCCTGTACAGTCAAGTCGTGGAGGAGAGGTAAGTAACACCAGTCCCTGTACAGTCAAGTCGTGGAGGACAGGTAGGTAGCACCAGTCCCTGACAGTCAAGTCATGGAGGAGAGGTAAGTAACACCAGTTTGTCAAGTCGTGGAGGAGAGGTAAAACACCAGTCCCTGTAAGTCATTTTATTCGTGGAGGAGATTTTTAATTTTCAAAAAGTCAAGTCGTGGAGGAGAGGTAAAATAACACCAGTCCCTGTACAGTCAAGTCGTGGAGGAGAATTGATTATCCAAAACCTGTACAGTCAAATTAAAAAATAAAAAAAAAATAAACCAGTAAAACCATGAAATTTAGAAGAGGTAAGTACACACCAGTTACCTAATACAGTCAAAATAAAAACAAATGTTGGACAAAATCAAACCATCCTTACAGTCAAGTCGTGGAGGAGAGGTAAGTATACCAGTCCCTATATCAGTCAATGTCGTGGAGGACAGGTAGGTAGCACCAGTCCCTGTACAGTCAAGTCATGGAGGAGAGGTAAGTAACACCAGTCCCTGTACAGTCAAGTCGTGGAGGAGAGGTAAGTAACACCAGTCCCTGTACAGTCAAGTCGTGGAGGAGAGGTAAGTAACACCAGTCCCTGTACAGTCAAGTCGTGGAGGAGAGGTAAGTAACACCAGTCCCTGTACAGTCAAGTCGTGGAGGAGAGGTAAGTAACACCAGTCCCTGTACAGTCAAGTCGTGTTGGACAGGTAAGTAACACCAGTCCTGTACAGTCAAGTCGTGGAGGAGAGGTAAGTAACACCAGTCCCTGTACAGTCAAGTCGTGGAGGACAGGTAGGTAGCACCAGTCCCTGTACAGTCAAGTCATGGAGGAGAGGTAAGTAACACCAGTCCCTGTACAGTGCAGTCGTGGAGGAGAGGTAAGTAACACCAGTCCCTGTACAGTCAAGTCGTGGAGGAGAGGTAAGTAACACCAGTCCCTGTACAGTCAAGTCGTGGAGGAGAGGTAAGTAACACCAGTCCCTGTACAGTCAAGTCGTGGAGGAGAGGTAAGTAGCACCAATCCCTTAGTTCTGTAATTCTCTAGATATAATAATTATCAGTGAAGCTTTCACTGTCATAACTGTGATATCTGTATTTAATCTGTGTTAGATAATATACATTTTACAATACTGAACTCTTGAAGCTCCACTATGTTTATAACTATAGGAGGTAGAATTAACTTCAAGGAGTGTACAGTGTTGGGCTTGGTTAACATCCTTAATACACTTTTGTAGGTAAATTGTTTTTGGTTTTCTTCTAGGAGTGTTCTGTGCCTGGCCATGCCGACCTGGTGGAACAGTTAGAGAAAAAGACAGAGGAGATAGCAGAGAAGGACATCAGAATACAAGATCAAGAACAGCGTATCTCTGACAAAATACAGGTCAGTTGATATTACACTAGAAAATCATTGGACCAGTGAGCTCATATGCCATGACACAGCATCTGTCATTTGTCCGGTATCCACCAGCATTTTACTAAAAATAGCTACTTGTCATGAACGACTGAACAGATTTTGACCAAAAAATAGTGAAAATAGAGGACACTGTATAAAATCGTTCTTTTGTGAGAATGCCTTGATTCTGTCACAATTTGGTCTGAAGCATAACTAGCTGAAAGCCTAATTTTGTATCAACCAAGAGTATGACATCAGAGATGTGGGTCCAATTAAAATCCTTCTTCTGTACCGGAGTATTGTCCAAGTTTGGTTTGAAGCAATTTTTTTATGAATTGTGAATTTGTTTTCTGTTTAACCACAAAGCTTGGCTCTTATAGAGTAAATATTTCAGAATATTTTTGTAATATTTGAAATTCTTTGTTAAATGACTAAATACTGGTAGCAGAATTAGCCAGATGAGGGATACAGGCCCCTTGGACCTTTTGTTTAGATAAAAAGTGGTATGAAATTAGGATTGTTTCAGATGATATCATGTCTGAGTGAATATTAATACTGTAGTTTAGAATATTCTATTGAAGCAGAATGGAGACCATAGTGTCATTTTATGTCTGGATCAATCTATATTTAGATAAATGTTTATCTACAAGTGCTTGACCTTGTTATTTGTTTTTAAATTGAGTAGCTGGAAATTCATTATATTTTATTGGCTTCTAGGAGATTGAGAAGATCAAGAGTGAACTAAAGGAGATGAGGAAGGACATGATGAAAATGGCCAAACAGCATAGCAAACTTCAGCTCAAGCTCAAAGATCTGGCTGAGTTTGAGAAAACCAAAAAATTGTTGGCAGCTGTAGCTAAATATGTAAGTCATACCGTAGCTTTCTGAGATTTTTGTTTACATTGGAGCTACACGAGGTACAACTTTATGTGTAGGTACACGAGGTACAATTTTATGTTTAGGTACACGATATACAACTTTATGTGTAGGTACACGATATACAGTTTTATGTATAGGTACACAAGATATAATTTTATGTTGAGGAACACGAGGTACAACTTTATGTTTAGGTACACAAGATATAATTTTATGTTGAGGAACACGATATACAATTTTATGTTTAGGAACACGATATACAATTTCATGTTTAGGAACACGATATACAATTTTATGTTTAGGTACAAGATATAATTTTATGTTTAGGTACACGATATACAATTTTATGTTTAGGTACACAAGATACAATTTTATGTTTAGGTAAACAATATACAATTTTATGTGTAGGTACACGATATACAATTTTATGTTTAGGTACATGAGATACAATTTTATGTTTAGGTACACAAGATACAATTTTATGTGTAGGTATATGAGGTACAATTTTATGTTTAGGTACACGATATACAATTTTATGTTTAGGTACACAAGATATAATTTTATGTGTAGGTACACGATATACAATTTTATGTGTAGGTACACGATATACAATTTTATGTGTAGGTACACCAGATTCAATTTTATGTTTAGGTACACAAGATACAATTTTATGTTTAGGTAAAAAGGTACAAATTTATGTGTAGGTACATGAGATACAATTTTATGTTTAGGTACATGAGATACATGGTGAGAATCCTGATGCAGCCAATGGTGTAGTTACCAAACTGACCCTGGTTACTGCTGATGTGGCTTCAGCTAGGTCTCCTTATGACCAAAGCCAGAAAGCTGTGGATACATGGGAGGAGAAATACAAGAAAAAGAATGGAAAAGCTTCTGGTGAAAAAGACAGGTAGTGTTACCTCTTAAGTATTTCTTTGATAAGTATTTCTTCTATATAACACACATATCAATTACCAGGTATCACACTAAGGTATTATGAAGTATAAAAGTGGAAACCGTCAATACACAGGTTACATATGACAAGTAAATTGAATTTGTTTATGAAATATTCTGTGTAAATTTTTAGGGATGCTGAAGGGAAAAAGGTTTATGCTGCCATGGAAGAAAAGAAGACAGTGCTAGATGATTCCAAAATAAATATGGAAGCTCTTCAGATTATGAAGACAGGGGACTACATTGCTCCAGTGTCTCGTCAAGTTTCCTCAGTACAGGATATTAAAGGTAGCCCTAATCAGTAAATAAAAAGATCTACTCTGTTACACTGTCTTTTCTGCTATAAATTCTCCCCTAAACACACAATTAGCATATTGAATATATTTACAACTGTTCAACTGTACAATGTATATTGGTGTCAATTAAACTATTGTTGGAATGTAGTAAACAGTGTGTACCATATGACCATATATGTTACTGTTAACAGAGAAATCTCTATGCTGACATGGAGTGGTCTTATGCTACACTTAATTCAAACTTAACAACTTACAATTTATCATGCTACTTTGATTGAGATTATGTTAGACTTTGAAATATTTCCTAAAAAACACTAAAGTGATGATATTATTCCATCCCTCAATTCTTGAAAAGGAAACTGGAAAATAATATCAACATATGTTTGGTAGTGTTTTATTACACTACAGCAAGTTCAGGCATATGATAGTGTTTAATTATACCACAGCAAGTCCAGGCATATGATAGTGTTTAATTATACCACAGCAAGTCCAGGCATATGATAGTGTTTAATTATACCACAGCAAGTCCAGGTATACTAATGTCTAAGATAAATTCTATGAATATCAAATAGTCACAAAAATTGTCTGACCAACATTTCGCCAACAGAGGAGAGAGCAGTGGTGGAACAGATTGAACACCAGATGTCAGCAATGGACAACAAAGTGTCTGACTTGGAGACAGAGAACGATGAACTGAAGAAAGAGCGAAGTCAGATGGCTGCCAAGATGAAGGTGAGGCTTGTAGGCTGAAAAGAATAGTGTTGTTAGGCTTATGTAAACTGTGCACCTCCTTGACAAGCCTGTCACATGAAACATGTATCTAATTATTAACATGGCATCAATAAATTTTAGAGCTAGATTTTGGAAATGTATACGTAAATGAAGAATGTGTCTATTAAAAGGAAGAAAAGACATTATTACCATTAAAATTTGATGATTCAGAATTTTAAACATTGACATAATTTTTTTTTTTAAAGTTCATCAGAATTTTTTAACAGAAGCAATGTTGTATATTTGTACTGAAATAAGTGGCAATGTAAAGTTTATGATGTGTGTATGGTAAATAGGACCTGGAAACCAAATTGGAGGAGGCCAAGAATCAGGCAGAACTCCAGACCACCCTAGCTATGGGTACCAACACAGAGGTCAGTACTTAAAGTCTTCAACACATTTCTTATATAAATATTCAGCTGATTTACTTTACTGCTGGACCTGAATTTCAAGGTCTGGTAAACAGTAAAACATTGACACACAAATGTTTGATATCTGATGATCTATACTCTTTGTTATATGTTAACAATTAAAATGTACATATTAGCAACTGTAAAATACATACTGGTTGTCAAATGAAGGTCATACAAGGCAATTGGCATTTTACAGAGGTTATCAACTTGATCAGCTCACAAGGTCAAGGTCTTACAAATGTTTCTCAGGTTATGAGGTGAAGGTCAGATAAATAGTAGACAGAAGACCATCGTTGATGGAATTTAGATGAAGTTAATAAAATATTGAGGGAAAAATTTCTATAACATTGATATGGGTAACTTATCCCCTTAACCTTTGGTCACTTTTTACATTATTATAATGACTTCATTAACAGGAATTGTCGGAACAGATCACCCGCCTCCAGTCTCAGGTAACAAGTTTGGACACAGCTTTGTCTCAGGAAAAAGCTGCACACCAAAACACCAAGGATGAGCTCGAAAACCTCCACAAGCAGATGGCTGTGTTACGAGAGGAGACAAATAATGAGAAGGCTGACATCAAAGCTAAAATAGACAGCAACAACAAAACATCCAAGGCTATCATTAAGGCTATGGAACAGGTAGGTACACATCCATAGAGTAATTCTTAGAACATCCAAAGTTATCATAAAGACTGTGGAACAGGTAGGTACATACTTATAGAGTAATTCTTAAAACATCCAAGGCTATCATTAAGGCTATGGAACAGGTAGGTACACATCCATAGAGTAATTCTTGGAACATCCAAGGTTATCATAAAGACTGTGGAACAGGTAGGTACACATCCATAGAGTAATTCTTAAAACATCCAAAGTTATCATAAATACTGTGGAACAGGTAGGTACACATCCATAGAGTAATTCTTAAAACATCCAAGGTTATCATAAAGACTGTGGAACAGGTAGGTACACATCCATAGAGTAATTCTCAAAACATCCAAAGTTATCATAAAGACTGTGGAACAGGTAGGTACATACTTACAGAGTAATTCTTAAAACATCCAAGGTTATCATAAAGACTGTGGAACAGGTAGGTACATACTCAGAGTACAGCACCGGTATTTGCTTATTATATATTATTATTGTCTATGTCAAGGTAGATTGCGAAACACTACACTAATCACAAAAAGTAGCATAGAAAATACCAAGATATCAACAAAATCTTCATTCAAACAATTCAATAAAATAGGGCAAAATTTAAACAAAAGCTAGGTGTACATGGAGATTCCTGTAAAAGTACAAGGAGAATAAGGCTATGTGTTTCAGAGGAAGTATTCCTCATCTACGGCACATTCTGTCTAAATCTTGTTCAATCTGAGTCAATAATATCACAATCACAAATGAAAACAAGGTTACTTACAATGGAACCACCTGACATACTAACGAGCATGACTTATATCACATCAGGAATTTTCTTAAGGAGATCATTATTTTGATCATGAAATCTAGCACATCCAATATCTTTAGCTTTTTGGAGCCTGGAATATTAACATTTCATCGAATGTAGGTCACTAGGTCAATGTTTACCTTGACCTTAAACAAGTTCTCACAAACTTAAAATTTAACAAGCAAACTCTAGTAGTTTGTTGGGTGATGATAAATGAGTAACATTTGAACTGGTTAATCTTATGTACATATTTCAGGAGCTGGACAAGTCCAAGACTCGAATTGATGAGTTGGAGAAGGAAAGACTGGCCAACGTACCGATGGACACAGCCAAGGAAATAAAAAATCTACAGACTAAGATTGTGAGTTTATACATTCGTTGTGTGTTGCTAAGTTTAAAGTCAAATAGATTTTCATGTACCATATCACTGTATCTTAATGTTTATGCTGCTGTTAATAAATAGACTATGGCACATTGTGTTTTACCATTCTGTCTATGCAGCAATGATATTTTACTGAGATAGGCTTTGTATTGAGGGCACTGGTCTATTTTTTAGTCAGTAATAGTTTCAGGATGTTTGGCATAGAATTCTAGAGGTCAAATATTGATGTTATAAACAAATTTGATCTTTTAAATTGCTGACAGGTTTTGAACTTAATTATTTCCTTTTGAACCAGTGTCAATAGGCACACGGTTTGTTTAGTATTTGCAAATAACTCTTATCATTAAAGAGAAAACAAAGGCAGATGTTTTACACGAATACTCTTTAGTCAGATTTAATGTTGAGACATACATGAGAAAACAAAGGCAGATGTTTTACACAAATACTCTTAAGTCCTATTTAATGATGAGACAAACTTACTGAATTTTCATAGACATCATATGATATTGGAATATTAAATTTTTCAAAACAAATGCAACCAATTGCAAATCATTTATTGAAATAACGTTTGCAGATGGAGGATCTTACTCGAGTGTCAATGTAAGATGGAATTATCAATAATTTGCCACAAGTCTTTATACATAGGCATAAATGTAAGGTTACATTTATCACATAACTTGTATTTTTGAAACTAAAGGAAGATTTTCACATTTATCTCCCTTGAAGACATGCTTATGTTGATGATTAAATTTACAATATGATCAAATTGATCATGGGACATGATAGTGGATGACCAGGTAATGTATAATGTATCAGCATATCCTGATGAGCTTTGTGATATATCCTCTCCAGGCAGCCCTTGAGAAGGAGAAGACTACCTCAGGTACAGCAGCTGCTGGACTAACTGGTCAGTTGTCTGAACTACAGACCAAGCTAGACAGTGCTAACAAAAATCTGGAGAGCCAGCGAGCGGCAAATAGGGATCTGGAGGTAGGTCATTGGAATAGAATTATATATAAGCTAATGTGAAACATTGTTACTCCATTTGAAAAATAGATGTTTATTGTTGTGGCAATTGTTAAAGAACAATGAATAAATATTTCACAGGAGTGTTTGTTTCATGTCTGTCTGTTAAGTATGAAGAACCTGCAGTACATGAAGATCAAACTCCAAACCAGTACAGTAACCAAACAAAAGTGTAAAAATACTACTATCACTGAAGAAATATTTGAAACTTTGTTTATGGACCAGTATTATAGTAATTATTAGAAAAACATTTCAAACATTAGATATGTGTTTCATTTAGGCCAAGTTTAAGAATGCTAAAACAGAAAAGGATAAGGCTGTGAGAGATGCAGTGTCAGCACAGGAAAAGAAGGACCAGACCAGAATCAACGATGACAAAAAACGGATCAATGCACTCGAGAAAAGGATCAAGGAGCTGGAATCTGCTGGAGTAAAACCAGGCGTAAGTACCAACACATTTCATCTCAGGAACTCTGTTTACAAGGCGTAAGTACCAGGAACTCTGTTAACCAGGTGTAAGTACCAGGAACTCTGTTAACCAGGTGTAAGTACCAACACATTTCATCTCTGGAGCTCTGTTAACCAGGCATAAGTACCAGCACATTTCATCTCAGGAACTCTGTTAACCAGGTGTAAGTACCATGAACTCTGTTAACCAGGTGTAAGTACCATGAACTCTGTTAACCAGGTGTAAGTACCAGGAACTCTGTTAACCAGCTGTAAGTACCAGGAACTCTGTTAACCAGGTGTAAGTACCAGGAACTCTGTTAACCAGGTGTAAGTACCTGGAACTCTGTTAACCAGGTGTAAGTACAAGGAACTCTGTTAACCAGGTGTAAGTACCAGGAACTCTGTTAACCAGGCATAAGTACCAACACATTTCATCTCAGCTTTGTTACACTGGTCTATTGATACTAATATTATACACAGGTTTCATCATCATATAAATTATGAGATTCATAACTTACTCTAAAAGCAGTTCTAATGTATAAGTATTCATTGTGTTGTACAATATCTGCTTATCCCTAATCAATGTAAAACTTTAAAGAAAAGCTTTCTAAGAAAGCATACAGATAAGTCAAGGATATGTAAAGTGGGTTTATTAAAATGATATGGATATTTCAAACCCAATCTCTAAAGAATTTAGGCTCATTTAACAAATTGCCTATGAACTGGAAACTCCTGTTAGTACCTCTGTTATAGATGTATTGTTTTCTGTCTTTGACAGATTGGTGCTGTAGTAGCAGGGGTAAGTGTCAGTGGCTTCATCTTGATGCAAGGATATATGTAAACTGTAGCAATATATGTGGGATTTTGAATTTGAGTTATCTCCCTTGAAATTTTAATAGTGATTTTGGTCCATGGTAACAACACTTGTTCATCAAAAACAAGTGCTATAGTAACATAACTACTTAATGGTTTTATTTAAGCAAGAGTATCTTAGATAATGCCTTCCATAAAGATTGTGATATATTGATGACAACTAATTAGACTTTGTTAAATGATCTTGCTGTGTTAAATGTGTATTTTATGTGGCTCCAAATTGAGCTTAATTAAATAAGTAAAGTTTCCTAACAGAAGCTGTAATACATATATCACTACATGTATGTAGGATCATTTCAACACACATTTCAGATTCTGGATATTCACCTACATTTTATAGTTCATTCAACTTTGTTATTCAAATGTGTCATGTCAAAGTTTTTTGTTCAGGCGGTGTTGACTTTTATTGCCCTTGAGGTGTTTAAACTCTCAGAGTGAAACCTTGAATATATTACACTATTTACTATTTACATTTATTTATGATTATCCCAGTCCACATTTTAGATTCTGATTTTCACCTTCAGTTTGCTGTTAACTGGACTTAAGTTGCTCCATGTTAAAGTTTTCAGTTTAGTCCAGCCTTGAGCTTTATTTTTCTCAAAGTACTCCAACTGTCATCACCAAACCTAGAATATATCAATATCTATGTATGATCATCCCAACATTTTAGGTCCTTATTTTCAACTAGTTTACTGTTGACTTTGTTAATTAATAGAACTAAATGCTTTACATTTAGATTGGAGTTGAACTTTATTTCTCTCCAAGTATAAAGCCTGTCATAATCCGACCTGGAGTATGTTTATACAGTATGCATGGCCAAGAATATCACCTACAGTTTACAGTTAAATGTAGGGTAAGGGTGGCACCTCTGACAGTTATATCTATGTATTTACCTGTAGGGTAAGGGTGGTACCTCTGACAGTTATATCTCCATATTTACTTGTAGGGTAAGGGTGGTACCTCTGACAGTTATATCTCCATATTTACCTGTAGGGTAAGGGTGGTGCCTCTGACAGTTATATCTCCATATTTACCTGTAGGGTAAGGGTGATACCTCTGACAGTTATATCTCCGTATTTACCTGTAGGGTAAGGGTGGTACCTCTGACAGTTATATCTCCGTATTTACCTGTAGGGTAAGGGAGGTACCTCTGACAGTTATATCTCCGTATTTACCAGTAGGTTAAGGGTGATACCTCTGACAGTTATATCTCCATATTTACCTGTAGGGTAAGGGTGGTACCTCTGACAGTTATATCTCCATATTTACCTGTAGGGTAAGGGTGGTACACCTGACAGTTATATCTCCGTATTTACCTGTAGGGTAAGGGTGGTACCTCTGATGCTGCAGTGAAGGCTATGAGAGAACAAATGACCAAAATCAAACAAGAGAACAATGAGCTGAACATGCGACTCAAACAACTGGAAATGGACATGAAGCGGTGAGGTTTTTTTAATGTAAAACCAATTTTCATGATGTAATACTTACCATAACTTTAGTATGCAAATACAGTACCTACACCCATCTTTGTATCCCAACAACAAAAGATTCAAAAGAAAAACAATCCCGCCCTCCCTACGATCCATGAGCCATCACGGCAGGAACGCAGAGTGATCTCCCTTCCTCTAATAACCTTTATGGCGTAAACCCCACAGAGGGGCAGCCAGGCAGATAAGGAAGAGGGGAGGATAGGGTGGGACTCCATAAAGTTATGGTAAGTATTACATCATGAAAATTGGTTTTACATTAAAAAACCTCAATTTCATTTCAGTAATAATTACCATAACTTTAGTATGCGAATTCGTCTTACCGTAGTGGTGACTAGAAGCCAGGCAGCCCCTTCAGCACAACCAAAGTAGTAGGGAGGGAGAACAGAGTGCTAAAGTGAAGGAAGGGACCTCTCTGTGAAAGAGCAGGTGTACCCACATGCCGCCGTACGGAAAGACATGGCCCGGGGCTAACGAGGAGGCCCAGCCACTGACTATGCCACCACCAAAGGTCCCAATGAATACAGGCCTTCTGAGTGGGAAGCTAGGGATCACAGATAAAAATCTGTTAAGGTATCCCTGCCCTGCCAGAATACTGCAGACATGACCTCCTGAAAGGAGGACTCATTGAGAGAAGGGCCCACGATGAAGCAAGGGCCCTGACCTCGTGAGACCGCGCTTTCACTCTCGCCCGAGCCAGATCATCAAAATGCTCGTAAGCATACTAAATCACCTGGCAAACCCACCTGGAAACCGACTGGGAGGAGATATCTCGTTGCCCCTGTTTAATGGGCAAAACAGACGGGATCGAGAGCCCCGCCCCCCCTGGTTTTATCAAGATAAAACCTAAGAGCCCGACAAGGACAAAGCAACCTATCTCGCTCCTCCGAGCTAGTCACAGCCAGGATCCTGATGGGATCGTGCGAGAACCCCGGAACCTGATTCTTCGCTAAAAACAACTCTATTCATAGCAAAGCCTCTGATTAGGGCAGAAAGAGAGGAGGACTAACCGATCTCCTTCCTGCCATAACAAGCAAGAACTCTGGCAATAGCTGTACGATAGCCAGCAATAGTGCCAGGTGGCAGATAGCGGTACCTAAACAGAGAGATTAGGAATTCCGCAATCAAATGCAGAGGCTTCGAATGAATAAGCTTCCTTGCCGACACACCAATCACAGAAGATCATCCAACGTGACTGGTAGACGGCAGAAGAGGAAGCCCTGATTGATTGCTCAATGCAATCTGACACCTCTTGAGAAAAGCCTGCCTTGGCGTGGCTTCCAGAGATAGCCTCAGCGCGTGAAGGTGGAGGATCTCTGGTCAAGAGTGTGTCGTTCTGGGCCAAGGCTGGCGAAGGAGATTCGGTCTGGTGGGGAGAGCCAAGGGCTCCTCCACCAGAAACGACAAGAGCTCCTGAAACCAAGCTTGCCTCGGCCACAGAGGGGCTCTCAGAAGTAAGGAGCAGTGATGCTCCCAGAACTTCTGTAGAACCCTGCCCACCAGGTTGAAGGGAGGGAATGCATATGCATACGTCCCTTCCTATTCCAGAGAAAGGGCGTCCACAGCCCACGCCTTACGGTCTGGGACCGGGGAGACGAAGGTTAGCAGCTGGTTGTTCAGGGAAGTGGCAAACAGGTCTATAATAGGTCTGTCCCACGCCTGACAATTCCCCTTGAAAATCAAGGGACACAGCTGCCATTCCGTCAACACCGGCTGGTGGCGCCTGGAGAGTGGCCACCAACACACTCAGCCTGCCAGAAAGATGCTTGACCGCTATGGTCAACTGCATGTCCTGGCAGAGAAGATGGATGTGGATGGAAAGGGCACACAGGACATGAGACCTGGTGGCCCCTGTCTCTCCAGATACGCGACAACTGTTGTCGGTAGCCACACTTTGGACTGCAGGATACCCCTAAAGGACTGCAGAGCCAAATGAACAGTCTCATCTCGAGTACACTGATGTGCTCTGAGAGTTATTCGCCAGACCACTCCCCCATCGAGGTAAGCTCACATTCCTGTCATGAACGCGTCCATGAACAGGATCATAGAGGGGATAGGCTTGGTCAGAGGTACCCCGTGGAAAACGTTCTCCTGAATGGTCCACCAGCAAGAGAACTCCCTGACCGACTGGGTAAGCGGGATCCAGGCCTCCTGGATGACGGAACCCAGTCAGACAGGAGGAACATCTGGAGAGGTCCGATGTGAATCCTCCCTAGGGGGACCACATATGCCAAGGAGTTGAGATACCCCAGAAAACTGAGGAACCAATGTACCTGGACAAGCGACCAAGTGATGAAAGTCAGAGCCAGAGCCCTGACCTTCTCAAACTTCTCCAGAGGTGGAAGGGCTAAGCCCCGAACCATGTCAAAATGGTTCCCCAGGAAGAAGAAGTCCTAATATGAAGGAACCTCTGACTTCTCTCTGGAAGGAATGAAGCCGACTCTGAGCAAGAGTTTCAGGACCAGACGAGTGTCCTTCACTAACGATTCCCACACCAAAAGAGGCATGAGGGAGTCGTCGAAATAGATGTGGACGTCTATTCTGCAGGAGTGAAGGAAACACCAGCAGCAACTTGGTGAACACCAAAGGAGCTGTCGTGAGCCCCAAGGGCATCTCTGCCTTGGCAGCATGGTCCCTACTTCCTCCTGGAGCACCCGTGCCCTTTCTGAATCCCCGGGAGGAGGAAAGAAACAAAAACGGCCAGGAGGCGAGGGACGAATCCTGAAGAAGGGGAATACCTAGACCCTCCCTGACCACCGACAAAAGCCCAAGCGTCCTCTGTAATATCCTGCCACTAGGAAAGGAAAGCAGAGAGACGTCCGCCCACAGGGAGTTCCGGATGGGGCAGATCGAGCCCCTGCCAGACCAGAGAATCGTCTGCCCACCCGGAGCCTGAGCCTGCAGGAGAAGGACATGAGCCCGGGAAAGGAGAACCACCGTCCACCCGGCCATACCCTTCGCCTTTAGCGGCCAAGAAGCAGAAATAGTCAGGAACCCTTCTTCTTGCCCCCAGGAGGTTTCTTACCCTTCCTACCCTTCCCCTTGTTGCCGTTGAAGTGAGGTTGGGACTTGGGCTGTGCAGAAAACTGAGCAGCCGAAGACTTCGCCTTCTTCTTAGGAGGCACTGACCCCTGCGAGGCACTGGCCTTCTCAGCCTGAAACCTCTTCACCAGAAGTGCTGAGGCGACCGAGTCCTCCTTCATATCCTTCTGAACCCAAGGAAGAGCTCCCCTGAACAGGGTAGAGCCCTAGAAGGGGGCATTCAACAAGCGGAAACGGTAGGGTTACTGGACTGGGCGGAATTTCAGAACTGAAAACTGCCTAGCCAACACGGCATTGACGAGCAGAGAACCTGCAAGGCTGCCGTGTCCTGTATGTCGGCCGTTCTGTCTCGGATAACCGACACTCAGGCAAATCGGATACCCTGTATAGACAAACTGTCAGGAAGTCTATGTATGACAGAACTTGGATGGAGAGGTGCAACATTCTCTCCATCCTGTGGTGCTCTTTGGGATCGAGCACCACCTGGTCCACTGATTTGCCGGGCCAGGCAGCCAGCTGTCTCAACTCCAGCTGTGCTGGTTGAGAGGCCAGCTGCCCATCATGTGTGGCATAGTCGGAAGCTGAAGCCTCCGACAATTCACCAACACCGAGCTGCAGACCGACAAACCCGAGAGCACGGGTAGAGAAGGAGTCCTTCTCTAAAACCGGAGCCCGGGCCGTGGCCAGAACCGAAGACATGATATTGCCTTCTGGCAGAGACCGATCTGAGCGAACGGAAGCCCGAGGAGCCACCAGGGAACCCAGAAGGATGGTGGATTCAGGCGCCGACGATGCTGAGGCGGTGGGCAAACCTCCGCCCTGAGAATCCGGGAGATGTTGGCCCGGAGGACCCGCATCCCAGAAAGCACATGCTGAGCCTCAGCTTCAGCAGTCTCAGGGCCATCTTCCCCTTGTGAACCCTCTTGGCCCAGGAGAAAGATGAATGACATCGTCTTCCTCTGCCGAGCCCGCACCCTCGATGTCCATCTCCTCCTCAATAGAGACCGAAGTCCCCTTGGGAGGAACAGGGGCCGCCAGAGGAGCCATCTCCGCAGAGGGGAACTCCTCTTTATGGCATTTGGACGCAGCGCGACCAACAGCTGTAGCTGTAGGCTTGGGTCGGAGACCCGAAGCCGACCCCTGGGAACAGGAGACCGACGGGTCCGCGCTGGAGGCGGAAGTCCTTAAGGTCTGGCAAACCTTTATAGGACCGGCCAACAAGGCCCCCGAAGTAGCAGAACATTGGGGGGATTCCGCACTGCTATAACATCTCCTAGAGGAGAGACCAACCCCTATGGGTTCCACGAGTGAAGACCCATGGGGTAAAAACCCAAACCCCTGAGGGAATGGGAACGGTCCAGCGGGCCGGGAGTGACCCCAGAACTGGCCAAGATGGCCTGCCTGAGTCTGGGGCTGGACATCCTGTCCAAAGGACCAGGATGAACCGCCACTCCCACCAGGTGGAAACCCAGACATGTACAGGCTAAGCCCGTAACTGCTGAGTAACTGTTGGTACCCAAAACCATCCGCAGGTTGGCCTGGGCGACCCAGGAATAAGTGCCCGCAGGCACCCCTACTCCCTGAGCCCGGGGGAAAGGGAGACCGGAAACCGGACTCCTGGCCTGAAGCCCCAAACCCTTGGAGGAAAACCCCCTGGGAAACCCTGCACTGGGAAATCTGGATTGGGACGGAAGTCCCAGAGCCAGAAGCCTGTGAGGGTGGGAAAACAGACCCCGCGCTGACACCAGGATTAGTGAACTCAAGTGTCACTAATCCCCGTAGCCACAGACAATCCTGACAAAAAGTCTGTGGCCCCTGAACCTATACCCGAAGGCACAGTTCCGGAGTCAAAGCGGCCCCCACCAACGACGCCACCTGGCGTGCCGAGGTCCCTGAAGGAATCAGAGACCTCGACCGGAAGTCCCTTTCCGACGGTAACACCGCCGCCTATCGAGAGCTACCGGCCAATTCGACCCTTGACTGCGCCGAGTCAGGGTCGGGCTGCCCCCCCCCCCCCTACTCCAGGACGCACCTGGACAGGGGGAGCCACCCCCTGCTGAAGGGCGGAGCTCGGTGGAACGAGAGCACCCCCAGCAGGAACGCTCTGGTTCAGAACTTCAGGAGGGAGGTCTTAAAAAGCTTACTTCCCTTACCGGAAGAAGAGGACGAATCCCTCTTCCGGCGGAAAGTAAGCTGGAAAGGCATGGGAGCCTAAGCAGCAGACTCCATGTGCAAACAAAGTTCACATAGTGAGGTCTGGCTGTAATGTCGGCAAATGGGACAGGTATCATGGGGTTCCCATTATCTATAGAAATAGGAACATCCATGCGCTGACCCCCGACGTAAACCCGGCACCTTTATCCAGCATCGAAACAATAAAAAATTGTAACAATGAAAACAAGGATAAAAAGTTTTCTAACAATCAAAAAACTACGAACGAGATCATAAAACCTACCGTACGCAGCAAGATTGTACTGCAAAAAAAAGAAAACGGTCGTACAAAACGGCCGACAAAGCAGCAAGAAAACAATTTCAACTTCACGAAAATCCGAGTGACGAGACAAGTAGTCACTCACTCGAACACGCGGAGTAAAAACACGGCCGGAAACGAAGTTCTCGAACAATCAAAAAACTACGAACGAGAGCACAAAGCCTACCGTACGCAGCAAGATTGCGCTGCATAAATAAAACGGCCGTACAACACGGCCGACAAAGCAGCAAGAAAACAAATTCCAACTTCACGCAAATCCGAGCAACGAGACAAGTAGTCACGCACTCGAATACGTGGAGGAAAAAAAAAACGGCCGGAAATACGGTCAAAATAAACAAATGACAATACTTAATTTCACAATATAAGTTGGGAGATGGGTTTATAGACTACTAATAGAGTAACAATATACTCAAACGACAATGGCAGTACGAAGAGAAGGAGTAAGAAAAGCACTTAGCTCAGACACCTCCGCACTCGTCGGCAGCCATAAAGGTAAGAGGAAGGGAGATCACTCTGCGTTCCTGCCGTGATGGCTCATGGATCGTAGGGAGGGCGGGATTGTTTTTCTTTTGAATCTTTTGTTGTTGGGATACAAAGATGGGTGTAGGTACTGTATTTGCATACTAAATACTAAAGTTATGGTAATTATTACTGAAATGAAAAACCAGTTTGATACAATTTTCAGCATAACAAATCTTTTCAGATTGATACAGGTAAGCTATAAAACAAAACCTGCTTACACATTGTCTTTAGTGAGTTGTGTCGTTGGTACTGTATGGTACTTCTCTGTTGTTGAGGAAAACTAGAATCAGATATAAACAAGATGTTTGAAACTAGCAGGCCCCTATACTATTGTCAGATTTCCTTTTCACATTAAAATCATCACCATAGTAACTGAACCTCAAGGGATAAATATCCAGCAAGGTTTCAGAATATGAGCAGTTGAATGGTCCAACAGCAATAAAAAGAAATACCAGGTCAGATATTCTCCTTTATACAGAGAGACAGGTAACAAGGTTGTTTTCTCAGGGTTTTGTATAGGCTGAAGTAAAAATATATGCCATTTACAAGGTAGTATTTTAAAGTTTGTGTTTTATCTGAAATTGAAATTTATAATATTGACCTTCATAGAGAATTAAACACTATTTAATATCACAGGTGATGTTCCTTGTCACCACAACATCTGAAAAATATAACTAAAATTACAAGTTCTGTCTAAAATGTCAGTTTATAGATTAGAACATTTTTTCAAGAACACATGTATGATTTTGTTTGGCCTGCAGAAAGCAATGATGAAATCAAAAGCCCAAAATTAGGATGCATCACTAACATCATTTCACAAATTACAAAAATAGTTGAAATTCTGAAGAATTTATTTTTCTGTTATATGTCATGGATATCATATTAAATTGATGTAATATGATACACTTGTGTTGTACGGCTCAGTAATCATTGTGAAACTTGATTTGTCAGGAAGGAAACGGGGTAGAATTTTATCAGGTAGAATATGAGCTTGAGTTCCCCAGCACAGTTCAGGCAAGAAGGAAGGAAAACAAAACGGATGGTCACAGGAATGTCAGGTGTAGCCATTTACCTGTATGCTTTATTGTTAGACCAAATCACCTGTATAGGGTAATATAGGCAGTACTATAATTTATTCAAACCTCTACATTCCTTACCTATCTTCTTACATATATAGCATACAAAGGTGTAGGAAGAGTATATAGGAAGCTGTTTCATAACATATAGCCTAGATCTAGAGAAAGTATACCTTTAAGTTAAGGCATTATAGACAGAAACATCACATTTTGATTTTACATACAGATTTTTCAGTGCCTATATTTCATGAGGGAAGGTATATAGTGTTTGTCGACATTGTACTGGATTTCAGCTGTCGGATCTCGTCCCATCATTTCTTGTGGTGTTTTCTGATACCAAGATCAGTTATAAATAAACAGATGTTTTTGCTCACAAGGTCAAGGATGCTGTTAATATTTATTGAAAAAAGTTATTGTCACAATATATATTGATCTAGAGCTAGAATGTTACTAATGTATAGAGTGTATTTAAACAACTCTTATCAGTTTGTTGAACAAGAGGGTGGACTTCATACCAAGTCGGACAGAATACTCGGGGGCTAGGTTGTCTTATGGCTGGCCATATTTATGGGGACAAATCTTGATATAAGATTATAGATTCAGGTATATGCACTGTTCATGATAAACATACATCAGGTGTGAAATATACCTGTGCTTGCTGGGTGGCACTAGAAATATACATGTACTGGGTGTGACTTAGTACAGCTACTAGTTCATGGTATGTTTAGGTAGGACAGACCTACTTCTGAACAAATAAACTGGGGTGTAGTAGGGCTACAGGTATATACCTGGTGGGAATGTTTATATTACCAATCTACATAATGCATCTTCATATAAAATCAGGATTCTGTTTGTTTTTATATTTGCATATGTATTTACATTATACAGTATATGAAATACCTGTGGAAATAAAACATATTGTATTCTGATAGATTTTTAATATTGGAAAAAAAAAATGAAAAAATAAAAACTATTTCGAATGTGAGTCCTAGATATGTAGCAAAATTTTTGTGAAGATGTAAACTGTTTAAAAGTTCGGATTTCCTTCATTACACATACAACCTGAATCTCTAAACAGATCTTGAGATCTGCTTGGATGACCACATTGTGATATTTAGATTCAAGTATTTAAGGATCCTGTGGTAAGAATCAGAAAGTTTTGATCGACAAGATTTCCCTTTTAAAACCAAAAACATTCCTGTCAAGTCATAGATCTAAACAAAAATATTCTTGTCGTTCATAATGATAAAACTGAAATGAATTAAAAAAACAAGCATACCGCAGCAATATGTAATATTTACAGAAGATGTTCTTTAAATAATCATGGCTATGGATGTTATCATCATTTATAGATATATACAGCTTGAGTAAAATGTCTTTCTCTCTTAATCTGTACTAGTTCATATACATAAACCTTACCACACTGCATGCTTACAGTGACCACAATGAATATGTTTACCTGGAATTTACTCTAACATACTTTTGTGTGACATAAATTTGAATGTTTAGACGCGTATTTAAGATATTCACATGTGTAATAGGGCTTGCTTTAATGTAAGGATGGGTTTGTTTTTTCGTTCTGTAATTGACTGATGCTTCCTACATGTATGCCAGTATTTGTGGCTATAGATCTAGATAAAGGAGGTATACCTATGGAAGTAAGGATTGTATACAGAGACAAGTAAATATAACACATTTCAATCCATATTTGGTAGCACATATCTGGGTATGGACCAAATAAAAAAACTGTAATCTGGACCATCTGTTCATAACTGTGGATTGTTAAAAGTGTAGAACCCTTGGATTTTTAAGTTATAGATCCTATACAAGAAAAATTCAATTGTTTAGATAAGGTTGTGAAATTGATAAATGATTTCAAAATCCTGTTACTTCTGTATATTGTGGTTTATAGTGAGAAATACATACAAGTGTTGTTAAACAATTCATTTATGAGAGATTTGAGTAAGTCTATATTTACAACTGAAGGATATTAGAGATGTATTTACAGGTGGAAAGACCGGTCTTTTAGAGGTCAGTTGTTAGTAACGCTTGACCATTAAGGTATTTTTCTTTACCACATAATTCAAACTGACCACTTCGGTAAGGCCATGCCACTGAATGACCAGGTGAACAATAAGTGAATGCTTTGATACACTATGTGACATTATCGGTGAGGAACGGCCTCAGCTTAACATTAGCTTTATAAAAAGGAATTGAAATCTGAGTAGATGCCAGATTTGATTGTGTATTTATGTGTGAATGGCTGTATTAAACCTGGCCAGAAAATCTTAGGACTGTAATTTACTGAGAAATTGGGTGGAGCTTTCAGACATTTGGCTATACAAATTTGCTGAATTTGTGCAGTTTTGATCAACATTGCCAAAAATTTTAATGTTTATTTCAGTAGAAAAACCTTATTCTATGACTTGTGTAGAGTTCTTTCCCTTGAATTAATTGTTTTCTGATTCGGATCAAACATAAAAGTGATAACAATCACACTTCATGTATATTTTACTTCCTCAAAATGATGAAAATATGACAGAGGTAAAAGGTCACCAATATCAGGAAAAGGAATGGTTTTCTGACCAGAGAACATTCTCGCAGGAATAAACAGATACAGTATACCTGTAACAATTATTATCACTCCTGGATCTCGGAGGAAGAAACAGGTACAGTATACCTGTAACAATAATTATCACTCCTGGATCTCGGAGGAATAAACTGATACAGTATACCTGTAACAATTATTATCACTCCTGGATCTCGGAGGAATAAACTGATACAGTATACCTGTAACATTAATTATCACTCAAGGACCTCCGAGGAATAAACAGATGTAATATACCATTAGTGAAGGTGTTAGACGTGTTGTCTGACTGTTGTTGTTTGTTTCCCATCTATCCTCGGGTAAGTTGCTTGATCCCAAATGTCTATTTGGTATATGATGGGCCTCCTGTATGTTGTTCAGTGAGGTATTCATCGGCTACTATGAGGAGTCCGTGCTTCTAAATGACACTGACTGTTGATCCAGAAGTAATCAAACCTTATTATCACTCCAAGTCATTCCCTGTATGTATATCACAAATCACATTTACCTGTGATTTTGTATCGCCATGTATTAGTGAACTCTTACAGAGATGCAATATTTGAAAGGGAATTCTTAGCAAATTATGTGGAAATGACTGAATATATTTTTATTTTATCACCTGAAGTTTTTGTAAATGTTGATCTATTTCCATTAATCCAGACCAAGAACTAATACAGAGACAGTAAAGTGTTGTATATTTTTTTATATAATTATTAATTTAAAATACCTTTTGCTTTGTATACTTTTAGAAAACAATAGACAACCACAGTGTAAGTAGATTGTTTATTTCCAGCCAGCATGCATTACTGGAAAACAAAAGTAATCGGCATACACAGTCAGTATCAGTTCAACTTTCAACTGTTGTTTCTTTAAAGCTTCAAGCTCTTCAAGAAAATTTTTTGAAGTGCAACTGAAAAATAACAGAATTGATAATTATTTACATTTTATGATGCATGGCTTTTTTCTGTGTAATCATTTTCACAGGTGTTGATTTTTGTTGAATCATTCATTAAGGATTTATTTAATGTTTATTTGTTTGTCCTGAATTTTGTAGTTTGAATTGTTGCTGCTATTTTGAAATCTTACCACACCAATCTTTGGGAATGCATTTGCTACATTGTTCTGATATTTTATTTATGATAATGAACTTCAAACCTATTCAGTTACTTTATGCAGTTCGTGAACTTTTGACACAACTCATCTGTGATCAATTTTATTTTTAGAATTGAGACAAATTGAAGTAAATAACATTTAACACCAAAACAATTTTCTGTTAGATATATCAGAGTAAATGAAAGTCACATTGTGTAGACTAATTGAAATAAGAGGACCCACTGACTAAGATGAAACATGGATTTCAGGGCCTGTTGATTGTATTTTTACTTATTAGCCATTTCTAGAAGAGTAATTATTGTTTCCTTTTTTAGCCCACCGTCATCAAATTATTATGCTGATCTATTTTTTGGACTGATCAGAAAAAAAATGGCCGACATTTTAGATTTTGACTTTGAAAGTTTGTTATTGTTATTTTCTTAGAACTACAGCATAGATCTTTCTCAAATTTGTGTATGCTTTCCTTGATCCCTAGTTCTGCCTGTTTGATTTTGGTACAGATCAGAAAAATCAAAATGGCCGACAAGCAACCATTTTGGATTTTGATTTGGAAAGTTTGTTATCACTATTTCTTGTGCACTGATCAATAGATTTTTCTCAAACTTCATATATAGGTTCCTTTAGGTCCCTAGCTGTGCCTGTTCGAGTTTTCAGATTGACCAGAAAAACAAAATAGTCAACAGGCAGCCATCTTGGATTTTGTGCTGAGTAAACATTGTTATTACTATTTCTGAAGAAGTACTGAATGGATATCTCTCAAATTTCATACGTATGTTCCCTTTGATCTCTCCTTGTGCTCATTTGATTTTGAGACAGATCAGAATAAATAAAATGGCTTACAGGTGGCCATTTTGGATTTGGCAGGTAAAGATTATCATCCCTATTTCTGCAAAGGAATGTTCAGATGTCTTACCGTTAAGAGCAAAAACAGAGAAGAGAAGGAGAAAGATCCAACTTTCAAATAACATGTAAAGATAAAATAATGGTGGGTGCCAAGATCCCTCTGGGATCTCTTGTCCTGAAGCGGATTACTGGTGATTGGATGATCTTATCAGTGAAAAGGAAAAATGATCAGATTATAGGTTTTATATAAAAAAAATTGGTGTTCTTGCAAGGGGAAAAAAATCTTAAGTTCAGTATGACCAAAATGAATAAGTTTGTGCCATTTGTAAGCACATCCATGTAAAAAACAGAGTATGATGACATCCAAACTAATATGATAAAGAAAATACAACCAGGAGAAGTTTAAAAATTCTGTAACACATGCTCACTAATGCACTGTGACAGGCTGACAGCTATTTGAGCCCTGGAGTTGAGTTTAAAGACTTTGGTTTCGACATGTGATAAATAAAATTTTCTTCTAATTTTCTTTACGGGCCATTTGAGTGATGAAGAATGTCTCTTTTATGTGACTGTTAATGATGTCATGTTGGGACTTGTGAGGACCAATGCACATAAACATGTGAGAATGAATATGAAGGTGGTGTATTTTGTAGTAGTGTCTCCTGGATAATATTCTCTGGTGGGTAGTGAGGTATTGGAAATACACGACCAGGAGATGGAGAGTAAGGAATGAGGGAAGAGAAAGAAGGAGGAAGAAGGGATGAGTAAGGAATGAGGGAAGGGAAAGAAGGAGGAAGAAGGGATGGGGGGTGATAAGGAATGTGGAAAGGGGGAAGAGAGGTGTGGAGAACGGATGAGGGGGGGGGGAGGGGGTGGTAAGGGAAGTGGAAAGGGGGAAGAAGGAAGGATGAAAAATGGATGGAGGGTGATAAGGAATATGGAAAGGGGAACGAGAGAAGGTGTGGAGGAAGGATGGGGGAGGGGGTGGTAAGGGATGTGGAAAGGGGAACGAGAGAAGGTGTGGAAAAGGGATGGGGGTAAGAGATGTGGAAAGGGAGAAGAGAGAAAGGGCAGAGATAGGATAGGGGGTAAGAGATGTGGGAAGAGAGAAGGGGTGGAGAAGGGATAGGGGGTTAGAGATGTGGGAAGAGAGAAGAGAGAAGGGGTGGAGAAGGGATAGGGGGTAAGAGATGTGGGAAGAGAGAAGGGGTGGAGAAGGGATAGGGGGTAAGAGATGTGGGAAGAGAGAAGGGGTGGAGAAGGGATAGGGGGTAAGAGATGTGGGAAGAGAGAAGGGGTGGAGAAGGGATGTGAAGAAGGGATGGAGATGGGATGGAGGGCAAGGAATGTGAAAAAGAGGGAAGAGAGAAGGACGGAGAAGGGAAGAGAAAAACGAGAAGCTTGTGCTGATAAAGTTTTCCTTAATATAAAAATCTGGACAAGTTGATAGAGTTAAGGACAATTTTGTTTACAGTACTTGACACTTAACTCTTATATCAGGCTTTTTTGTCAATAATTGACAAGGACTTTGTTTATTTGTCCAAATGAAATGTTTTTTCTGTCAGCAATAAAGGATGTAAGGAGAGCCATGTAAGTCTTCATCTTGTTGGTGTAAGTTACGGGATATTGATCGCCAACATGTACACACTGCTCCAGTAACTATACTGATACTAGATTTCTAGATTGAAACTTGATCAATTTGGCCATCCAACTCGGGAGAAATGTTTCCTGCTTCAGAGAGAACACCAACGATTTCCTGGTATGGAATCTATTGGTTGTAATCAGGCACGCTTGTGTGTGTAGCTTTAAGAGATCTGAACAATCAATAATAGTTGGTACTCAGGGCTTCCCCTGTAGGGAGAAAAGTATATCTCTACAAGTTTAGCAGTATGTTTCCAGCTTAGTGTGTATATAGAAGAGATATACACAAACCAACAGGGAGACCAAAGTGTTGTGATGTTTTCACTGCCTCGGACTAGTTGTAGCCATTAACTTTGAGACATACAAGCCAGGCTAGGATGACTTCATTCTTACAATATATCTAGTAGTTTCTCCAGGTGGTAATAATGTTTAGAAAAGTTGGTTTATTAATAAACTGCAGAGCCATCATGACAGAGATGTTGCTACATAGATTACTGTGTATCCATAGCAATGCTTTGGAGAAGCAGTCCTAGAAATGGCTCCTTATACAACATAGACCTAAACTTTTTTTTGTCCAGCTCTGTTCAATTTTTCATTGTAAAAACAAATGAGTGAAATTACTAAATGTAATTCTATTGATCTCATTTTCATTTTATTTTCACATTTTCATTTCATTTTCAAAAAATAACAAAAATAGCGGTTCATGATTTCATTTCATTTTCAAAAGTAGCAGAACGTAGACCTCTTGAAAATAACCATTGCATTGTACTTTCATTTTTGGAAATATATTGATGGTTTAATGCCATTGACTACATGGTTTGATCCTTTGAAATAATTTCATGGATGAAAACATAACAGGCTGCTGCAGAACAGAACGCCAATCCTTCTTTCATCATTTTATTCATGGACTCATTATTTGCGATTTCTGTGTAGCCAGAATAACGATGAAAATTTCTACACAGTAAATATCCCTTGTTATAACATGTGTGTTTAATCGTAAATTAGCTGTGATATTCAGATCTAGAAATGATCAGGTATTTATACCCCAATTAAAAATCTATAGACCTGTAGGCAGTTAGAAAAGGAGGCAGATTAAGTAAAGCACAAGTAACCATTAGACTTTGAATTCATAGATAAGGAAATGTCCTGGTCTGTAAAGCGACCTTCATTCACAGCTAATGTCCAAATGACCCTAGGAGAAATGACCCAAGGACAAATGACCTGGTTGTTAATGTAGGAGACCATTCAGATGTGCTCAAGTATATAAGTTACCTAACAGTATTATCTGAACATGTACAGAACTGTTCCAAGGTAATAGTAGTGTGGGGAGGATCAAACAGTGTGGGGCAGATCAAACAGTGTGGGGCGGATCAAACAGTGTGTGTGGGGCGGATCAAACAGTTTTGGGCAGATCAGTGTGGGGCTGATCACTGTGGGGGGGATCGAACAGTGTGGGGCGGATCAAACAGTGTGGGACGGATCAAACTGTGGGGCTGATCAGTGTGGGGCGGATCAAACAGTGTGTGTGGGGCGGATCAAACAGTTTCGGGCAGATCAGTGTGGGGCTGATCACTGTGGGGGGGGATCGAACAGTGTGGGGCGGATCAAACTGTGGGGCAGATCAAACAGTGTGGGGCTGATCAGTGTGGGGTGGATCAAACAGTGTGTGTGGGGCGGATCAAACAGTTTCGGGCAGATCAGTGTGGGGCTGATCACTGTGGGGGGGGATCGAACAGTGTGGGGCGGATCAAACTGTGGGGCAGATCAAACAGTGTGGGGCTGATCAGTGTGGGGTGGATCAAACAGTGTGTGGCGGATCAAACAGTGTGGGGCTGATCAGTGTGGGGTGGATCAAACAGTGTTGGGCGGATCAAGCAGTGTTTATATGATACAGTAGCTTTGTTTCTTCTGATACAGTTAAACCTTTGGGATTAAAAGGATGGTTTATTGTAGGTCAATCCTTAATCCATTTACTCCAAGCATGAACTGCTTAAGAACATAATTCAGTGTAACACAAAAATCGATTGAAATATGTGTATAAAGATTTAAAATGATCATTTGAAAACAGATGGAAAAAAAAAATTTTTTTCTCTTTTAAATCATTTTTGGTTTACACTGTATATCTGTCTGACATGTCGCTGCCGTTAAAATTCAAATATGACAATCTGTTCCAAAAGGGGTGTGTTTACTACTGAGTAATAAGCTGTTGGTGAAATTTAGTGGATTTTGGGCTCAGAAAACAGTGGGTGGTATTTATGTAGAGAACAAATGCTTCCTGAGATGATTTACACACTTTATGTGAGCATGTTGTGCAGTGTGGCCTACATCAGGGTTATGCATGTCCAGAGCTGTGTGTGATGTATGTTATTCTTAAAACTTTTCAAAGAAAGTGAAAACGTTCAGTAATATAGTAAAATATGTATGAAATAAGTACAAAACAATTTTTAAAGCCACCGATGGAATGAAAGACCAAAATTACAATATAGATTATTGATGTCATACTGTGACAGCCATTCAACACAAACAGCCTGGGGAAAACTTTAGGGTGCCTTTCTGAAATATAACTGTTATCTAAATTGGGTTAAATCTATATATATATACATATAGAATAATCTATTGTTTGTCTCTCCCTTTTTTTGTGCATTCTTGCACAGGTCACAGTGTGATGGTAGCATACAATTCAAAAGTCTTCATATCACTTAGAAGGCTTGTATGTATTCTAAAACAGAAATTTTACTGCATAGAAAAGACGAGACTCAATTACATACAAAAGTTCAGGATTCAAACATATGATGCAGGCATTTCACTGGTAAAGCTGGGATACATATATTATGGGTATACCATTCATAAGTTTATGGAAAGTTTTCCCTTTGTCATGTGATACATGTATGCAGCATGTGAGTGGTAAGGCATAACTTCAACATGACAGTGGTAGATCTGGTTCTGCCATTATCTAGGTAGTAAAATATTTGTGTGATTATTTACATATTACAACATTTTCTAACATCCCTGCATAACATAAAACAGACCTAAAGAAATTTTCTGCTTCAGTGACATTTTGCACTGAATAAACCCTTGTCTGGTTAAATCTCTGGTGCTGATGTTAAAAATTTAGCTTAGTCATTTTTCTGTTGTGTTTCATCAAAAGCTGGAGCCAGAAAGTATTGCTCAAATTATATCATGGTTGTTGTAGTATTATTCATTTTCTTTTTGAAATAGTTGTATATATTAAAATGTCCAGGAAGGCTAACTTTGCAAAGTATTTTCACTTTTATTTAATTTCATCAACATTCAGTAAATTGTTACTTAAATATGTTGTTTTCAGGCCAAGCTATGCTAATGTTAAGTTGTATTGATTTAAATTTAAATGTTCTGCAATACTCATACAGCTCTATTAAACAGGTGACAATTTCTGTGACTCAGGTTTAAAAAAATAAACAAAAAACATTCATCATTATTTTTATTTTGTGTATTTTCAGTTAAAAAAGATCCAAGATAAATTACGGAAATACCAGGCTGATGTAGAACAGTCCAAGGATAAATATGAAGCTTGCCTGAATGACCTCAACAGTTACAATGCAAAGTATATAGAGGATATGACAGAGGTAAAATCTTAGACAAGGGAGATAATAAATAAGGGAGATCACAAAGTATATAGAGGATATGATAGAGGTAAAATGTTAGACAAGGGAGATAATAAATAAGGGAGATCACAAAGTATATAGAGGATATGATAGAGGTACAGTGTTAGATAAGGGAGATAATAAATAAGGGAGATCACAAAGTATACAGAGGATATGATAGAGTCACAGTGTTAGACAAGGGAGATAATAACTGTTAATGCTTTTCTCATGAATAATTAAATTTCCTTTTATCGATAATTTGGATACCTCCAATGAATAAATATATTCCTGTAGTCTTGGAATGCTGATCTATTTAGGATAATTTATCAGAAACCAGAATTGACAAGTTGACATATGTTTCATTTAGAAAATTGTCCACACAAAAGTAAACTACTGAACAGCAATTCATCTTCCTTGTTGATGTTTGTCTCATAGCTCCAATCTATAGGAGCCTTTTACATCTTTCCTATGTTATATTGGTGATGTTTGATGTTTCTTATCAATAAATGCATCATGTAATGTATTGATAACTGTATTTTTGTATCTTCAAACTAGGTTTTTGAAAAATGTCAAAATTTTGAAAGAGAAAGAATGGAATTCTTCAAGAGAACTATGTTTGTTCTTCATGAGTGTCTAGACCTGTCGTCAGAAACCAGGTAAATAATATTGAGTTGTCTCCCTTTATGAATCAAAACGGCATTATGATGCAATCACAATATCAACTTCCTATTCTGCCTATAAATCTTTAGTAAGCATCATTCACACATGATCTGGATATGTTAGATTTCTTCTGACAGTGATTTTTAGAAAACTTTTGGATTTCTTGATATTTTGCACAACCACGTAGTGTTGAGAAATTAGTGTAAATTGTCAGCTGTTTGGGCAGTGAAAGTGTTTAATCATTTGTTTCAAAGTACGAGGTCTGGTGAAGTTCACTTCATCAGGAAATTAATATGTTGTTGCTTCCTTTTTCCTTGAGTACTAGATGTTAGATGTTACATTTATGATAATTTTACTGTATCTTCCGGGTTTTTACCAGCTGCCTTTTTCCTGGGCAGTCGAGCGTGCAGCTTATATGTGAATAAAAAAAAAGTAACATTGGCAGGATCAAAAAAAAAAGGAGAGTATAGTCTGGACGTCCATTCAGGACAGTTATGTATTTTGGAATGGCCATTTTGTTGAAGTGTATCAGATGCACAATTGACCTGTATGATCTCAAACCCTGATATTTTTGGTTGCTGTAGCGTGTGATGCTTCAAGAAAAAATAAAAAATAGTGATGTTTGTGACTGAAATAGATTGTCTAGAACTGCAACCACATACAGGATGATTTTAAGCTTGAAATAAAAAAAACCATTCTTGTAGATTTAATTAATCATACCTTTTAACATGAATCACAATAATATCTTCTGAACTTTCGTGGTTGCTTCAGAAGCCATAGTGGAAGTTTTCAATAGCCTGTTGCATCCTGGAATCGGTAGGTCATCGGGTCAAATTCTATAATGACCGCCATGCTTGCTTATGATAAGAATGGCTTTGTGTAACTTACAAAAAATAATATGAATATGTAATATTAATAGTGCAGACACCGATGGAGATATTGTTAAGTAAACCGTATGTAACATCAGGCCTTATTGATCCTGGTATGCATACTAAAGACTTATTTTCAATAAGTTTCAGCAGCATGTCGCTAAACTTGGCGGCATGGCACCCACTCCAGTTTTTGTTGTATTGTGACAAGTTCCAAGTGACAAGGGTTTAAAACCCATTTTTTACACTTGGATTGCATTAGCCAGTTAAAAAAAAAACTAATAGATTTCCTTCAACCTAGCTGTACCATAGAGGTAAGCAGGTGAATCTTATTGTTCAGGATGTGAAAAGTTGGCCAGTAGGGCAGTGACGATATTTACATAACGTGTCCACATGTGACTTATGACCCTTCAAGCATCAATCCATATATCCTGTCCGTGCTTACCTGTGATTAACCTGTTTTTTTTTTTTTTTTTTTGATAGCCGGCAAATTGAAGTGATATTAAGTGTTGCCTACATGAAAATAAGTGATATTATTAGATGTTGGATTACATAGAATATAGAGGGAAAAAATTGGTGTTTCAAGAAAATGTGATATTAACCAGAAAGTGACATTAACAGATATAATGACATGAAGTTGGTTTCTCTGTAATAACAATATATATATGAATACTTGAAAAGGTGTCTTCAGCGTACAGGGAGACTTCTAATATTGGTGTATGTGAATTGACACCTAGATATACATGTGTGTATTTTTTGTAGGTTTTCCAAGTTATATTCTGATCTACATGACACGATAAGTAAGGCAGACTCAGACAGTGACTTGGCTTGGTGGTCACAGAAGAGTGGCGCTGATATGCCCATGAATTGGCCCACATTTGAGGTACCAATCACATCTTATATCTTATGGTTTCAAATGCATTTGTCATCGCTCTTTTACACATTTGTATCTAAATTAGAATGTGGAAAACAAGTTAGAGTAGTATGTGCTCAACTTCTACAGGGAAAGGGAAAGAAAATTGAACAAAATTTTGGGGGGAGCCAATGGCACCAGTTTTGGCCTGTATCTTTGATAAAGAGAATGTCTGTGGGCGTCAGTGGTAAGACATTGTAGAAAGTTACTGTGACCTATTTTTTTATCTCTAAAATGGAGCAACATGTACTATTTAATGCAAGATCTTTAAAGATTTTTGGATGAAGGTAGAGGAAACTAGGTCACCAGGAATTTCCTTTTGATTTGTGTTTGGGGCTTCTGTACTCTTTCTAGAAGAATCATTATGATATGTATGGGTAAGTTTGACACAGTTTGGAATCAGTTTGTGTGAAGGGTTAAGACCACTGTTTGTGTTTGAGTGAGGAGTAAAATCTCTTAGATGGGAATTTCCCTATTTTATCTTGTTACAATATACATAAATATATCATATGTTTAGGAATACGCTCCTGACCTGGCAAACATATCCAAGAAGGAGAAGAAATCACAGCTGGGTGGTGACGGCATCACAATTACAAGTATACGTCATAAGGGAGATGTTTACCAGCCGTCAACAGACTCCAACACCTTCAACAACTCATCGCCCCGTACATCACGCATCTCCAATACCTCCACAACTAACAGCGATTCCTACCATCCCACTCCATCACAACCCGAACCAAGCTACAACAGTAATGTGGTGGAGACTCGCGCGGAGGTGGACATGAGCAGCAGGTCAGTGGAAAGGTGAGGTAGTAGTAGGGGTACGAGGGGAAGAGTGTTGTATAGAAAAAAATGTGGCATTGGGATTATGTTGTGGTGAAAGTTGTTGAGGAAATATAATATATACAATGGAACGGTTATCTCATCTATCATAGATAGACAAGAAAATTCATATATTCAACTTTCTATGACATGTTAGAGTTATGATTCATGAGGTTTTTTTCAGTAAGGAAATGCAAGATTCATTTGTTTGTTGAAGCAAAAGAAGAAAAATATGCAGTTATTTCAATAATCTTTGAATGGTTCTGCTTGAAGTAACATGTACATTTAAAGGAATTTCATCCTAACAAATGTTAGCAATATCTTTTTTTCTCGTAGATTGTTGATTGAAAAGAAAAGCCACCTAGAAGTTCAAACTTGTTTCAGATTGAAATGCATGAGTGTGTTGTTCAAGGGGAGATAATTCTTTTTTTAAAAAAATTGATGAGCTTTACAAAAGTTGAGTTATTTTTGCAGTCCATTTGACTTTTGGAGTCAGATACCAATGTATGTATATCAGATTCTCTGTGTCTGTGAGTAGTGTTAAAAGATGCTGTTTTGGTTTACAAATTTTCTCTATTCATTTAATGATGGTACAATTTTGTAGTGGTGTTGTACTTCACATATAAGATGGATTGTGTACTGTTGTAGTAGTGTCATTGTTCTTTACAAGAAGTTTATTTTGAAACACAGTTACGATGGTTATGTTGTTTTGATTTTCTTGTTTTTTTTCCATAGTCATTAATTCATTTTATGAAATATCTCCCTTAATCATTATGTCCGTAACACCTGTGCAATGACAATTTTTTCACTTCAACCTACCAGGAAAAAGTCTTATGACAAGAAATTAAATCCATTTGGTTCAGATGATGATGATGATGAAGAAGATTTTGGAAGAGATCAGCTCTCAAGTAAAACACCATCCAAACAAACGTAACCAGTTTAGACTGATATATACTTGTGTATTGCATCAGGGCATTGTTTGAATGGGCTTCTTATTCTCACCTGGACATCCCACACTTGATGTTTTATTATTGCATTTTTCGATTGTTTTTTAGACATACTTGAATGTTTGATTAAGGCGTACATGATACTTACAGATGAACTTTCCTCTAATTGTTATTTTTCCTGCCAAATTAAATCAAAAAAATAAATATTATCAACTAGTTTGAATATAATACAGCTTAGCAACATGAATTTTTAGGTCATCTGACCCGAAGGGTCCGATGGCCTATAGTCATCATGCTTCGTCCGTCGTCGTCCGCCGTGCGCCGTGCGCCGTGCGTAAACTTTTCATTCAAACGACTTCTTCTCAAATACTAGAAGGTCTAGGGGGCTAATACTTGGCACAGAGGATACTGGCATGGAGCTCTACCAAGTTTGTTCAAATGAATGACCTTGACCCACTTTCAAGGTCACAGGGGTCAAATATGTTAAAATCTTTAAACAACTTCTTCTCATTAACCAAAAGGCTCAGAGTGTAGATATTGGGCCTGTGACATGCTGGGATGAAGGACTACCAAGTTTGTTCAAATGAATGACCTTGACCCACTTTAAAGGTCACAGGGGTCAAATATGTTAAAATCTTTAAACAACTTCTTCTCAATAACCAAAAGGCTCAGATTGCTGATATTGTGCCTGTGGCATGCTGGGATGAAGGGCTATCAAGTTTGTTTAAATGAATGACCTTGAACAACTTTCAAGGTCACAGGGGTCAAATATGTCAAAATCTTTAAATAACTTCTTCTCAAATACTAGAAGGCCTAGGGGGCTAATACTTGGCCCATAGCATGCTGGCATGGAGCCCTACAAAGTTTGTTCAAATGAATGACCTTGGCCCACTTTCAAGGTCACAGGGGTCAAATATGTTAAAATATACAAAGGACTTCATCTCAATAAGCAAAAGTCTATGAGTGCCGATATTGGGTCTGTAGCATGCTGGGAGGAAAGGCTACCAAGTTTATTTAAATGAATGACCTTGAACAACTTTCAAGGTCGCAGGGGTCAAATATGTCAAAATCTTTAAATAACTTCTTCTCAAATACTAGAAGGCCTAGGGGGCTAATACTTGGCCCATAGCATGCTGGCATGGAGCCCTACAAAGTTTGTTCAAATGAATGACCTTGGCCCACTTTCAAGGTCACAGGGGTCAAATATGTTAAAATATACAAAGGACTTCATCTCAATAAGCAAAAGTCTATGAGTGCCGATATTGGGTCTGTAGCATGCTGGGAGGAAAGGCTACCAAGTTTATTCAAATGAATGACCTCAACCCACTTTCAAGGTCACAGGGGTCAAATATGTTAAAATATACAAACGACTTCTTCTCAACAAGCAAAAGTCCATGAGTGCTGATATTGGGCCTGTAAGATGCTTGGAGGAGAGGCTACCAAGTTTGTTCAAATGAATGACCTCAACCCACTTTCTAGGTTTGGCTTGCTTTTTGTCAGATGACCGTTAAGGCCCATGGGCCTCTTGTATTCAGTAACATTTATCCTGTTATTTTTTGCTTTGAAAAATCTCTTGTCGAAAATCTAAGGAAGCTCATCTGTAAATACATATAGTGCCTTTATATTTTCCTCCAAGATTTCAACTTTACTGAATGTGATTGCATTTTTGATTTAGTTCATGCACAGAAAGCAGCATTTTATACTGGTGGAATCAAAATATACTTTCTTAAAAACACTTCAGTGCCAAAATAAATTCAGTAGCTGTTCAGAGGTGATTCTGAACAGTTTTCCATATAACCAATTGTATAGTTTAGGCAAAAATGTGATTTCTTTCAATGACAGATATTACTGTAAATCTCAAAAACTATTTTTTTCTTGAAGTGACGGAAAACACCATAAATAATCATTTAACTGTACTGGAGATATTGATTTCAATTTTCAACAGTCAAAAAACCATTGAATTCTTCAAAAGTCAATTGTAAGTTATAAATTTTGAACACCGTTAGAGTATTGTTTTTGTGCATTAGATATGATACTCCTGTTGATACAGATATACTGTGGATTTTAGTTAGAACCAGGATACTCAATCACCACCTCCTAAATACCGGCCTTAAAAAGTTTTGTAAATGTCTAGAGTCACTTAAGTTTTAGTCATGATGTGTATCCATGACACCATAAAACATTTATCATGAGTGGGTCTTTTAAGTCTTTTATGCTTTATCAGGAAATGGTCTTTAAATTCTTGACTGGTTTTTAACGAAAAAGTCTTGAAAGTCTTAACATGTCTATCAGGAGAGGGAGGGACTTTACATGTCTATCAAGAGAGAGAGGGTCTTTAAAGTCTTTACATGTCTGTCAGGAGAGGGAAGGTCTTTACATGTCTATCAGGAGAGGGAAGGTCTTTACATGTCTATCAGGAGAGGGAAGGTCTTTACATGTCTGTCAGGAGAGGGAGGGTCTTTAAAGTCTTTACATGTCTATCAGGACAGGGAGGGTCTTTAAATGTCTATCAGAAGAGGGAAGGTCTTTACATGTCTGTCAGGAGAGGGAGGGTCTTTAAAGTCTTTGCATGTCTATCAGGAGAGGGAGGGTCTTTAAATGTCTATCAGGAGAGAGAGGGTCTTTACATGTCTATCAGGAGAGGGTCTTTAAAGTCTTTGCATGTCTGTCAGGAGAGGGAGGGTGTCTTTTCATGTCTATAAGGAGAGGGTCTTTAAAGTCTTTACATGTCTGTCAGGAGAGGGAAGGTCTTTACATGTCTATCAGGAGAGGGAAGGTCTTTACATGTCTATCAGGAGAGGGAAGGTCTTTACATGTCTGTCAGGAGAGGGAGGGTCTTTAAAGTCTTTACATGTCTATCAGGACAGGGAGGGTCTTTAAATGTCTATCAGAAGAGGGAAGGTCTTTACATGTCTATCAGGAGAGGGAGGGTCTTTAAAGTCTTTGCATGTCTATCAGGAGAGGGAGGGTCTTTAAATGTCTATCAGGAGAGAGAGGGTCTTTACATGTCTATCAGGAGAGGGTCTTTAAAGTCTTTGCATGTCTGTCAGGAGAGGGAGGGTGTCTTTTCATGTCTATAAGGAGAGGGTCTTTAAAGTCTTTGCATGTCTGTCAGGAGAGGGAGGGTGTCTTTTCATGTCTATAAGGAGAGGGTCTTTAAAGTCTTAAGTGGTTTCCTTGAGGTCATATACCATGCTGAAGTGAGATAATCTTGTACATATACTGTTTAATGAAATTTATCTCGCATATCAAGGGAAGAGATGAAATCCTGTGCTTTCTAGGAACTTGCATGACATCATACATTTAGAGTAGCCAACTTCCTCAGAAAAATGTCAGCCATAGTGTAATTCTATTTGGATTTGAATGCCTGGATCTATCTAATATCTTCTATGTGTTACTGTAAAACCTCACTGTAATGCCACAACAGCTGTTCATTTGAATTTGGCTATGGTCTAAGATAAGGATGTGGTCAGTTTTTTTGACACCAAAAATTGAAAAAAATATATATATATATGAAAAAGGACCCTGAAAATACTTGTATTTTATCAAAATGTTAAAAAGAGGCATTATAATGAAGTTTTATAGAGTATCCAGTTTATAAAGCTTATAATCTTGATTTGTACTATAGCATTGATATGATATTTTGCAGCCTGATAGAAATATACTTTTACCATATACTGGTATATAGTGGTCATGACTGTTCCCTACTTGACATTTGTTTCTTTTTAACTCTTCGTCTCAGAACTGTCTCAGATTTGCAGATACCGTAAATGTACTTAAATTAACACATTCAAATTTGAGTGCATTATCACTTTTCAGGAAATTTGTGAAATGATGAATTTTAGGGTCTCGTGATCACATGATCACTGTTGACAATGTGAGGGTCTCGTGATCACAAGATCACTGTTGACAATGTGAGGGTCTCGTGATCACATGATCACTGTTGACAATGTGAGGGTCTCGTGATCACAAGATCACTGTTGACAATGTGAGGGTCTCGTGATCACAAGATCACTGTTGACAATGTGAGGGTCTCGTGATCACAAGATCACTGTTGACAATGTGAGGGTCTCGTGATCACAAGATCACTGTTGACAATGTGAGGGTCTAGTGATCACATGATCATTGTTAACAATGTGAGGGTCTCGTGATCACATGATCATTGTTAACAATGTGAGGGTCTCGTGATCACATGATCACTGTTGACAATGTGAGGGTCTCGTGATCACAAGATCACTGTTGACAATGTGAGGGTCTCGTGATCACAAGATCACTGTTGACAATGTGAGGGTCTCGTGATCACAAGATCACTGTTGACAATGTGAGGGTCTCGTGATCACAAGATCACTGTTGACAATGTGAGGGTCTAGTGATCACATGATCACTGTTGACAATGTGAGGGTCTCGTGATCACAAGATCACTGTTGACAATGTGAGGGTCTCGTGATCACAAGATCACTGTTGACAATGTGAGGGTCTCGTGATCACATGATCACTGTTGACAATGTGAGGGTCTCGTGATCACATGATCACTGTTGACAATGTGAGGGTCTCGTGATCACATGATCACTGTTGACAATGTGAGGGTCTCGTGATCACATGATCACTGTTGACAATGTGAGGGTCTCGTGATCACATGATCACTGTTGACAATGTGAGGGTCTCGTGATCACATGATCACTGTTGACAATGTGAGGATCTCGTGAATGTGACAATGGGTCTCGTGATCACATGATCACTGTTAACATTGTTAGGGTCTCGTGATCACAAGATCACTGTTGACAATGTGAGGGTCTCGTGATCACAAGATCACTGTTGACAATGTGAGGGTCTAGTGATCACATGATCACTGTTAACATTGTTAGGGTCTAGTGATCAGATGATCAATGTTAACAATGTGAGGTAGCATCACTCCTTAAGTCAATATATCTGTTCATGCATGACTGCCTACTGTACCTGGGCTGTGTTATAACCTCCAGCCTACTAGATTACTAAATTAACTTTTTTAAAGGATAATTTAATGGTTTTCTGAAAACTAGTTTATACTGTATTCTTTACTGATACATATTTATATACCCATGTCTTCTGAAATTGTTCATATTATTTTGCTTTTGGAGTATTGATAACGATCAATTTGATGTTTTTTGTTGACCTGACATTTTGTTGAGCTTACAAATGCTAGACTGATTATCACTCGTCTGATGTCTGTTTAACATGCTTTCTGAGCTATATGTCCTTGAACTGACCTTGTTTGATTTGCTAGAAATATTTCAATATTTTGCTCATAACATCAGCTACATCTATGAAAGGGGTTACAGAAAATTCACATTCAGTAATATATATAATGGACCACTTTAGGGAAATTGGAACAGTGTTTGGAAGATAGAATCATATTAACATTGATGTTCAAGACTTTGTTACTAAGGAAGGTTGGACCTGGGTTTAGTCAAATTAACTTTTTGTTTTACTTTTAAATTTGTTATACTTAAGAATATTGCAGTATTGTTTGTTATATGAGTCTTTTTGATGCCTCTAGTCATACAGGGAGAGGTGCTGGTTACTTATCTGTTGGAGTCATTGATATGTTTACTTTGTCAGAGTCCCTGAGCCTGTAAGGTCAGACCCTGTGGAAACCGCCAACCCATTTGGCGATGATGATGGCGAGGAGGAAGGTGCTGACTGTAACATCCTGATGGAAGTGTTGTATGACTATATACCCAAGACTGAGGATGATGATGAACTTAGCCTGGCAGTAGGTGGGTATCACTTCTAACAGAAACTATCAGTCACTATATTAATGTTAAAGATACATAACTGAGCTTGGCAGTGAGTGGATGTCACTCCCATAACTTTGCTTGACGGTTTTTAAACTCAAACATATACAATCTTTTGATGTGATTTTGTTTTATGAACATGCCCAAGTCAGCTTAACTAAAACTAAACTAAAGCCATGTGACCAACACAGGAGTAAACAAAAAGTTATCTCCCATGAACTTTTGAGTCGGGAACAATCGTGCATTCGAAAGAACTAATGGATGATTTAATTTCCACATTTAATTTTTTAGGGGGTTGCCATTTAATCAATCATCCATTAAATTCAGTTTGTAATGGCATAAATCACAAATAAAATACATTTTAGTGTTGTCCCAACAACCCACAAAAAAAAAAAAATTCATCTGCTGCCTGACACCCCCACACATTTACTTCTGGAACTGCTCTTACTGAAATCTCAACCATTGTGATTGTTTAATTTTTGTCCAGGTGAGAGATTCTACAAAATCAAGATGGAGGATGAGTTAGGATGGTGTAAGGGTAGAAAAGCAGATGGTTCTGAAGGTCTATTCCCAGCGCAGTACGCCAAGGAGGTATCATAATGTGGAAGTTGTACAGGGACATACTCTTGATAAATCACAGAAGTACATACTCCTGTGAATCGATGTGTACTCCTTCAGAAAAAGGGGAGCTCGTACATGTGACAACGTAAAATTTACAGTTTTATGCAAGATTCATGGATGTCAAAATGGACCATTACTCCCTGTAGAAAAATCTCTGAAACAAGCCACTATTCCAGCAGCAGGTTTCTTCTCTTTGTCGAAAATATACACAAATAATATACATCGTATTTACTGGTACAAATTCTGTGTCCTGTCAAAGGTTATTTAATTGTGTATAGGAAATGACATATATATGCAGAACATCCCTACTGACTACATGGTTTGTTTCTTCTAATTTAGTTAAAGATGTATGCTACCTTACAATGACTTATTTATAAAAGGGTTGCACACTTGATTATGATCAATGATTTAGTTAATTTCACAGTAACAAATTTAAGAAGTTGGCAAACAAAGACATGTAGCTCTCGTAGATTTGGATCCTATGTTAATTAAAAAAAAACTATGTAACATTTTTAATCTGTAATCATTTTTCTGTAAAGCATTTAAAAAATTGCAATTTGATGCGAAACTCTGTCATTTGTTGGTATTTAAAAATCTTGATTTATTTGTCAGAAATTTCCCAATTACTAAGTTCAGCCATTGTGTTCTGATGAAAGGGAGTATCTCAGACATACACAAACTCTGGGTACCTGGTTTTAAACATTTAGGAAATAGGAATTCACAAAATATATCTTCTTGACTATTGCTTCAATTTTTTTCCCCAGACCAAATTTTCATTACGGATTAATTGTTATATAAAATGTCAGGCCCTGACTGAAAGGATGAGTTACTTCTGTGAAGTACAAATGCAATAGTGAGGAGCATTGCCATTAGACAGATTATTTTTGTAGGGCTGTTCCATTGGAGATTGCACTGCCTTGCTGGTGATAGGTAGGATGTTTAGTAGGAATAAAGCATGGTTTTTATACTGAAAATAAAAATGTGCATTTCATGTTTCTTCACAGCAAAGTGTGAAGACAAAGTTTGAAGGTTTTCATCCATTTGGACCAAAAAAAAAAAAATCAAAGATAAATTTTACCACATGTATGAAATTTAAAACAAAAAGATGTCTTTCTAAATGCTGATAACAAATGTGTCAATTTCTCCTTTTGTCACAAAATGATTTTTTTTTTTTTTTATTTGATAAAAGATGAATTTGTCATTTCTGATATAATGGCACCTAAGAGCAGTTAATTTAGTTTAAAGTCGGGATAATTTATAGAAAAAATGTAAAATACTCATATATCTCCAATGTTCATCTGACTTTTAACCATTCCATGTTCAATGTATGAAAAGATCTGTATGTGGAGGCTTAACATGACGTAAGGAATTTATAGCCTTCAACTTTGTACTTATTTATAATGGAAACCCACGGGCTGTATAAAATAGTCAGTTATGATTTAATTCCTTTTCGTACTATTTCCATCAAAACATTTATCAGTTTTTATGTATCACAAAAATGACTAAGAATGATTGAGTTTGACACCAAATGTTGTTAATGGTGATATTGTAGGAGTGAAGGAAAATCAAAACAGAAAGCAGTGTAGCAAGTGTGTGTTTGTCAATAAACTAGATATTTCTATTGATACCTGTATATCATTATATAAACCAATAATATGTATGTTAGAAAATTGTACTCATATGGAACAGGCACCCTCCCATGTATTAGAATCTTGCCAAAGTTATTTTTAAAAGTATTCATTAAAGATTTTAAAAAAAAGGGTGATGCAAATTGTTTTTTAGTGGAGTTGAGTTTATTTCTGTCATTACATTTGAAATAAGGAAAAGAAGGAAATTGTGTGTTGGAATTTTGAGATGTTAGATTGTTCCAATAGTGTATATAGTGATAACTTACTACAGTTAAATCTGTATCATATCAACATTAGTATTCCTTCTACCTCTTAACCATTTTTGTACCCTTGGCTCTGATTTGTGTCACATCCTTAATGTTCAAATACATGTAATACTAGAAATTATCTGTAATATCACTTTATTTCAAATTTTGATGGCTTTTCACCCTGGGCTGGTACCAGGAGTAATCTCCCTTTATCAAAATTTTTTTGTTTAATTTGCATTAATATTGTGATCACATGATAATAAAAATTTTGTTGACAGTGCTTGAGGTTAAATTTTGATAAATCTGGATTTTGATAGATATAATGAATTTATATTACAATTGAAATGTGTTTATATCCATACTAATGTATATTCTACAGCACAATGAAAATAATAACTGTTTTTCACAAGAGAATTCTATTTTGTAGATAGACTTACAGTATTTTTCTAGAGCACATTTAAATCTAATGGTCTAAAGTCACAAGGTGTTGTGTATGAAATCTATACTGATAAGTTAATTCCTTGTTGTTATCCCATGAAACATTAACATAAGAGATCATACTGAGTTAAAACAAAATTTTGAAGAATTGCTTTAAATTCTGAACCTGAAATTTTAGGATCTGTGATAGTGGTGTTGAGATCATATTGTACAGGTGCAAAATTATCAAACATTTATAGAAAAATAACCCATTCAACTGTACCTTTACTTCAGCAGTTATTTGTTTTATAGAGAAAGTTCATTTAAAGAAAAAATCTGAATGAAAATGTTTCAGGAGAATGTTTGATGATCCAACATGTAATATGGGATAACATTCTTGGTACATATTGTGTTAGTAGCCTGGGCTTTGTTCAGTGTAATGCATGTTTTTATGTTAAGGATAGGCATGAAGACTGCTGCACAAGCATTCAGACATATCCTTTAACAGTGTCAAGACAGTCCAGAGACTTTGAGGGTAATATTACAGTTCTGTTTTCACTCTATTCTTAGAGTGGTCTCCCTTTTCATCGATTTCAAATCAAATACAGTATTGTTATGGAACATAGACTAAGTCAATATTCTAAATTCAAAATTAACAAAAGTTGGTGTATTTTCAATAACATCAAGAGCTTGACATCCAAATTGATCTACGCAATGCTTTTCTCAATGAAAACATGTCTTTATAGTTAGCATTAAAGTAGATGTTAGGTAGAATCTCAAACTTGGAGGTTAAAATGATATGGAAAATTTTATTTCGTCAATATTATGAAAAGTGATTCTTTGTAATTTTGTCAAGGATTTGACTTCAGTCTGAAAAGTATCTCTCAAGCTTCGAAAGAATTGGTTAAGTTTGAAAAGCAATGCAACAGAAAATTCAATGAAAAAGAAAAGGGATTTCATAAAGTGATATTGCCAGTGAGTTTAAATGATTGTTTAGTTTATGTAAATGGGATGAATGGGCTTATTTTTAGGGTATGGGCTTCTTATCCTCGAACAAGGTAGCTATGTAGTGTATTTAGACTTATATTGCCTGTGCTTGTAGAACTACAATTATTGTGGTATTTAAGACATATTTTTCTAAATACTGATGTTGATTACTTAAACTACTGATATTTCAGACAGCCTGTCAGAATCTTTATTTAAACACTATCCATTGGCATTTTGGCTTTATTTCTTTCAAATCCAGATACCCTTTTTATATAGTGCTAAGCTACTTAATGGCTACTGGAAAGTTCTGTTATCCCAAGGGTTTTCACAGAATGTAGGCTACATTAACCATTGATTAGGTATGAGACAGTGATGTTTTTCACATCCAACATTCTTAAGGAACTTTTTTTTAAAGTTATTTCTTTATTCCATATAGTTGTAAGCTTCTGCTACCTTGAAATACATTTTTTTTTCCTTTTAAATTATGCTTTTGTCAAGAGACACATGTGTAAGTGATTTGATGACGTGTTACTTCAGGTTTGAAAGGGAAGGTGACATTGGAACAATGTGTAGATCTAATTGATTGTATGATTTTAACTTTTGGAAACATTAATTTCTGTAGTACAGGATATAAGTAACAGATAACTAGGAATGTATCACCTTTAAATATGTGTTCATTGTACAATGACTTTGCTCTTCAGGACTTCTAATGATATGGCACTTCAAAATTTATTTCATAATGCAAAGATTAGTCATCATTAACCATGCGCTGTCGCGTGATTTGTCTCAAGTTATGTCCAAGATCTGTTGATAAGGGATAAACATTCTACAAAATAGTTGATGCAGGTTAGATTACTTTGCTTATTGCAAAAATTATACCTGTTTACGTCTAAAGAATTCCAAAGAAGCTCAAAGCTTACATGTAGTACACATTCATAAGAATTATTGCTTTCCCCTTTTCAACTTTTTTTTTCTGTAAATACTTCTATTGGAGTTATCGCCCCTGTCATGTTGAGATCCAGGTGTTGATCACATAGCGATATTGACACATTTTATGTCAGTTTCAAAATTATCTTAACTTCTTCAGAAATGTAACAAATTCTCAACTCATATAAGCTTCAAACTGCTTTGAATTGGAATATATGTCACATTTTAGAAATGGTTGTTATGGCAGACATAAGTTAGATGACTTTTTTGACAAGAAAATACTGTTTACTAGTTACTGTAGTTATTTGGTAACATGTTTATGCCAAATTTGTTAGGCATGTTGTAAGGGATAGATTGATTGAGAAACTGTCACCTGATGGGGGATAGATGTACAGAATTCACCTCTTGCTACTACTGTAAGGAATGTTACCAATGTATGCAATATTACCGTTGTTCCATGTTTATTGTATATTGTCCTGCCAGTTACCCATTTACTTGTTGTTATGGAAAATATGTTGTTACAAATTATATAGAGACTGTAGCGGACATTCTGTACTAATATACATGTATATCATCATTATATATATATATATATAGAAGGGAAAAAAGATTGTTCAGTTATTTATTCAATTACGAATATATTCCATGCATTATTGGCAATAAAGAATACTAATGACACTTCTTTTTGTCAATACTCCTTGTTGTATAACCCCCTCCAATGTGGAATGACTGCGGACATGTGACATTTGTCACTCCTTGTTGTGACATAGATTAACTTGTCCATAATGGTTTTAACATGACAATGGTTATCTATAAACAGTACATATATTTACATAACTCTCTAAGTTGTTAAGATGTGACTGTTGTGACAGTCTGGTGACATTTGACCCAACCTGCTTGCCACATTTAAATTCTCTGGAATACACATGTACTTTGATTATAATCTTCAATTATTTTATGTATGAAAATTACGAAATTTATCGAATTATGGGGCTGTTGCACCTCCCCATCTAGATTTTGACTTTTTATTTTGATCACTTTGGATTTTCCTTAGTCGCCTCCTAGGCTTCAAATTTAAGGCCGATAGCGTCACTGACGAGTCCTAGAAGGACGAAACAGCTATATGATGTAGCATCACTGACGAGTCCTAGAAGGATGAAACAGCTATATGATGTATTATCACTGACGAGTCCTAGAAGGACGATACAGTTGTATGATGTAGCATCACTGACGAGTCCTAGAAGGACGATACAGCTGTTTAATACAGTTTAATTCATTGTTTGGTTCTAAATTATGAAAATGTGATATTCACTGTTGAAGTTTTTTTGTACAATCTTGACAGCACTATGGTAAAGTGTTATACTTTTCACAGTCTCGACAACACCAAGAGTGATATAATGGTCCAGTGACAGTTATAACACATCCTAAACTGATCGGCTACAATAAACACTAAAACATCCTAAACTGATCGGTTACTATAAACACTAAAACATCCTAAACTGATCGGTTACGATAAACACTAAAACATCCTAAACTGATCGGTTACGATAAACACTAAAACATCCTAAACTGATCGGTTACTATAAACACTAAAACATCCTAAACTGATCGACTACAATAAACACTAAAACATCCTAAACTGATCGGTTACTATAAACACTAAAACATCCTAAACTGATCGGTTACTATAAACACTAAAACATCCTAAACTGATCGGCTACTATAAACACTAAAACATCCTAAACTGATCGGTTACTATAAACACTAAAACATCCTAAACTGATCGGTTACGATAAACACTAAAACATCCTAAACTGATCGGTTACTATAAACACTAAAACATCCTAAACTGATCGGTTACTATAAACACTAAAACATCCTAAACTGATCGGTTACGATAAATACTAAAACATCCTAAACTGATCGGTTACTATAAACACTAAAATCCTAAACTGATCATCCTAAAACATCCTAAACTGATCGGTTACAATAAACACTAAAACATCCTAAACTGATCGGCTACAATAAACACCAAAACATCCTAAACTGATCGACTACAATAAATACTTAAACATCCTAAACTGATCGGTTACGATAAACACTAAAACATCCTAAACTGATTGGTTACTATAAACACTAAAACATCCTAAACTGATCGGTTATGATAAACACTAAAACATCCTAAACTGATCGGTTACTATAAACACTAAAACATCCTAAACTGATCGGTTACGATTAACACTAAAACATCCTAAACTGATCGACTACAATAAACACTAAAACATCCTAAACTGATCGGTTACTATAAACACTAAAACATCCTAAACTGATCGGCTACAATAAACACTAAAACATCCTAAACTGATCGGTTACTATCAAAACACTAAAACATCCTAAACTGATCGGTTACTATAAACACTAAAACATCCTAAACTGATCGGTTACTATAAACACTAAAACATCCTAAACTGATCGGTTACTATAAACACTAAAACATCCTAAACTGATCGGTTACTATAAACACTAAAACATCCTAAACTGATCGGTTACTATAAACACTAAAACATCCTAAACTGATCATCACTAAAACATCCTAAACTGATCGGTTACTATAAACACTAAAACATCCTAAACTGATCGGTTACTATAAACACTAAAACATCCTAAACTGATCGGTTACTATAAACACTAAAACATCCTAAACTGATCGGTTACTATAAACACTAAAACATCCTAAACTGATCGGTTACTATAAACACTAAAACATCCTAAACTGATCGGTTACTATAAACACTAAAACATCCTAAACTGATCGGTTACTATAAACACTAAAACATCCTAAACTGATCGGTTACGATAAACACTAAAACATCCTAAACTGATCGGTTACTATAAACACTAAAACATCCTAAACTGATCGGTTACTATAAACACTAAAACATCCTAAACTGATCGGTTACGATAAACACTAAAACATCCTAAACTGATCGGTTACTATAAACACTAAAACATCCTAAACTGATCGGCTAAACACTAAAACATCCTAAACTGATCGGTTACTAAAACACTAAACATCCTAAACTGATCGACTACAATAAACACTAAAACATCCTAAACTGATCGGTTACTATAAACACTAAAACATCCTAAACTGATCGGTTACTATAAACACTAAAACATCCTAAACTGATCGACTACAATAAACACTAAAACATCCTAAACTGATCGGTTACTATAAACACTAAAACATCCTAAACTGATCGGTTACGATTAACACTAAAACATCCTAAACTGATCGGTTACTATAAACACTGAAACATCCTAAACTGATCGGTTACTCACTAAAACATCCTAAACTGATCGGTTAAACACTAAAACATCCTAAACTGATAAACACTAAAACATCCTAAACTGATCGGTTACACAGCTCGATTTAAACCATCTAAACTGATCATATAAACACTAAAACATCCTAAACTGATCGGTTACTATAAACACTAAAACATCCTAAACTGATCGGCTACAATAAACACTAAAACATCCTAAACTGATCGACTACAATAAACACTAAAACATCCTAAACTGATCGGTTATGATAAATACTAAAACATCCTAAACTGATCGTAAGCACTAAAACATCCTAAACTTTTACATCACTAAAACATTCCGTTATTCACTAACCCGGACGGCTAAGTAAAAGACGAGTGCGTTACCACTGCGCCAACCGACCTGCTCTATAAGTGAAAGGTGCCGTTTACTTTCGAGTCTTTTGTTTAATCTGCGAGATAGTAGACATAACAAAATTGTAAAACTTACTGAATCACGGGGCTAGTGCACCCCCACCCCCCAATCTAGGTTTGACATTTGTTTAGATCAATTTTTACTATCTGCTTCTTAGCAGGCACAAGCGTAATCACTAACTGATCACAACCTAGAGACTGAATTCCAATACCACCAGTAAGTCTCTGCTACTTTTGTTAAATGATCAAATCCTTGAGACTGAATTCCAATCCTACCAATAAGTGTCTTCTCCTTTTCTTAAATGATCACAACCTAGACTGAATTCCAATCCTACCAGTAAGTGTCTGCTCCTTTCGTTGAATGATCACAACCTAGAGACTGAATTCCAATACCACCAGTAAGTCTCTGCTACTTTTGTTAAATGATCAAATCCTTGAGACTGAATTCCAATCCTACCAATAAGTGTCTTCTCCTTTTCTTAAATGATCACAACCTAGACTGAATTCCAATCCTACCAGTAAGTGTCTGCTCCTTTCGTTAAATGATCACAACCTAGAGACTGAATTCCAATACCACCAGTAAGTCTCTGCTACTTTTGTTAAATGATCAAATCCTTGAGACTGAATTCCAATCCTACCAATAAAGTATCTGCTCCTTTCGTTAAATGATCACAACCTAGAGACTGAATTCCAATCCTACCAATAAGTGTCTTCTCCTTTTGTTAAATGATCACAACCTAGACTGAATTCCAATCCTACCAGTAAGTGCCTGCTCCTTTCGTTAAATGATCACAACCTAGACTGAATTCCAATCCTACCAGTAAGTGCCTGCTCCTTTTGTTAAATGATCAAATCCTTGAGACTGAATTCCAATCCTACCAATAAGTGTCTTCTCCTTTTGTTAAATGATCACAACCTAGACTGAATTCCAATCCTACCAATAAAGTATCTGCTCCTTTTGTTAAATGATCACAACCTAGAGACTGAATTCCAATTCTACCAATAAGTGATTGTCTCCTTTCGTTAAATGATCACAACCTAGAGGCTGAATCCCAATCCTACCAGTAAGTGTCTTCTCCTTTTGTTAAATGATCACAAACTAGACTGAATTCCAATCCTACCAATAAGCGATTGTCTGCCCCTTCCGTTGAATGTCCACTATCTTGTGTCTTGAATTCAAACCCTTTGATTGTTTGTTCTTTCCGTTAAATACCGCTACCTGGACACTGAATTTCAACCATATCAGTAAATGTTTAATACTCGATTCGGAGATTGAATTCTGACAATAAAAGTAAGTGATCGTCTGCTCATTGATATGCATTCTAAGACCCTCCAGTGTAATTTGGCTTTTATCATTATGTAGAAGTCACAAGGTAAACTCCGGTAAAGACACTGTGACGGTGTCCTGGTGATATGAGCGGCAGTCTTCATTGAACTTTGTAAAGTGTAAGGTAAAACGTTCACACATTGATTAGCACTGTGATATTTGGTGTAACACAAGGGTTTATTAACGATTCTGCTGTTAATCTTTCCAGGATTTCGCTGATTCTCGGTCAATCATTACAACCAGAGAGTTATAAGGTATGTCAATTATTGAGAAACCTTTGAACAACAGAAAACTAGAATTTATAAAAAGATTTCATTTTAATCGACATTGATACCGACTCTAATATAAGGGAGAGTGAATTAACATTGGTTTTGATGACAGCAGTGTTTTCTATAAGGCAACTGTGGCAGTAGAAAGTAATAAAGCAAGCATTTAAAGTAATTGTTGTAATATTGCTGCACTAGTGTAGTTATAGGCAGAAACATTTCTTCTCGTAGTTAGGATAATCAAATAATTACCTAGATAATCCAAGCATGAAGTTATGTAGGTAATTTGTTTGCTGCCGTGGAGTCATGTGACCCTTTGTCGTTATGGCTGGGAGAGGGCACGGGTAATTAGCTGATAGTATCGCTTACGGCCTTTGTACTTCCTCTTAATAGATAACATTCATATATAACGTAAATATAGAGTAAATTAAGGTCAAATTCAGCCTCCAGTCTGCAATATTGATTTTGATTTCATATAATGGGATATCAGATATAGTTTTTATACCTTCTAATGTGTCCTAATAGGACCTATCTTGGAATGTTTAGCTCAATATATTTTTTCCTGTCTATTCTGTTTCGGGATTCTTTAGAGTTCCAATAATTTGTATATATTTTGATGTTGCGGTGTAAAAAAACTTCTCAGTTCGTCTCTGATTTTAATGCTGGTTTATGTCTGAGTGCAGTAGGATTTCTTTTTATTTATTTATTTTAGTATCTATTGTTTAGACTTTTCTCCATATATATTGTAACATTCTTACTGGTACATGCATATATCACTTTGCAGTATTCATGGGTCTAGCCATGATGTTTTAACAATTTATCATATTTCAGTGTCAACAGTCTTGAGAGAATATACTATAATGTATTGGCTGAGACTCAGGTTTAAATGTTTTATGAGCTTGATGATATGATTAACAATAAAGCGAGAATGGGTATTTATCGTAAATCCTATCCTGGAATATAACACAAGAAAGAAAAGATCTGCCACAGGAATAAAAAAACAACTAGAAAGCAATAAAATATTTTAATTAAATGAAATTTGAAAATCTTCCTTTGTAATTCCATTAAGCTTATGAAAATTGGTGCCGGTAAGTCCTGAAGGTCTGTTAAGCTGTTAAACTTGTATAATTTACCTACACGTCGATTTGTCTTTTGTTCCTTGCCTGCCACTGATTTACTTAAGTATTGTATTCTTTAATACAATTTCCATACTGTCAGAGACATAACATGTTTGACTAGTCCATTCCATATTTATGTAGTTACTACAAGTTCAGTCTAAATAATATTATTTTGATTCCTTCTTAATTTTATCAAACTCCGTAGAGCGAATACTTGAAGTTGTACATTAAAATATGTTACAATAAGCTGTACATTTGTATTTTTGAGAACATAGAACTTGTATTTGTGTCGTATATATCAATATGCTGCCACCCCGTTGTCACACTATTAGATGGTATAGGCTTAGTGTATTCATTAGAAACAATATCGACGTTGTTAATACCCTATTGAGGATAATCTATAGCTGTGTATTAATATTTATTACTTTACTACATGGTTCAGTTGATCTAAGAGTGTTACAGGTACGATGGCGTCTACAGAAGACTTGTCCAGTGATGCCCTCTTGTTACGGTACCGCCCCAGCAGTAGAAGGAAGTAAGTCCATCACCTCTAATTATACATAATTACATCATAAGTATTGTGTTACGTGATGTAATTAAGTGCAAGACAGATCCTATCGATCGATCTGATGTATACATTTTACTTTCGTTCAGTTTGTGTGATCGCCTTGTTGTAACGTGATGTGCTGTTGACACACTTCTAACTGTTAATGATATCAGTTGTCGTATGTAATGATAACCATCCACATTTTGATTGTGACACAAATTGATTGTGACACAAATTTAAATATTTTTTGTCTTGGAGGCGGGTTGATAGCATTACAGTTAACAATAACACACGACGTTTCTTTAAAATTGACTTTCAACAGTATGTTAAAAATTATTTCTAAACATTTACATTCTTTTTTTTTCATTAATTCATGGACTGGTAATCTTGTCACATTATAATCTTCACACGTCAATAATCCATACTTAGCTCATTTGTTCATCCATCACTAATCCGATGTCCCTCTATCCATCAATCACTAACTAGGTGTCCCTCTCTATCCATCACGTATCTGGTGTCCCTCCCATCCATCACTAACTAGGTATCCCTCTCCATCCATCACTAATCCGGTGTCCCTCTCCATCCATCACTAACTAGGTGTCCCTCTTCATCCATCACTTATCTGGTGTCCCTCCCATATCCATCACTAACTAGGTGTCCCTCTCCATCCACCACTTATCCGGTGTCCCTCTCTCCACCAATAATTTATTCGGTTGTCCCTCTCCTTCCATCACTAATCCGGTGTCCCTCTCCATCCATCAGTAATCCGGTGTCCCTCTCCATCCATCAGTAATCCGGTGTCCCCATCCATCCATCAGTAATCCGGTGTCCCTCTCTCCATCCACCACGAATCCAGTGTCCCTCTCTCCATCCATCAGTAATCCGGTGTCCCTCTCTCCATCCATCACGAATCCGGTGTCCCTCTCTCCATCCATCAGTAATCCGGTGTCCCTCTCTCCATCCATCACGAATCCGGTGTCCCTCTCTCCATCCATCAGTAATCCGGTGTCCCTCTCTCCATCCATCAGTAATCCGGTGTCCCTCTCTCCATCCATCAGTAATCCGGTGTCCCTCTCTCCATCCATCAGTAATCCGGTGTCCCTCTCTCCATCCATCACGAATCCGGTGTCCCTCTCTCCATCCATCAGTAATCCGGTGTCCCTCTCTCCATCCATCACTTGTGCGGTTGTTCCTCTCTATCCTTCAATAATCTGGGTGTCCCACTTTCAACCCATCACTAATCTGATTGTCCCTCTCTCCACCCTTCACTAATCCTGTTGTCCCACTTTCAACTCTCTCTTGTCCATCTCTCCATTCACTAATCCTGTGTCCCTCTCTCCACCCATCAGTAATCCGATTGTCCCTCTCTGCACCCTTCACTAATCCTGTCCCACTTTCAACCCATCATTAGTCTGGTTGTCCCTCTCTCCATCCATCACTAATCCTGTTGTCCCTCTTTCAACCCATCACTAATCTGATTGTCCCTCTCTCCACCCTCACTAATCCTGTTGTCCCTCTCTCAACCCATCATTAGTCTGGTTGTCCATCTCTCCATCCGTCACTAATCCTGTTGTCCCAGTTTCAACCCGTCATTAGTCTGGTTGTCCCTCTCTCCACCCTTCACTAATCCTGTTGTCCCACTTTCAACCCGTCATTAGTCTGGTTGTCCCTCTTTCCACCCTTCACTAATCCTGTTGTCCCACTTTCTACCCGTCATTAGTCTGGTTGTCCCTCTCACCACCCTTCACTAATCCTGTTGTCCCACTTTCAACCCATCACTAATCTGATTGTCCCTCTCTCCACCCTTCACTAATCCTGTTGTCCCACTTTCAACCCGTCATTAGTCTGGTTGTCCATCTCTCCATCCGTCACTAATCCTGTTGTCCCACTTTCAACCCATCACTAATCTGATTGTCCCTCTCTCCACCCTTCACTAATCCTGTTGTCCCACTTTCAACCCGTCATTAGTCTGGTTGTCCATCTCTCCATCCGTCACTAATCCTGTTGTCCCAGTTTCAACCCGTCATTAGTCTGGTTGTCCCTCTCTCCACCCTTCACTAATCCTGTTGTCCCACTTTCAACCCGTCATTAGTCTGGTTGTCCCTCTCTCCACCCTTCACTAATCCTGTTGTCCCACTTTCAACCCGTCATTAGTCTGGTTGTCCCTCTCTCCACCCTTCACTAATCCTGTTGTCCCACTTCTAACCCGTCATTAGTCTGGTTGTCCCTCTCTCCACCCTTCACTAATCCTGTTGTCCCACTTTCAACCCGTCATTAGTCTGGTTGTCCCTCTCTCCACCCCTCACTAATCCTGTTGTCCCACTTTCAACCCATCATTAGTCTGGTTGTCCCTCTCTCCACCCTTCACTAATCCTGTTGTCCCACTTTCAACCCGTCATTAGTCTGGTTGTCCATCTCTCCACCCCTCACTAATCCTGTTGTCCCACTTTCAACCCGTCATTAGTCTGGTTGTCCCTCTCTCCACCCCTCACTAATCCTGTTGTCCCACTTTCAACCCGTCATTAGTCTGGTTGTCCCTCTCTCCACCCTTCACTAATCCTGTTGTCCCACTTTCAACCCGTCATTAGTCTGGTTGTCCATCTCTCCACCCTTCACTAATCCTGTTGTCCCACTTTCAACCCGTCATTAGTCTGGTTGTCCCTCTCTCCACCCTTCACTAATCCTGTTGTCCCACTTTCAACCCGTCATTAGTCTGGTTGTCCCTCTCTCCACCCTTCACTAATCCTGTTGTCCCACTTTCAACCCATCATCACTAATCCTGTTGTCCCACTTCTAACCCGTCATTAGTCTGGTTGTCCCTCTCTCCACCCTTCACTAATTCTGTTGTCCCACTTTCAACTCATCATTAGTCTGGTTGCTGATCTTGATTGTTATTTTTCCTTTTTATAAAATCTGATATGTATTTTTAGCCGATATTGTTTCTTATACATACAATAGTCTTTAAATAATAGGTTATTCAAAGTAAGTGCATCATCAGGTAGCACATGTTTCAATACAAATATAAACTACCATTTCGACATATTAGACGCATTATGTAATGTAGATATTTAGAAATCCTTCTAGAATTTACAGTATTATCTTATCGCTAAATTCTTTATACATATTATGGTTTAGCATGTACAAGTAGACCATCTAATAGTGAGCTGCACGAGCTTGCCAGGACTGATCACATCAATAACATTGTGTCATCTTGTATTGTTTTGTATGAGATCCCTAACATATTGATATCGTATCCTTTGTACACAGGTGTCAGTCTGTTGGACTGTGAAGCAGAATTAAGGATATCAATTAAGTCTAGATATGTATGAAATCTTGTGTCACACTCTTTGTCAGCGTGGATTCGAGTTAGATTGAAGTGATTATTTTGAATACACAACCTGCTTATACATTTTTCATATCTATATTATATGTTTCTATTATACCAGTTATACCAGTACTGGTAAATGTTAAACAATCATATTTACATAAAAAACACGATTTCAATCGTGTCAAATATTGTTAGACATTATATTTTGTCTCTTTGTTAAAACTGTAGATAACGATGTATCAGTTTATCTACAAAAAGCTTCAAGCCACAAGAAAACAGCATAATGGTAGCATTATGACGTCATAATAAAATAAAATAATAACAGACGGCGACTTAATGTTCTCACAAATGAAGCCATTCAAAGCTGCAATATTAATTCAAAATGTCTTTGATTAGAGAGAGAGAGAGAGAGAGAGAGAGAGAGAGAGAGAGAGAGAGAGAGAGAGAGAGAGGGGGGGGGGGGAGAGAGAGAGAGAGAGAGAGAGCGTTTGATTGGAAGATACAAAATTTGATTTACAATATGGGCATTATATCTGTTACAAACCAATTTTACCCTCGCCTACCACTGGTTTTTACATTAACCGAAATCAGTAATTCGTTTTAATCAATGTTTATGTCATTCACTATGTATTCTAGTGTACCAGTTTTAAATATCCGCTTAAGGTGTACTTTTGTTGATTTTATCTGTTTAAACTTACGAGATTAAATCCATTTAAATATAAATGATCATAGCTTACTCAGACAGAACTGGGGTGGATGGCCTTCACCTCCGATGTGAGAATCCTCTATTTCATATTCCTTTGTATATATATACAAATGTATACAGTCATGTATTTTAAACCCAACCGAGAGTGCCGTATTCATTAAAGAGTGTTGGCAGTGTGCCAGGCTACCTGGGATTGCCTCTATATACCTGTAAAGGTATTGATCTCACTATACCCTAATCGGGAAAACTACACGACTTATATTTTCTAATAACTTACGGGACAGTTGCCGTTGTTATGCACGGACTTTCTAAACAGTAACGCACACGGAATCTGATAACTCACAGCTCAGGTAACACGTCTTTTTAAACTTATATACTTGTTTCAACTTTATGATGTATGTTGATACTTATCTCTGAAGGAAGCAGCCTAGCAACGACAAAAGGATTCGTCACAATTTATTAACGAAAGCTCATTAGATCTCTACATCGGTTAGAGTTTATAATTATAAAACTTTCTTGTGTCTTTGTATGTAGACCCATGCATTTACAAGGTATACCATCTGTTCCTAGTCACCAGCTAGTATTATATATATTACAAGGTATATCATCTGTCACTTGTCACCAGCTAGTATTATATATATCACAAGGTATACCATCTGTCACTTGTCACCAGCTAGTATTATATATATTACAAGGTATATCATCTGTCACTTGTCACCAGCTAGTATTATATATATTAAAAGGTATATCATATGTTACTAGTCACCAGCTAGTGTTATATATATATACATTAAGGTTTGACTTGGTATAAACATTTGTATATTGTCTATGTCCTTGTTTACTTCCGACAATAAGCTTTACTGTCTTTGTTGTTTTTATAATACAAATATCGTGCTTGGGTAGGAGAGCACATTGTATATATAGACACGTTCACCTGTTCATACTGGAAAGGTA